CAATGGTATTCTTATGATTTACACTGAATTAATTTCGTTTTCCTTTGTTTTCTATACATAGCTATCTACTCCGTATAATATTTGAGGATCCGAGCTGCGGCACATACTACTTGGATTTGCACTTCCGGAACTAAATAACACTCGCTACCTAATGGACAGGTGATCAATATATAGATATATATAGAATATTTGTATATACTATTTAAGCTCTTGATAGGCATTAGGTGGCTGAGCTTCAGAGTGTATGTACATGTAACGAAGGACAGGAATCTCTGTATATCTACTTGGTGGCAGCAAAAGAAAAGAGAGGCTGAACAACATACCAAACACGGTCAGATATTAAACGAGCTAAAGGTATCACTTTATCATAAAATCCAAATGCTTCTTTCCTCGGGCATGCGGGTTGGGTATAAACTGACATAAAGGAAAAGAAAAGGAGGAAATGGTATTCGCAAAAGAAAAAAGGAAAAGGGAAAATCCCAAAGTCAAAGAGAAACGCAAATCGAAAGGGAAAGAAAAGGAAATCTTGAGTGTAAAACCAAAATAGGGGGAAATCAAAGTAAAAAAAGAGGAGAAGGGAGAATAGTTAATTAGATGCGCGATGGGGGTAGGTTTAAGGAAAATATTGATGATAAGAAGTTTAACTACAGTTCGGGGCAATCATATTAATCATTGACCATCTCGCCCAGTTCCATTCTCAGGCGCTTGGCGGGCCGATTGTCCCCTTCCTTCTGGCTGTCTTCTATTGGAGTTTGTAGTTGATCAGCCGGTGCTTTCTGTAGTCCCGTGGTGCGCAAGGGGGGAAGAGATACTGGAGAAGTAGGCGAGACGTGGGCAGAGTTGCTGAGCACGGATCCGCGGCGGAATGGAGAGAGAGGATTTGAAGAATCGGAGGTAGAGATAGTGCGGTCAGAGGCAGCGGGATGGTGTCGTTGCTCCGTTTCCAGCCATGGCAATGAGGGAAATCGTCTAGGTGGTGCAACATCCTTTGGAGGCGGAATATCTGAGCCTCTACCCAAAATAGGAGGAAGTTTAAAGGAGGCTAATCCTTGATCGGAGGGCTGATAGCAGGCTGGCCAGCCTCCAGATGATGGTCCGGGGCTTGAGAACGAGGATGAGTCAGTTGGGCTTCTTGGTTTATAGGCCATGTGTGGCGAACAAGACGCCCGTGGCCCCTCTCCTGGAAACGAATGCATTGGTGATAACCGGCCCATTGGTCTTTGTAGTTGACTTTCCCGTGTCTGGTACTCATGGGCGGGAGCCTGGGGCGTTGGTTGTTGACCGCTTGATGCTGGTCGCCGTGTTGGCACGTTACCAGCTGTGAAGGGGGACGGAGATGGCAAGATTGGAGGTGTCCACATTGGAGGCTGCATCGTAGCTGTCGGGCTCGATCCCATCCTCCTTTCTCCTTCATTCGAGGCTCCACCGTGGGAGTGACTGAAATCTGTGCTGGGTCTGATTTCTCTGGACGACGGATTTCTCTTATGTCCTCGGGCAGGACCCATAATGGTGGAGGAATGCTGTGACACTCGCAGAATTCCTGGTTGCCCAAAGGTTGATTCGTAAGTACGAATAGGGCCCTCTTCCGCCTTCAAAGGAGGCCGACCACGGCGCTTATGTGTTACGTCCACACAAGATTCCTACAACACGGTTCGGTTAGTTAATATTTCGCCAAAGGTTTTGTAGGGGTTCATAATGATGGCAAAAACGTACTTCTTTACCTGCAACGACACATCTTCGACAAGGCCGCGCCGAATCACATCCTAGATGTTTTCGCTTGCAATTGACACAAGCAGATGCAACATGAGCTTTTGCTCTGCGTGTTGATCGCGGGGGAAGCGTTGTCGTCCGTGGGGAAATAGTATTCGGTGCTCCAAATGCTGGTAGTAGATGTGGTGGGCGGATATCGTTCACAGACGGAAGCCCGTACTGCTGATTTGACATCTGCGACTGTCTCGGATCGTGGACCATCCCCTGTCCCCCGTTCATATGATGACCTTGGTAATCATGATGCGACTCGGGATATTTCAGGTTTGATGCTGGCGAGTTTGGTCGCCCTGCATGTCTTAGTCCATGAGATACGTCAGATCTAAACTCTGGAGGCGGAGAGCCTGACATAGGCGGGGAAAGATATGGGCTTCGACAGCTGCTCGGATAACGTGCGTCTGAAACGCTGAGACTTAGAGAGAATCTTAGCGGATCTGACCCTGAGCGATGGGGCTGTCCGAAGGAGTCGTTAGGAAAGAACCGGGCAGAAGGTAGGCACTGCATTAGGTATGTTGTTGTAGTATAGACACCTAGGTCTTAGTAAATGCGTAACCCAGTAACTGAAAGATAGTTAAGAGTTGTGGATGGAGCTGTTCGAGTTCCGGCGGGTAAACGTGTCGTTAACGAGATATGTCCCTTGTGTTCAAGACTCGGCCTGCCTTAATCATAGCGGTCAAAATTTCCGAATTGGGGAGCAGTTATTTAACCCTAGTGCCAGAATAATAACCGAACGGGTCTGGGGGCCTTGTATGGATCGTCTAATCTGTAACAGTGATAGCGAGGAACGATGGTAGCCGACGAGAGCTTTACCAGCAGAAAGGGTCACGCAGCCCACTGAAATTCGACTAGCAATAGTCCTGGGCTGTAGGTGAATCAAACAAGCCTCACTGGCCCTGACAGCTCTCTTATAGTGTGTTATCGGCTGTCGAGGTTGCAGAAAGCAAGAGACTGCTGAGGTAGGGCGTGGGTATAAAGTAGGGCAAGAATATGGCGGTTTAGAACACGTCGAATGGAACCAGGTTTAACTTCACGGATATGCTTCCCGTAGGTAGGGTGTATGTAAGTACGTTGTTGATGGATCAAAAGATGACGTCTGTTACAATTCCCAAAAAAGTGTTGCCAGTGGAAAAAGAGAAGAAAATATCCCAGGACGAAGTCGAGTATGTATGTATTGAGTTCAATGATCAACGGATCGGGTGTGACCGTCAAAGAGTAATGCAAGGTTGCTGCCTCTGCCTGTCTGCGTATGATCCAGGAAGGGCGAAGCTGGGGGCTTCGGTGTAAGAGAGCGGTGAAGGTATAGAGGAAATGGTGTTCTGGAATGTATAGGAAAGCAGTCAACAGCGCCAACTGAGAAGAAAATATAAGGGAAAAAGAAAGAAAAGGAGGGGAGAGAGAAAGAGGAAGAAAAAAGAACGAGAGAAGACAGGAGGAAGCAGCTGTAATAAGTGGTGGAGGTGGTGGTAGTTGTAGAGTAGCAATAAGCCTGCAGCATGAAGGGTCAGGGGTCTGGCAGGTTATGGGCGGCGTTAAACGTAACCTAAAAAATTCCGGCTGAATGAATTAATTAAGCATTATTAAGATAGGCCTCCGATGCAAAATTGCAGTTGTCGAGGAACGGTGCTGGGTCTGGCCGTTTATCAATACATTTATGGCGAGAGGATGATGACTGATACAAGGACGTTTGATGAATTCCGTCACTCTGGATGCATTGGAGAATCTGTGGACATACACGACCCTGAAGAAGTACCGAGAATGAGAGAACTTTCGATTGTTCAATGCAGATAGATGATGCCCTATGGCAAAGCAGAGTGATCGTGAGCCAATCTCCGCTGGTGGAGTTAGGCTGTGTGTGGGGTCGTCTGTTTCTTTTGAAAAGGAAAAAAAAGGGAAGAGGAAGAAATAAAAAAGCAAGTTGCATCTGGGTGTCACCATCGTGATGCTTTCCTAGAAGAACCGTAAATCAGAGTTGGGAGGGTCTTGGACCGCAGGAGAATTGCAAAATTCGTTGCCGAAAGGAAATACGCAACCAGGGGATATTCATCACGCTGCACATCGTATCCGCAGTGGATAGGATGGCCTGTGCAGAACGACATGGGAACACTATCCACGGGCAAAAAATCGACACGGCGAGGGAATAGCCAGGTACCGTTACTAGCGGATTGTATACCGTGGATCACCCACCTGGCATAAAATTGTGGGCGACATCATCAGGCCTTCTCGCTCTCTTGACATCCCACTACCTTGAGTCAGGATGGGCGCTAGTTTGAGTTAGCTTGCTTGGGCTTGATCTTCATGCTGGTCGATCAGAAGAAATCATGTCTGTCTGGAGGTCGTCGTTTTGCATCGGCCAGGGGACAGTAAGATAGCAGGGATCATCTGATAAAGCCCAGCACCTTGAATAATCATGATTGGTACAGAAACTCTGTGTGAAATTGAACGAGGCCTCTTTTTTTTAAGTGTCTCTCACCCAGTACTTTTTTTTTGCATCCTACCCAATAAGAGGGCTGAAATATTGAGGACAGCAAGCCATCTGCCCAATGAATAGCCGATAATTTCTTCAATATGTGAGCCTCTGGTGGCAAGAGCTGGATTATTTTGCCCGGTTCACAATCGTTTTCATTTTTGGGATTCTAGGTGCCATGTCAGCTAATCAGCCAGTAAAGAAATGGGTGGTGGCTTGCATGGTTCAGCGATGAATATAACCCGAAGGCGTCCCATTACACAGAAATAAACCTGTATCTACGGAGTACTCCGTACAAAGAGCAACCAGATGTGTTCTGACAGTCTGGAGTAACCGACCAGACAGACAGATGTGCTCCGTGGAATTGAGGATGGTAGCTATAGTCGCTCCACTCCCTCCAGCAGCACCGGAAACATGAAACTTGCGAGATCAGAGGCAGATTCTCAGCAGGAGATATCTTGATTTACACCGTCTTCTACTCAGACGAGCCGTGCTAGGCCATGGACGGCGATGCAGATGTACGGAGCCCTCGGGATGCCGCGAGGTTGGCGGTTGGTGAAGTTGAAGTTGACGTTGACGTTGACTTTTTCTCCTTTTGACGTTGGAGCGTTTCCCGTTTCGGAAGCGCCTAACTATTGTTCCGTCTGTCCTACAACAAACGACAACGACACCAGAAGAAAACATATCAACAACCAGCGCAACCATGCACCAGAGCTACCATGCAAAGAGGTGCAGGGGAAAGGGGAAAGGGGAAAGTGAAAGAGCAAAAGAAACCCCGATATTATTCTACGTTGTGCTCCTCCGTGCTCGTACTTCGCCCTTCTATGCGAGACAAAATACCCTGGGAGCCGCGAGCTAGTCGGCGCCTATACCTTCGCTTTGGGTACACGATACATCTCTACGGTGTACATCTAACATCTCCCATGCAAAGAGCCCGTTGCCAATTCTGCCAGGACAGCATGGATCGCAGTGGAGGTTCCAAGGAGGTGTTCTGCCTCGTCCTGGCTCTGTGTGCCTTGCTCCTAGAGGGGTCTTTGAGGGCGAAGAACCATGAATTTCTAACAGAACCTGTGCTGGCTTGTTTCTCTCCGTACCCCTGAAACTACACGAGGTCAATCAAGGCTCCAGGACCGAAAGCTTGTCTATCTGCAGCACCATTGCATCAGAAGCATCAAAGCGCAAGCGGCGATCAGGATATCGATTGATCTCACCCCCAGCCCTTCGTCGAAACAGACGCCAAGACTCCAAACGGTACCAATGACAGATCACTCTTGGGAACGGAGCTTTTACACGGGTATCAGCTTTCTGAGGCCCGGTCACCGCCAGCTTTGCTTGCATTTTCAGAGTCTGTACAGAGGCTTTGGGATGAAAGCGTACGGACGAGTTTGGTCCAGCGCCAAAGCGCAGGGCTTAAAAAAGCCTTGTGCCATGTGAGGAGCTTCAGTGAATTATATATATAACTAACCCTGTGTTCTATATTTTTTTATTTTATTTTTCTCGTCCCCAGCTCTGATCTCATATATATTCAACATTGCTTTTTCTTCCTTCGACAATAAGATCTTCCGACTCTCCGACTTACTGACTTACTGGTTGTTTATCTCTTTCTTCTCAACGCCGGATGCACGGCGAATTCCGCCAGGAGAGAAAAAGGCGTCTAGCATGAAAGTCCATACTCCGTACGGAGTATGTGTATGGACTTGCCCAGTACGGACAGTGGGCATGAGAAATATGCGCCACCCACTTTCGTGATTAAGAGCAAAACCCGATATTATGGAGCATTCCCAACCAAACTGGCGCTATCCTCAGCGTCTCCCACCGCTTCGCCAGACGCTTAATTATTATCGAGAGAATAACCAATCATATGTCTCAAAAAACCCAATTGGCCCAGATAGCAAAAGAAAAGCCAGAACACACAGAAAGAAATTCAAAAAGAAATTATTATTTATTGATTTGTTTATTCCCTGGCTGGGTTCCGTCGATCATCCCGGACGTGTCCTAAACGTTATATCAAAGGCGCCAGCTCCATTTCAAATACACACTGAGGATGGACTACCGTTTGGGGCGAGGCTGTGGCTTGTAGCCACGGAGGATACTTTCATGGGGAAGAGTGAACATGGTTTCCCTCTCTTCTGCGATTTGGGGAAAATCTCCGAACCTTATCAATCCATTATTCTAACCCCTTCCCATGTCATATGATCGCAAGTCCATACGATTTCACACATATTTGGGTCCGTCTCTGATGCCTATGGCTTGTTGCAGCCCAGGAGACTGGAAGATGGATGTCCTCCGCTCTCCGCCACGCGAGCCTGATTTCGGACTTCTTTGGTTCTTTTGGGCGCCCTTCGTTCTCAGCTAAAAAAAATCTAAACGGGCCTTGCACACGACATTATGCATGGCAAGCATTCCTACTCTGGCTGCATTTTGAACAAATGCAATGCAATCACGATCGCCGTACCTCGGTACGGAGTAAGCGAGAGACATTTGCGATTGGTCTCTGGGGGAGAAAAACGTCAGCAAGACAGAATGCTCGTAAGAAAGAAGTTCATCCAACTCATCGAAATATATTAGTCGAGTAAGCACGATCCCTGCCACGGAAATTAAACGGAGCCTTCGAGATGCGAGTAATTGGAAATGAAAAATGGAACAGCAATTTTAACTTTTGACAAGTAATCAGTCAAAAAGATTTGTATACATGGATCTTGCATATGCATGTCGTATCATACCGCCAGATACATACAATGCTCCGGTATAATATATGGCTCGACACGCTGAGATGATGTATCCTGGGGTATCGTATCAACCGTCTGTTCTTCAAGCTGTCATTTCCCCAGCCTCTGCCCCCAAACATAAACCGCCGATCCCCTATTATTGTATGGCTTTCGGGTTTGAAACCCAGGTTCCGACCTTTTTTTTAGGTTTCCAAAGTTATCAGCTGCTCACTTCCCAACGTAACAGAGTGGCATCTTTTTCCGCCTCGACGGATCCGGCCTCTTCTGCACAAGATAAACGGCCCTTAGGACCTTGTTTCTCCAAGGAATGGACCTCCGGGCATGACATCAGAGCAAAACGGTCCCCAGGCGGGTACCATCAGCTCCATACAGAGTATCGTCTTCCCATTTAGGGAGTAGATTTTTGATACTCTTCGACCAGGAGATCTTAACTCGTGTCCTTCAGAAGGCAGATTGCGAACTATAAAGCGAACACCGCTTCCTGTGAGCCACAATCCTGTGGCTGCCAACGTGCCGCTGGGGTCATTCCCGAGGGAAAATCTTAGCTGTTATCCTGGCTTGATAGCAGAGAAATGGTGGTATCGCATCAAGCGGATCTATTCAAAAATTTGGCAAATGGTTTTTGCCGTGGCTCATTTACCTGCCTTTTCGGTAAAAGCGTCCATTGTCTGATCGGCCCCTACATAACCATGGAACTCGACATGGGATCCAACTTTATGATGTGAGCTAAAATTAATCCCCGAAGTCCGAATTTCGTCTCATCCACCCACACACACACACACTTATAGTGCTAGTTTATCACCCCCCCTTTTCTTTTTTTGGTTTTGTGCAGGAGCGAGTCAAAACTCCATAGTGATGTGGCATATCGATACCCCTACATAATATATGTATACGCCTATCCAGCCTGAGGAATCACTGATTCCTCCCAGGTCGCCAAGCCAAATGAAGCAATAAGGCATGCTCTAGTGGTCTCAGTTCCATTTAGCACTGTTTAATGCGATGAAAGGTCGTATTGAAGCCGAGAACCCTCATGTCCCATGAATTTTGGAGAAAGAATATTTCTCCAGCCTAGCTAACCTTACATCATTGACGCCATGGAAGAGCAGGAATACTCCGTACGCCGCATGTTGCCTTTGTCAAATGAAAGAAATTCACATTTGTACTGGCAGATTTCCTTTTTGTGACTGACGATTGTCGGTCGGCATCAACGGGATCGACGCGGGGCCAATAGCTCCTCTTCGGTTCACCCCATACCGAAAGATAGGCTATACATGGCGTTCTGTAACTCGCTTGGGCGACGGAGTCCTCCGTCTCCCTGGGATTTGATTTGGAGCATAATTTGCCAGTCAAATTTCTGGGCGGGGCCGAAGAGGAGCTTTGGTGGAATTATTCCGTTCGCGTCAATGGGCCATATAGCCGCCAGGAAATAGGATGGCGAAATGGACAAACCAAAAGACCTGTTCGGCAGCGCTGAGGACGGAATCGAGACGAGATTTGTTGATGCCAAACCTGACACAGCCCCTCTGGTCTCCATATCATGGAAACTGGAAAGAAGAAATGTAGAAAGAGACATTCTTCCGATATCTACTTGGCATTACAGGCGATTTTTCTTTCTTTCTTTTTTTCAAACCCCAGGTAGGATCATAAAAAAAAAAGAACAAGGCGGCAATATGTCAAGAGCAGTTCCCTGTGGAAATGCCATATTAGCGGCTCACAAATGCCTCGATACTCCGTAACGTACTTTATAGTTATAAAACTACCCCGATATAAGTACTAGGGCAAGCAATAATATATTGGGGGTTCTCACCGCATTATCGCGCTCAATAGCTTCTTACCGGCCGAGCGGTTTTAGGTATTAAACCTCATCAAAATACCAAAGAGGGTCTGAAACGATATTTAAGAAACCATAGTAAGGTCCCAGTAAACAAGTTATCGGCGCCTGTATAGTCTTCTTTCTGTCTAGTTTCTGCCTCATAGTTTGGTTCTCGCTACGGGATTGACGGGCGGCCCAGGGCTAATTGGCTCTAAGCCTGAAGTTTTGGGGTTATTTACCGAGTTCTCGTCCCGTTATTTGGCTGCCTGGGTGGGAACGTCAGTGCATGATCGTAGCAGCCCATGGTACCGCTGGGATGCCTCGTACATAAAACAACCCCATTGGCCTCTCCGGTAGAAGCTTATCCGAGGGGGAGTTGAGCTATACCGATCGCCCGCTCGGATCAATTTGCTGCTATTATGCACCATGTGGAGAGTTTTAGTTACTTTTGCCTTCCTGGCTTCTTCAACGGAGATCTAGAAAACTTTCGTCAGACGCTGCAAAAAAGCTGAGAAGGGTTGTTCAAAATTGAACAGCCATAACTAATAAGCGAGGAGGAAATAGAGAGAAAGACGAGAAAAGACATAGAAGGTGAAAGCGAAAGGAGCTGAAGGAGGAAACTCGCCTGGAGCAATATCTGTTCCATACCGAGCACTCCGTAGTCAAGCTGATGACTCCACAGACACGGACAATAATATGATCCGGATTCTCTCAACCTCTCGTCACATTCAGCGGCTGCCCGACTGGAGAGGGTATTATGACACACGATAATTGCTTAAAATTATACTCCAGCAGTTCACTTATCTTCGATTCAGCGTGTTGCAGGACTTATCGACAAGGTTACCGATGTATCGAAGTGCAGCGAAACGGCGCTAGCTGTACCAAAATACGACATGTTGCACTGCCTTGACCATGATAGGCGAGTAAAATCGGACTTTCTGCGGGTGTTCATCTCGGCTCCAGGTTATCCCCTGCATACCCGGACCAGGATCAAAGCTCAAGGACTTGTTGAGAGGGCAGAGACCAGGAGGAGGGCGAAATTTCCCCCAGCCAGAGAAAATATGTATTGCCTGGCAGGAATTAAAAACAAAAAAAACAAGACATCTCATCCCCTGCTCTGAGTTTTCTGAGGAACGCATCGTTCCTTAGCTTGGTTCTTGACATCAATCAACTTTAAACTCTCAAGCCGGAGAAGAGATGCTTTTATCCTTTCGGAGCGAACCAGAAACGGGCATCAGACATCAGCTTTTGACGAGCAGATTGATTTTCTGGCCCCTTAGTTTCCCTATCAACTGCTTCCCCGCGCTCCCTTGGCTAGTTGAGCTTGATACTTGAGTCTAGTCATGCAGTATATACGGAATATACGAGGCTGTCTGGAGATGTTTCTGCACCTGAAGATTCCTTAGCGGCTGATAGTCAAACGCACATGAAGAACCGTTGACCAGTGTCCCGCCGGGTCTTACCGTCTGCGTGCGTGCTGCGGTGGGTTGTTTCGTCTGATCAAATTAACAACTCTGCTGCTGCTGGAGATGAAGCCAACCGGTCAGCTTTAGGGCGGTTTGGAACAAATCATTCTTCCCCTTTCGCTTCACTCCCGGTCCGCCGGAGTATATCAGGTCAGACATGCAAATAAAGTGCGGCAAAAGCTGAAGACAGTGTTCTGTGGACACGGAGGATTTATTTTCTTCTTTCTTTCCTCCTTTCTTTTGTTCCTTTGTTTTTTCTTTCCGAAGAAAAGTCGTTAGAAAACGTCTTTGGCTGGCAGATGTTCAACATCAAACGAGGCGAGCGGCTGGACCAAAAGAGGTATGTCTTTCCGTATAAGGGGAACAAGATGGGAGCCGGGACTCTCTTGACTCGTTCAACAGCCGGGATCAAAGGTTCTCTCCTCCACGAGCAGGGAAATATAAACCAACCTTCTGTCAATATTCTTTTCTAGTTGACGAATGACAGTGGGAAAATGACCTATACGGATGCTGCCTGGATATCCTGGTAATCATCTTGCGGAATGCCCGATACCCTGCTTGCCATGGAGGGGAGATGCTTGTCTACCTAAAACAGGTCATGAGTTCCACGCAACCAGGCTTCTCTTGGTGCTGATGTGGGCGCTGCTGCTTCGAGTTCCCTCTTCTCCCACCGGCCCACCTCCGGCATCGAAACGGCCTGTGTTTGCAAGCGAGGCCGATACCGCAGTAGCTGAAACCGCTACATCCAATTAAATATGCCGTTGATTCATCCTGCGAATCAAGGTTGAGATGGCCTTAACGCTGACAATCGGCCCCATGTGTCCCGGAGGAAAGTCAAACCTGATCTACCGGGATCTCCGCAATGTGTGGCATCGTATCCCATCCTCATATCGTCTCTGGCAGACTTGAGCTGCCGAAAGCACGGGGTGTTTCATAGGGGCACCACCACTCCTTGAGAAGAAGTCGAGAACCTGGATGAACGGTTGGAAATCCGAGCGCGAGACAAGCCGTGCCGAGCCCTCCAGCGTTACAAAAAAGGACCGTCATCTCAAACCATGGTTCCTCCGTATATTAATTAGGACTACGGCACACGCGAGCGCCGTGAGCTGATAAGGGTTAGAGTTGGTCAACGTGGAAGCCCTAAGGCCCAGTTGCAACAGTGACATTCTCCATACTCTGCCTTCTGACGCTGTTAGTACGTTTGCGGGACAGCTAGCAATACCGGGGCTAGCCGGGTGATTTTCGGGAATACCTTAAAATTTAGAGAGACGGGCAGGGATATCCAAATATATATCGAGTCTGCATAAACACCTGCAAGCCGCGGTTGGGGTAAAGTAATATCAGGTCAAGATGATTTGAGCAGGCGGCGGCGAGCCAAGCTCGCAAGGCAAGGATGGAAAGCGGTCACACGGCGACAGCCCTGGTGAGCCAGGGAAGGGGATGTTGCCTGTACTGCAAGGTAGGAGTGGGTGAAGAGGTTAGTTGAAGGGGGATGCTGAGAACTGCGGCATATTCGTTATCTAGCTGAAGGAAAGCCTTTCTGTTGGTGAAGCTCAGTAAAGCCTTGTTTTGATTCCATACGTGCTGTATAGTTTGTAAACTGTCTATTATAGCTGGGATTTGGGGCCCCATGTCCTCCAAAAAACAAGGTGGGTGTGCTCGTTATGTTCTCATGTCTATCGGCCCCTACCTTTCTTTGAAGGGCGAGCGTTCTTCTCCTTTCTCTTTTCCAACTGTTTCCTGGCCTTCCGTACGTCCTCGGAATTCTTGAGCTCGCTTTTGACATTCTTCTTGCCTCCATATGTCGGTATCCCTGCATCTTCCCGGCGTTTTTGCATCGCCTCGCCCTTCTTCTTCATCTTCTCGTAGTCGCCACGATACTTGTCCGCGGCCTTTGGAGCTTGTTCTTTGTTATGCCTATATTTCCTTCCACTAATACCCCCCGTATTACCGAGATTGGAACTCTCCATCTCTCCCACCCTGGGCATCCGGCCAAGTCTCTTCCCCTTCTTCCAGGAGTCGAATCTGCCACTCCGGAAGCTTGCAGCAATCTTCGCTCCACTCTCGCCTCGCACAAGTTTCTCCCCCTTGGAGCCATCCTCGTCATTCTGACGTAAGACGTATTTTTTATGCCGTTTGTCCCAACGCTTAATTGAACTTGCACCGCCAAGGCCGCGGGCACCTTCATCACCGTTAAGGTCCATGGTAGCAGATCTGGAAGCCTCAACAAAATTGGTATTCGAATTTGAGCCGCTATGGACCCCATAGCCGCGATCTTCTGTAAGCGAGATAGATGTCGGGGTGTAAGACATGAAATATTCAGGGTTTTGGAAAGAGTTGCTTTGATTGCCATCCTGGCCGTTGGAACGGGATTTGCTTTGTTTTGGGTATGAGAAGGTCACTTCTAGGTCTGATTCTTCGGCAAGAGACATATCGGGATCACTTTGTATTGAGGCATCAACATCTTCGGCTGAGATACCATCCAAGTTTTCACCTGCGTCGTCATCGATTGACCCGTCCTTCGAGCTTTGTAACGGCAAATTCTGCGATGCCAATTCCCTCCGTATCTTCTTTCTTTCCATGACGGAACGTATTTTGCGCATCACCTCTACTGCCTCCTCATTTCCACTCTTTCCTCCCCGTTTACCCATAACTTCGAACACGGTTTCTTGCGGTTTGTACCCCCCGACTCTGGCGAGCATATTTTCCCTTTCAACTTCCATCCTGCTCGACTCATCATTGAATAGTGGGTGTATTGTCCCCCAAGCATCAGCAGCAACAATATCCTTTGCTCTCTTCGCACTCTCAGCCGAAGCAGAGTTTCGAGTCCTCATATAAAGCTTTTCACCTCGAATGGAAACTGAGCGTAGCCCTTCAATATCAATATCCTCACTTAGCAACTTATCCACATATTCACAGTGGCTTTCGAGGGACTTTCGCGGCAGGCTACCAACAACGATATCCTCTGCATAGTTGGCATTTTCTGTAGTCCCTCTGCCCATAAGAAGCTTTCGTCCAAGGAATAGCTGTAAATCTATTAAGTATGGCGCGTCCGAATCACGTACCAGGCTGTAACTCCAGCCCTTTTGACCCGCTCTTGCCGTACGTCCAACGCGGTGAATATATATCTTAGGCTGAGAAGGGAAGTCATAGTTAATGACGTTTGCAAGTACAGGAATATCAATTCCTCTGGCCGCAACGTCGGTTACAACCAATATATTGGATATGCCAGCTCGAAAGTTCTGGACCTGGATTTTTCGCGCCGTTTGATTGAGTGAACCATACGCGTATGAGACTGCAAAGCCAGAATGCCGAAGGAGATTGGCAATGTATTCGACATGGTGTTTTGTTGCCACGAACACAATGGTTGAATGCTCTGTGGGCGTGCCATGCGCACCCTGTCCCTTCATATCTGACCGTTTCCGTTTCTTCGAAGTTCCTTGCTTTGCCTCGTGGGTTTCTTTTTTTGCAAGTTTTCCAGCCTCAGTCTCACCAGTAGGGATCTTGATGAGGTCATGAAGGATGTGTAACAACGCACCCTCCTTGTCTGCAGACTTGACGGTGAAAAATGCGCTTTGAAGGTCAGGAGAAATTTTGCTATCCGCGTCCAGGCGAATAAGGACCGGTTCCTGCAAGCCTGCGCGAGCGAATTCGACCAACGATTTTGGAAGTGTCGCAGAAAACAAGAGTGTTTGGCGAGAAGATGGTAGCGCATGCAGAATTTCAGTAAGCTGAGCCGCAAATCCCATCTCAAATAATCTATCGGCTTCGTCAAACACAGCGTACCGAATGCTAGAAAGGTCCAGGCTCATTTCCACTTTGAGATGAAGGAATCGGCCGGGAGTCGCAATGATAATGTCCGGGTTTCCCGCCATATATCCGAACTGTTCTTCAAGACTGTCACCGCCGACTAGAAGTACGCATTTCAGGTCCGTCCCTCGGCCAAGCTCCTTGACAACCTTCAAAGTTTGCAATGCTAGCTCTCGTGAAGGTGATAGAATCAAACCCCTTGCGCCAACTTTGGTGCTGTGGTTCTTAAGTTTCTCAATCATGGGGATGACAAAAGCAGCTGTTTTTCCTGACCCAGTGCGCGCCATACCCACAACGTCCTGATCATCCAGTAGTAGTGGTATCGTTTTCCTTTGGATGGGGGTTGGAACTGAGAATCCTTTCCGTGTGATAGCTTTCAACAAATTTGGGTTTAGGCCCATTGCCTGGAATCCACCGCCTTTCTTTACTGTCCGGCCTTTCAAGGCAGATGCTTTGCGATTCATCAACGATTGTTCGGTTGCAATGAATGAAGCATCACCATCATCGTCCTCTTCTCCTTCTAACTCTGCCATCATATCAAGCGACTGAGTCTGTACTTCAGGCTTCATCTTTTGCTTTTGCTTCTTTGAAGGGAGCTCTGTATCGGAGCCATCATCCGCGGCAAACAAGCTCTTTGTCAAATCAAACTCAATCTCCGACTGGGCCGGGGAGGCTGCCCGCTGATGCATCTTGGGCGAATTTTATATCTGCGGTACGATTGAAGTCTCAAAGGATTGTCCAGTAGTCCAAAGAGAAAGAATGACTGGTGCAATGTTAAGAAGTAACTATTCACACATAGTAGAGGTAACCTAGAGACTCCTATATGTATAATTGCTCTAACCCGCGTGCAGATACGCCTCGACGTGGTTGTCTCTCTATCAAATATCAAATGTGAACATCTTCAATATTTTTTCTTTTCGTAAACTTTTTGATAATTTAAAGTTTGGGCTTCCATAATGGGCTCGGAGAGGATCATCATTAATCCCGCAATATATACACGTGACTTCCCCTCGACGCGTCAAGCATAAAAAATACGCGAAGTTCAATTAAACCGAAGAAGAAAAGAAGCAGATAGAGAGAGAATAGACAACTTGTTGCTGTACGAATGAACACTGCTATTTGAAGATATCGGACCTCCTAGAATAAATAAAGCTACTATGGGTGAGTTTTATTTCTAGTCGATGCCAATCCGGACAGCTAACCAACGCGTACAGATTACGGGTACGGGGGGAATTATTCGTCAACGCCATATGGAGGAGGGGAGGGTGGTTTCGCACAAGGTGACAACAGCAGCCAGTCAAAGGTACACAGCATGGAAACCCTGCAGAGGAATTGTCACAGTACTGATTGAGACGGTATACAGACATACGCTGGTGAATCTAGATCAGTTCGACCAGTGACTATTAAACAATTAAACGATGCTACCCAAGCATTCCCCGAAGCCAACTTCAAAATAGACAACGCCGACATCAATCAAGTATCTTTTGTGGGACAGGTTCGAAATGTCAATAAGCTGGCCACGCACATCACGTACAAGCTGGACGACGGCACCGGCGAGACAGACGTGAAATATTTCATTCCCCCCGAGGAGAAGGAAGCATTCGACGAGCTTGAGGCTATGGATGTCATGGCTATGGACGGTGCCGGTAGCGGTGCTGGCCCAGCTGCGGTGACGAACAAGTCCGGACGACCGAGAGCCTACCAGATAACCACAAACGGATACGCAAAGGTGTTCGCTAATATTAAAACATTCAATGACCGGCGACAGGTTAACGCGGTGTTGATCCGCCCCATAACGAATATTAACGAGTACCATGTTCATTTCCTAGAGGCCACAGCAGTGCATCTTTATTTCACCAAAGGCCCACCACCAAAGGCAGGTGGTGCTTCTGGAGCCGGAGGCGGAGCTGGAGGTGGTGCGATGGATACGGGTGCCAGCAACCTCTCTCTGCCGCGCATGTCGCCGATGGCACGGAAGCTATACGACGCCCTCAGCAACAGCAGGCAGACTAATGAGGGTATGCATGTAAACGTCCTGGCTCCGATAATGCAGGTGAATGTAAACGAAGTTTATAAAGCTGCTGAAGAACTCCTGGGTCTCAGTGTGATATACCACACGGTAGATGAGGACACCTGGAAGATTCTTGATTGCTGAGTGACTATTGCCTGGTTTGTTGCCCGCTAGCTACTGGAGATTTATAGATCAGTCAATTCAGCGAGTCCAACTCTGTTTGGATATTGGTGTCCAAAATTAAAGTCCAAGGGTGCAAGAGTATAACTCAATTACCGCTAGAACGCTACCATGAGAATTATTTCACCGATACTCCGTACATATTGGCACAACTCTACTGTCTATTCTACAATAGCACAAGGTCGGCTAGTTAGACGCCGTTGAACGGCCATCCCGCTTACTCAGCCTTATCTTTGCCACTGGGCGCGACTAGTTAAGTAAATTCGTCTCATCGGCCTCGCATCGGCAGCAGAGAAAAGGCAGATCAGGCCAAAAAAGACAAAAAAGAAAAAAGCTGCAGGGCGCCGCGTTGTTATTTTTGCGCCGGGTTCCTTATATATAATATATATAAGGATATCAACCAACTTCCGCCACCAATTGAGGGTTCGAAGGGAGGCTGCGGCGTAGGACAAAAAAAAAAAAGCCTCCGTACGGCCCACAGTTGACACCCCGTATTCAGCCCGCGCAGCATCTCCTCTGAAGGATCTCAATCGGACCATATCCCTCTTCCAGTACCGTCCAGAGTACAGACATCAAACTACACATTCCAATATCTGACCGGAATCGCATTAAACAGACAAACAGCAAGCTGTCTTCGTCGGCGGGGGGGGCACCGCATCCCACTTCTATCTGTCGACTGACATCATATGCTATCCAGCGCCGACAAAACGAGCCTTGGATGCGATATTTCAGATATATATACAATGTCGGACCTAAACGGCATCAGCCAGCTGAACGGCACGGCTGACCCTTCCACGGAGATGCACCTACACGACGTCGAGAAACAATCAGAAGAAACAACAGACGTACTAGAACCGCCAACCCTACCGCCCTTGTCGACAGTGACTCGCAACCTACACAATCAAATAACAGCATTCCTCACCGAGGAACATGATCCGTCTTCCCTCCTCTACCGCGTCCAGCAACAAACCCGCATCTCTCTAGACGTTATCCGAGAATCCCTAACACGATACCCCATCCACGAACTCTCCATCTCCTACAACGGCGGGAAGGACTGTCTCGTTCTCCTCTTACTCTTCCTCGCAAGCCTACATCAGCACTGCGCCTCGACCAGTCCATCATGCGCTTCCTCCGTTGCCAGCAACCAGTCTCATAGCAGCAGCAACCCTCCTTCCCACCCAACATATATACCAGCGATATACGCGCAACCTAAGCACCCTTTCCCTTCAGTCGAGAAGTTTGTCACGCAATCGTCTCGGGCTTACCATCTCAAGTTGACTCGCCACTCGACCGACCCTCCGCATTCTACCATCCGTTCTACATTTGCCGAATACCTGTCTTCTAATCCACAAGTACGAGCTATATTCGTCGGAACACGCCGCACCGATCCCCATGGTGGTAAACTAACGCATTTCGACCGTACGGATCATGGATGGCCGGACTTCATGCGTATTCATCCTATAATTGATTGGCATTACGTGGAGATTTGGGCGTTTATTAAGCATCTGGGGATAGACTATTGTCCGCTTTATGACCAGGGATATACCAGCTTAGGAGGAACCAACGATACCCATCCAAACCCGAAATTGAAGGTAGAGAAGGCAATTGAGGGTGACGGAGTGAATAATCATGTTGTTACTTATAAACCTGCCTACGAGTTAATAGAAGATCAAGAGGAGCGGCTGGGGAGGGATTAACCTGTGTTTTTGTTAGTTTTTTTTAGATTTCCCCTTTTATCTTAACTTCAACTTTCTAATCCCTTGAACCACAAAGGACATTATCAGATAGTGGAAAATAGACGTGAGAATAAAAAAATACAAGTAAAAAGTATCTTAGGGTGTGGAATAATCCGAAATCCATACTCTTCAAAACAAAACCAATGTACAATAATTTCGCAATTGTTGGCATCTATATCTGAATGGTGCATTGAGTAGCGGTGGCCTTTTAGATGATAGAACTAATAAGGTGATGACGGCATTCAAATAAGCTGCGTTGGAAAGCGTAACTTGTAGCGGCTAAAATAAGAAATACTATCTGTCCATGAGTTCCTGGCGCCATTCATAACCTGTATGATTAATTGTCGATATCTCATAAGTATGAGCGATGGTAGTAGGCATGAGTGACATCCCGTGATACATGTAGGTACATGCACTTAGCCGGTAAAATCTTGTCAATTGAGACGAATAAAATCAAAGAAAAAAAAGAAACAGATTGGTTCTGATACAGAATGCCTCGCCGTCCCGATACTGCGAATAAAATGAAAACAAAATCAATGTGTCGTAAAGTCATAAAAAAGCGGATCAGATATTCGTATGCTCTTGGACTCCAGGACCCAGCATGTAAAGAATAATGGATTTTCTTCGTCATAAGTCTGAGTGCCTTAGCAGGATGAGCGTGGGGTTGAAACAATAATATCCTTCCTAGAGGGAATTGGGGACATAGTGTTTGTCTTCATGGCCCTCAATTTCATGGGGCTGGAGTTCTCAGATTTACTTCCAGTCATACGTGGAAGTGGCAGGACGGTAGTCGATGATGAGCTAGAGAGATCGTCTGCCAGAGGGCTTCTATGGACTGTAAATCTTCCACGAGCGCTTGGAGTTGTTTCAGCATTGGGCGGAGCTCGTCGAGATGCCCATGAACCGGCCCGGATTCCGTTCATAGATTTGTTCATCATAGGGCCGCTTCTAGTTGCATTAGTATGTATCAAGCTGTAACTAATAAAGAGAGGGGTTCTTACGGTGGAGAAATAGATGTTGCAGGAGTCCAAACCTGTCCTACTCCCCCAATTGGAGAAGGGTAGCTGTTTTGAGAAGTTGGGCTAAAATGAGAAGCTGCTTGCTGTAGACGATGGAGACTTGGGGATGGAGTAGCACTGTTAACTAGCTCAACCGAGTAATTATACTCCCCGGCACGGTAGGCTCGACGCTCGTTGCTTTGATGTTTGAGTTGTTTTTGAGCTTTGGTATCGGCAAAGCGGAGGAGCAGCTTCACTCCATTTTTTCCAACAATATTGTGGAATTGCTGTACGACCTTTTCAGCAATTTCACGGGTCTCAAATCTGTAACTTATAGTCAGTGGCAGGCTCGGGGATAGTTAGAGGATAATAGCAAACCTAGCAAAGCCAACTTCCTTACTAACTCCAGTCTTTTCATCTCGACTTATTTTTTCAGATACGACTTGGTACGGTTCAAAGTGACGACGAAGGTCCTAAACCTTGGCGTTAGAATGCAGTTGCCGTAGAGATCGAAGCAAAGTATTCGTTTATACATACGGCCTCCGCCCAGTCAATGGGTACATTAGTGCAATAGACGTTTGTGGAATTCTTGTCTTCCAGATCCTTAAGACGAGAGTTGCGAGATTTCTAGAGAAAGTCAGCAGAAAGATTGTCTTCATATGATTTGAAACCCAAATCCATACCTGTGCAAAGCTAGCCTGGTATCCAAGGTGGAAAAATCCTCGGATGCAGTTCTCGCAAGCGTCGAAGCTGAAGAATTGAACAAAGCCAAACCTAGATAAAAACAATTAGCTCGGAGCAAAAGAAATATACAGTATCCTGAACATACCCTTTGCACAATCCGGTCTCCAAATCAATGATGGCCTTGCATCTGTCAATCTTGCCAAAACGCGAGGCATAGTTATGCAACATTTCATCCGTGGTCTCTGGGAGGAATCCACGAATGTAGACGTTAGTGATGCCTTCACGGTTCTCAAGGCACTTTGCCAGAGTCAAATCTGAAGGGTTAGTCCACATAGCAGGAACAGCACGTGGGATTGGAGGTTCCTGTTTGACCAGGGCATCAAGGTCCTGAAGGACATAACCAGAGCCAGTCTTCATCATCTGGTACGGAAGAAGTGACTGAGGCGGGTGATTGTTGTACATATAACCTGGAGCGGAAGAGCGATCAACTGGAGCAGCACCAGGGTAGTAATCCTGTGGTGGTCCAGATAGACCCATATTAGGACTGCCTGTATTCATTTCGTCAACTGAGGCCCGTGGATCAAGGGTAACATTCCCGTGGTTTGGAAAATCACCATTTGGATAATATGGCCAGGGGTATCCAGAAACACAGTCCGGAGTAAAGGGAGGATTTGTGGGAAAACCAGGGTAAAAATTGGGAGGAATACATTGGAGAGAGCTACCTTGATCAGTAGCACGCATCGGGAACTGTCCAAATTGCGGTGCTGGAGGAAAGCCACCGAACATGGGTCCGTTGGGAGCCATCATGTACTGTCCATAATGCTGGATACTAGGCATATCAACATTTGGCATAGGCATCCCACCTTTGACCGGAAAGGGCTTGGAAGCATTTGGTTGATTCTGAAGCGACATTTTGTTGAACGGATGGGCCAAAATGCCTCCATTAACACTATTAAGATTATTGGCAGCTCCAGGTTGGCCATAGGCCTGCTGACCAACATACGTATGGTGATGTTGATTTTCTTGGATATAGCCATTTCCCTGGCACTGGGGAGCCGTAGCTTCGGTCTGATTTTTAACCTGCATCGCTGGTCTCCAGTAAGTCTAAATTGATATGTCAGTATCAATAATGTATGTCAAATATAGCAGAAGAAAAGCATGGAAAATCCCGCCAGCGTGTAAATATAACTACTGTAGGGCAAACACCAGGGCAGATGAGCGGACAGACTCACTCTAGCTTGAGGATATGCTTGACGCCTATCCGGCTTGTAGCCAACAGGATAACGGCTAACACCACCCATGGTCTTCATGTCAGCGTTGAAATTCCTATGAGCAAACATGTGAGCTGAATAGATACGAAACCGTACGTACAAAAAGCTGCTTAACAGCAAAGATGATGGGTTCTGAAGGGGTAAAGACGGGACAAAGGACGCTGGGCTATCAAGGGCGAAAAAAGATGAGCCCGGGTGTAAAAACAGCGGTTGTCTGGGGAACTAGAGCAGGAGAATAACAAGAGAAGCCTCTGAGATACGGAAAACGAAGCGTAGCAACGATGATCTTGATGCTGGTGATAACTTGAGATGACGAAGACGACGAAGGCAGAAGATGAAGTTGAGGATGACGAGAAAAAGGGAGAAGAAAGGGGAGAAAAGGCTATGCAGACGTCAGTCAAAAGGAGGGGCAAGCAGGGCGGAGGAAGCAGACAGGTTGGGATGGCCGAAAGAGGAAAGTAAGACGTCTGCGAAGGAGAAGGCGCTTTTTACACTTGGGAAGTCGAAGTTGACGATGAAGAAGCAGAAGCCGAAGCCGAAGAAGTAGCAGTTAATGATGAAGATGATGAAGAGAAGGAAGAGGGAGGAAAGGAAGAAGAAGGGGAGAAGACAGGAGGGTCTATAAATATGAGCTGGCAGTGACTGTGATATCAGACGGAAGCAGTCTGATAGTGACTGCAGCGTCGAAGAGGACGCCGCATAGTGAATGCATCTCAGCTGGCAGGACAGCAGCATAGTGACTGAATAAAGGGCAGAATAGGCCTGGATAAGGATATCTGATATTCTGTTGCAGTTCTCTCTCAATAGAATGGCATTGAAGAGTCAGGACTGTTCCATGCTATTGTAGTGGTATCTGAGGTATATCAAATGCACAGGACCAGGTTGAAAGCAAGCTGCATGAATGAATAGATAGTAGAAGGCATTGTTGATATATACAAATATATAGCCATCGGCAGTTGTTTACATAATATGGATATCCTGCCGGGTGTCTTCCACCTGAGCTATGGCTGGTGTATAATATTGATATTGATGCCTCAAGATGGACACCCAAAAGTAAGCTGCTTGGTAAGCCTTGATTCATGAAGCTGAGTTAACTGGCTGCCCAGTCATCAGAAGCTTAGTCTTGGGTTAATGCAGTATATTAGCAGTACAGTAAGTATATCAGCCAATTTCACCCGAATATCCAGGAATCAACAGCAGAAGAATAGGAGGAAAAAGCATGAGAAAAAAAGGCTGAGATTGTGTTCCGCAGAAGACGGATAATTCCGCCTTGGCAGGGTTTAAATGAACCTAGGCAATGAACATGAACTATTTAGCCGATCTTTGCTGGCGTTCCGGCTAATATCAAAGCATCAGGTTCAATAACTTATTCAGAGTTGAAGTGTTCATCTTTCAATAAGTAGCCAATAGCTGTCAAAATGGGCGAGGTGCTAGTCCAGGGGTAATAAATTGGTAAATCAAAACACACATCTAGTACAGGCTCAACCAGCCAGCCACAGTATTACAGCTTTCAAAGCATAACCACTCCTGTTGAAAGTTATTTATAAAAGATGATATATAGTCCTGTATATGCTTCTTCGTCGTCACTCATGAACTGATCGTCTAGTAATATGTAATAAGAACAATTGGAAAAAGTAAGGGAAAGGGGGAAGGGAGGCGAAGAAAACGATCTATCCAAGGTCAAGCATCAATAAAGAAAGCAAATATTAGCAACTTAAGAGGATAGTAGATAGACATTGAAGAAAAGGATGAGGAGAGAGGATGGAACAGTCGTTTGTTTGGAGGATCGGGTAGGAAAGAAATCAACAGTCCAGACAGACTCCAGCAAGAACCTAAATCGCAGATTCTATGAGATATAGACCCTCCCTTTACTTTTTTCTCTTATCTTTTTTTTTTAATTCTTTTCCCTTGACACCTAGAGTTATTAATTTGCCCATCTGAACATGCTGAAGGAAGAGAAATAATGGAATATGCGGATATGCAAGCTCGTTAGTATGTGGCGCCAAAGGATAACAAGACGAGGTAGGTAGTGGCAGGTAAAAGATGTTCACGACCAGACATCTTCCTGGTACGAGCCGGTGTTTCGCATATGCTTGACAAGCTCCTCGCCCTTCTCGGGTTTCAGACCTCGTTGCTCAGCGAGGATCTGGCCTAGGACAACGTTGACTTCTCGGGCCATGTTGGCTGCATCTCCGCAGACGTAGAAGTTGGCTTTCTTGGAGAGAAGATCGCTGACTAGCTCAGCGTGTTCCTTGAGACGGTGCTGGACGTAGACCTTCTGAGAAGTCTCACGTGAGAAAGCAGTGATAAGCTTGAAGGAATCGCCGAGCTTCTTGGATACCTCCTATCATGGCGTTAGAAAATCATGTAGACTAGAGTTGTGTTTTTGTAAAGTTGGTAAACAAACCTCGAACTCTTCCTTGTAGAGGAAATCTTCTGTGCTCTTACGGCAGCCGTAGAATAGAATGGTAGGACCGACGGTCTCGCCGTTTTCAGCCTGATGGACTCGTTCCTGGATGAAACCACGGAATGGAGCGACACCGGTACCAGGGCCAACCATGATGACTGGTTTCGAAGGATCGGATGGGAGCTTGAAGTTGGAGTGACGCACATGTACAGGGACATGGAAGCCATCATACTTGTTGCGTGGTCCGGTAATGGTATAGGTCAGGCCAAATGGATCTGGGTTAGGCTCGCCGTGCTGTTTCTGTTTCAAAGCAAGAAGGTAGTTTGTTGTTACACCCTTGACAACATGACCCGCACCGGGGACACGTAACGATTCAACGACGGCCGTGATGCTGATCTTTTCCTTCTGGACCATAGATGAAGAAGAAATGGAGTAATATCTTGGCTGGATCTTAGGGATACCCTCGATGAGCAGGGAGAACGGGACGGCGGTAAAAGGCTTATCGGTGAAGGATTGTAGGGCCTGGGCGATGTTGAAGTAGAAGGCAGACACCTTATCAGAGAAGACGTCCTTATCTTCACCGATACGGACCATCTTTTTCTTGGTCTCTTCATCCGGGGCGAAGGCTGCGAGCTGGGAGATGAATTGTCGTGATACGGGTCCGCAGGTTTCAATGTAATATCTGACGACGGAGTCATAGGTGGTTGGCTGCGGGAACGGGACTTTGGCAGTGACATCGATGGGCTTAACACGGATAACGGTATGGCGCTTCTCTTCCAGGCCAAACACCTTGAGGAAACGGTCGACTTCCTGGCCGGCATTAGTGGGCCAGACGGCGATGTGGTCACCAGTCTGGTAGTTGAGCTGGCTTCCCTTAATGTCGAATTCCATGTGCAGGCAGTTACGGTCTTTGACAGAGAACAATTCGCGAGACTCGACAATGGGTGAGAGGAAAGGATTATGGGCGTTGTAGGGTCCCTGGCTACGGCTCCTGAGGTGAGATGCGTTAGGCTCGCCCAGATAGACGTTCTCCGACTCGGTGTTCAAGTCTGCTTCTTCGGTGATGCTGAAGGTAGGTTCATAGACAGCCTCTCTCTCCTCGAGACCCATCTCTTCGGCCAAAGCCTTCCACATGGGCTCCTTCCAAGCAAGATAATCCTCTTCCATGGTTCCCGCACCGTCATCGCCTTCTCCGGCATCACCGATTCGTTTAGCACCGCATTTGGTCAGGGCCTTGTCCACAAGTCTAACCATGGCATTGTAGTGTTCGTAGGTGTTGTTTCCGAGACCAAAGGCAACATATCGCATCTTGGAGAGCGGCTCATCTTCCGGTGAGCCGCCATCTTCAAAGCTGGCATCGTCACCGGTGATAAACTGGAAGAACTCGACTGCGTTATCCGTTGGCTCACCCTCGCCGTAGGTGGCTAGAACGAAGAAGGCAACCTTATCTTCGGGAAATTTATCGAGGCTGGCATAATCGTAGTCTTCCAGATCGGCAACCATGGTCTTCAGGCCGAATCGCTGGGATCCCTCCTTCGCCAATCTGGAGGCATAGTCCTCGGCTGTACCGGTCTGGGAGCCATAGAAGATGACACAGTTTTTGCCGGTTTCCTCGAGCTTCTCGACGATGTTCCGGGTTTGGCCTTGCTTTGCGCTGTTCGTTGCGGCGTAGGTGGATGCATAGGGGTCCTTTACAACACCCCAGTATTTGCCTTTGGTGAAGTATGCTATCGTCCCGACGAGTATGGCCGCCAGGACGAGCATGTCCAGAGTATCAACCTGAGCCATTTTTGTCTGCAGTCCAACGGCTGTTTCGGCGAGCTATGTACGGAGGCAGACACGAAAAGATGTGAGCAACTCTGCAGCCTTGCTACCAAAATGGAGAATCTCAGGGGCCCCAGAATACGCACACAAAAGGCTGGTCGCAATGTTCGGTTGTCCTTTATCAAAGTCGATCAGATATACGTGTCCGTTGAAGCCGCCAGTCCAGCGCTGTCAGGAGGGGCACGTCCTCTTTTTTGGATCTTGCGCCGGCTCAAAAAGAATAAATATGGGGTGACTATTGTTCGAATTATCTGATTCTCCGGCTGAAAGTTTCGTTCGGTGGCCGCTTAGTTCTTTCTAGCCGTGCTGGGATGATTTTTCCCCCTTCCTTGTGGGATTCTCAAGGCTGAACGGGTCGTTTTACTTTGCTTTAATCTTCTTTTCTGTCTTTCTCTTTTTATCCTCTTTTTCCGTGGACGCCGGGCCGCCTCTCCCTGCCTGTGATTCCGCCCTTCGCACGCTTGTACGCCTGCTTCCCTTTGTGTGGTTCCGCGCCACGAAAACTATCTCTGCCCTTGTGGACCACCAGTTATGTAAGCCGTGAGAGGGTTGAAGGGATAGAAGCAAGGGAATGGATGAGAATGGGATGATAGCGGGAGGAGGCCAGGGGGAAGAGGTCAGTCTGCACCCTGGGAAGAGATACAGCAGCTCAGGGGTTCTATAAACGTTCCCTCGCACAAAAATATCTCCTATCCTTGCCGGAGCATCGGCCTCCCAAGCAAGGCTCTACTCTTTGGCCTCTGGCTTGGGACCCGAGAGCCTTCCCTGTCTTTTCCGTAGAATCTCCGGTTGAAATAACTATCTCACCACACTCCGTAACTATGTCTCGAAGAATAGTTTTTTCGACTGAGCTTTGCGGAGTCTTTGGACTGCCAGGTCACGGCACTACTGAGTCACTGCCTGTCTCCTGCTGTCTCCTGCATCTGCAGTCGCCTCTCATCCATTCAACTGGCCCGTAACAATAGCTATGGGCGCCGACTTGATAATTCTCCTGGCCTGCGGATAGGTAGTTAGCTACGTGTAAGCCCATGCCCATGAATAAGCCACCCGCGCCATGCGGGCATCTCATCTAGCTACCGCAACCACAGACAAGGCCCGAGTATCCCTGCTTACCGTGCTCACTCCGTACCAACAAAAACAGCTATCCTATCGTGTTCGTATCGTCAACCGTCAACCAGCGACTCCCATCCTGCTGCTGTCTGTCGTCCTTGTGCTCTGCCCGTAGTTTCTTGTAGTCGCCAAAAGCGCTGGACGTCGTCGTGATTAGTCACCCTCTCGTTTTTCGACCTCTCCAAACCTCGTCAACCTCAACCCTCGACCTTCGACCAACCACGACCGCAACGACAACGCCCAACCATGACCAGAGACGCGCCCGTTGTGTCTCTTCTGCGCCCTCTCGGAGCCTTCTCAGCGTAGCGTCGACCGTCTGTCCCAGCCCTGGGCAATGGATAGCACAAGAATGCGGGGAGCAAGACGGCCACTGCATAGCTAAGCTGATAACTACCCATCTGCTTGGCCCCCCTTGAGCAATCATGCAGCAGACTCGTAAGGAACCCCATCCTCCCGCTGTGTCTTCTCAGTCTCCTCCAATTGCCATTGGCCTGCTCTGTGTATTTCCCTGCTTTTCCTTGCCTGCTTGCTGCGTTGTCTTCTATTCTCGTTCGTCCTCGGGCCTCTGGTAGGGTGAAACGCGCTTGACATCACCTCACTCACCAACTGTTGCAGCTAGTCCACACCCGATGCGACAGGCCCCGCCAGGTCAAGGCCAGTCCCTGGCTTACAGTAGTAGTAGTTCGACCCCTGACGAGTTGACGGCGGCAGTGGCAGCACCAGGAGGAGGACCAGCATCAGCAGGACCGGCGGCGCATACGACTGCTATCCATTCTCCCTCAGACAGAGCCGCTTCTGCATCTGCTCCTCCTGCTGTTGGTGCTTCTGGTGCTTCTGCTGCCACGAGAAATCCACCTTCATCAACGCCACACAGTCGAGATGTTTCTTGTGCTCGAGGCCGGGCGGGAGATGCGACTTCGGCAACTGGATTTAGCCTTGCTTCTTCTCTTCAACTACACCCCCAGCTACGCACCCAGTCGCACTCGAAAAGTCCGGAGCCGTCGAGTGAGCGAGAACGGACCGGCGTCGTGGCCTCGGACAGCAGTGAAGGTCTAGAGAGACGGCCATCGAACTCGTACGGCCATCACCGTCAGGCCTCTATCGTCCACGGCAGCATCCAGCACTCGAGAGGCCCTAGTTTTGCCAATTCGCAAGTCACCTCTAGCCCTCTCAGTCCCGAGATGATCTCGGCAGCCGGGTTCGCGCCGTCTCTGAACGAATCCAAGCTGAACGGCGGCCCTCGAGAGAATGGAGATTACTCGCCTTCCAATTTTGTATCCTCCGCCGGCGGCGTAGGAAATATTCTTCAGGCCTCTCCTCTGTCGTTGATACAGGATACCGTTCGAGCAGACGGCTTGGAACGCCATCACTCCCATCGTCGAGCCGTCACCACAGGTAAATTACGGAGGGAAAACTCGCACTCAAAGAGTCGGTCGGGTCATACCAACCAGGAAGCAAAGACGGTGGGAGAGTATGCTCTCCATCATCTTTTTAATTCGGTTTGTCACGCTACCAATTTTTTTATTTTATTCTGTTTTATTTTTCTATTTTTTTTTTTTTTGGCTTTCTTCATCATACTGACTATAGATATAGTTCGTGGGACAGGCGGAGGAAAAGATTAACAAATGTATCATGAGCCTAGGGGAGTTTGAGGCGCCTGTAGAACAAGTATGCGGTCCCGGTGCGGACCCAACTTTTGATCAACTTATAGCCGCCCTCGGCCATATTGCGAAACAGAAGCCAAAACCACTTATAGACACGATCATGGTATGGAGAAAATCAAAAGGTGATGCTGCTGCTACCGCGAAGCAAGGCTGGGCTCAGGTATATGCTACTCCAACATCGAAGCATGCTATGGTCACTGCTAACCTTAGTATCAAGCCCAAACCTCCACCGCAAATATCCTCGACCATAATACGCCGCAACACAGAACCCCCACAGCCTGGATTGGACGCAGCAGATGCTGGGTCACCACCTCCATCCATTCCTATCATTAACCGACAAGAAGACATTCTCATGACCGAACGACGAGCAACTGTTTCCGTATATCTTGTCTGTCGAGTCCTTATTGAAATATTTAACCAAAGCTCTATCAATGCGATTACACAGGAAATGGCCAGTCGGCTGGAAGATATTGTGTTTGGGCAGCTGAAGGCAGTTGATCCTGAGCAAATCGCCGCATCACCACTGAGAATGGCTAACTGGCGCATTTATGGGCAACTCCTTGGTATCATGAGTGAAAACAATTTCTCCAGTGTTTCTAATCAGTACCTTACCGAACTAGCTCAATACCAGCGAGAAGAGGGACGGATGCCTACCACCAGGGAGGCAGAGACCAGAGCCGAATTGTTGATTTACGGGATGCGACACCTCCGCCTCCGAGTTTACCCTGATGAGAGATGGGCAAGGACTTGTGATTTCTTGCAATCACTTGCTAGGCTGTTCAGCGACGCACACGGCCAACGACTGAAACAAGCATACTGTCAGATACTTGAGACTTTTCTCCTTCCCATCGCCGCCAATCCTGCTTGTGACTTGTCCTCGCCCAAATGGAAGGAATTCCTAGAGATTCTTGTGCCTCGTTTATCTCAAGTCCTTATAAAACCTCGGCATTGGAATAGTGCTTTCCCTCTTCATATTCTCCTCCTATGTGTATCACCTCGAGATACATTCCTCTCTCAATGGATGCCCACTGTGAATGCTCTCTCGCCAAAGCTCAAAGAGCGCCCTACTAGAGCGGCTGCACTTCAGGCCATATGCAGACTACTCTGGACCTACCTGTATCGTTATGCTGACCCGCTAAGCAATCCCCTCCGTAAAACAGAAGAGGTGATTCGAATTGTTCTCCCGGGTGGTAGACGAACCTATCTTACCACCGAGCCTACAGTTGCGGAACCAATCACCCAGTTGGTACGGATGATTGGCTTCAAGCATCCAGAGATGTGTTTCCGCTCTATCATATTCCCTCTGGTCAACTCTGACCTATTTGCGTCCGGCAAAGACTTGAAGATTGAGAATATGGAGCCTGAAAAGATGGTTATTGGCATCCGCTCCTTCTTAGCTATCATGGCAGATATAGAAAACGGTGGAGGGACGCCACCTCCTTTTCCCCAAGAGTTTGCGATCACAGAGCAAAGCCCCATGTCCCCTTTCGCTCCCCAGGCATCTATCCCCGAACCACAGTATACCACACAGTCAACCCCTAAATCTCAGTCATCCCCAATCCCATTCAACCCGTCAAAGTTGAATGATAGCACACGAAAATATTACCTACGTTTTTGCGAAATATTAGGAAAGATCACTATATTATGCGACAACACTTTCGGGGGGCAGGCGGCACTCGATGAAAAATTTGGCGGTGTTACACCCAAAACTCCTATAACAGAACATTTCACCTTCGGCCGACGCGATGACCATGCGAGCACTCCTGACCAAAAGCAAGGATTTTACGACCTTCTCCATGTCGCTGTCCAAGCACTTCCCCGCTGCCTTTCGGATCACATACCGTTCAACTCTCTCATTAACCTGCTCTGTACAGGAACCGCACATGTACAGTCCAATATTGCAGCTTCGTCCGCAGAATCGCTCAAGTCAATTGCCCGTCAATCATATGCTCAGCATGTTGCTATTGGGTTTGCTCGTTTCATATTTAATTTTGACGCAAGGTATTCAACAATGTCTGATGAGGGCATGTTAGGTCCAGGCCATATCGAATCAACGTTACAGTTATATGTTCAACTTATCCAGATATGGATCGAGGAAATCAGGCAGAAAACCAAAGATGCAACCATTGACTTGCCTGAGAAGCCTAGTACAGGTGCCCGAGGACTTCAGCTTGACCTGTCTGGTGTTCTCGCTCATGTGGAGGAAATTGAGTCTCACGGGTTATTCTTTCTATGTTCTCAATCTAGGATTGTTCGAGCATTTGCCATTACGGTCCTTCGCCTTGTGACTGAGTTCGATACCGCTCTGGGAAAAAACAATACTCGGATTATCCGTATAATGGAAGGGGACTCACGACGTGTTCTAGACTTGAAAGACGAATCCTTAACTGTTGCTGAGAGAAGCAGGCTTCAAAAGGGCAGGCAAGAAAATACAGCACACAACACCCTTATTGAATTGTGCAGTAGCGAGGTGTCATACGACTCGACTTTGTGGGCCAAAGTGTTTCCAAACCTCATTCGTATCAGTTTTGATACTTGTCCCTTTGCCGTCACTCTTGGACGTGAAATTGTTTGTGCCAGATTAGTTCACATGCACAAACAAATCACTCATATCGCTGAAGGCCCCCCACCAATGCAACTAAGTTCTCCTGATCATATCCCCACGCGCCCAATTATTTTGCGAAACGGGACTTCACCTGAAGTCATGATCGAACAATGGAAGCTGTATCTTATCATGGCCTGCACTACGTTGAACAGTGCTGGTGCGCAGTCTCAGAGTCAATTGGCAAATGCACAACACGCTCGGAAGGCTTCCAAGTCCGGACAGCAAAGCCAGGATAAGATTAACTCGGCAAGGTCACTTTTCGCCTTCGTGATTCCGCTACTTTCTGCCCCTCATGACTCTATTAGGAGTGCTATTGTTGTTGCCCTCGGCTCTATCAACATTGCGTTGTACCGAACCCTCCTGGAATCGCTGCAATATGCTGTAACTACTTGTAAGGAAGAGGCTAAGGTTCGCATCGGAACTCACCTTCGCACCCCAAGTACTCCAAGGCGGAATAGACGTACAGATCTTCTTAGGACGGAAGTCACCAACGTGTATAAAGCGACTTCTCATTTCCTCAAGGAGCCGGAAGTATCTAATGATGACTGGATACTTAATAACATGGTGACGTATACCCGAGACCTTAGGATATTCCTCAGTGATGTAGAGGTGCAAAACGATCTGGAGTTCCAAAATCTTCGATTCCACTTCTGCGGATTACTCGAACAGCTATTTGATGGCATCAAACGCTCAAAAGAACCTTCTCGATGGATGCCATTTGAGTCCAGGAAATCCGCCTTCTCTCTCATGGAAGATTGGTGCGGTTACTCTCCGAATCAGAACCAAATAGCGGTTCGAGAGGAAAATATGCGGAAGCTCACCATTGCGAGGCAAAGAGAAAACGGGGAAGTTCGTAGCACCGCTGCAATGGAGATTGAGAAAAGAAATTTACGCACCGCTGCCCTGAGTGCCATGGCATCTCTCTGTGGGGGCCCGATACGCATTTCCACAGAAAGCGGAGCCACTCTCCAGTTTGATATTAGACGCATGCTTTCGTGGATCGATATAATTCTCAACACCGAGAGTGATAAATTACATACCATTGGCCGGCGAGCATTGAAGAATCTGATCGTTCATAACAAAACTCTCCCGTACTTGCTTGAGCAATGTATCGAGATGTGTTACCTATCGGAGCGACCGAAGGCTCTCGAAAGTTACTTCGAAGTCTTTTCCCAAGTTGTTGTGGAAGAAAGTGACTACCCGGTTGCATTTTGGCGTATCCTAGGGGCCGTCTTGTTCACCCTCGGAAACTCTAAGAGGGAAATTCGCATGAAATCCGCTCGCTTGCTAAGGACAATTGAGGAACGCGAGCAGAAGAACTCGAGGTTACAGGATTTCGACATTAGTATTTCTGACAGGACAACTGCTGTCTACAAGCTTGCTCAATTCGAAACTTCGAAGCGACTTGCACAGCAACATGCCGATTTGGCATTTATCATCTTTTCAGAGTTCTCATTGCACTTTAAAAATATCCAGCCGGATACACAGCGTAATATGGTTGCTGCCATTCTCCCCTGGGTACAAGCAATCGAGCTTCAATTAGACCCAAATGGTGGCCCAACTTCTAAATCCTACATGCTGTTATCCAACCTTTTTGAAATCACCATCCGGTCTGGTACTGTGCTACCAAACGAGGTTCAAGCCCTTTGGCAAGCTCTTGCAACTGGCCCTCATGCTGGCAATGTGCAGCTGGTTCTTGACTTTATCATCAACCTCTGTCTAGAGCGGAGGGAACAAAATTTTGTCGATTATGCCAAACAGATAGTTGTTTTCCTAGCGTCAACCCCCGCTGGCTCGAAGGTGATCGAATTTTTCTTGCTTCAAGTGGTGCCTAAAAACATGGTACACGAGCGGCGTGAGCCGCTTCCCGCTCCTTCTGACCTGTCAAGCCTGCCATACGTTGCCGACCTAGGTACTATTTTACCCGTCGGGAACAAGCAGGTTGGCTTATCTTTGGGACAAGTGTCCATGATATTTCTCGTCGATCTGATGGTTGCACCAGTTAGCATCGGATTTGAGAGTGTCATCAAGTTAATCCATGTTGCACTTATATTTTGGGACCACTATACTTTGACCGTTAGAGACCAAGCACGAGAAATGTTAGTCCATCTAATTCATGAGCTTGTTGCATCGAAATTGGAGAATGAGGTCGAAAGTGCCCAGCGTCAATCTATCGAGGATTTCGTGGAGTGCATCAGGCAAAGCGATCCTACAGTGGTATGGGAGTATGAAGACAATAATGGAAAAGATGAGAAAGCAGCGGGTACAAGAGTGCCATCGTCCATGCACCATGTTGCCCACAGTGTCGCTGGAATATTTACCGCTGTATACGAAGGAGTGAATGACCATTGGTCTAGAGAAGCGCTGAACTGGGCCACATCTTGTCCGGTTAGGCATCTTGCTTGTCGATCATTCCAAGTATTCAGATGCATATCCACGTCTCTTGATTCTCGGATGCTTGCCGACATGCTTGCACGGTTATCGAATACCATTGCCGAGGAAGAAACGGACTACCAGACGTTCTCGATGGAAATATTGACGACATTAAAAGTCATCATCAGCTCCCTTGCCCCGCAAGACCTGTTACGATACCCTCAGCTATTTTGGACCACCTGTGCTTGTCTGAATACGATCCATGAACGTGAATTTATGGAAAGTCTTGCTATGCTTGAGAAGTACTTGGATAAAATAGATCTGTCTGATGAGAGCGTGGCTGCAAATCTCTTAGAATGCAAGCCGCCGAAATGGGAGGGTGAATTCTGCGGGATTCAAGACCTGGTCTATAAGGGATTGAAGTCGTCGGAGTCATTGCACGAGGCCCTCAGGATGCTCAGGAGGCTTGCGGTACTACCGAATAACGATTTGATTGGTGATGGGAATCGCTTGTTGTTTGCGATATGGGCAAACCTCCCCGAGCTGTTAAATGAATACGATACCTCAAAGCCCTCAACCAATATTGAGATTCAAGCGACTCTCCTCGCCAGCATCGCCGACAAACAAGGCTACTCTCAACTGTCTAACGGATTGTTAGCTCTTTCCCGAGCGCAATATCGGACAAGCGACGAGTTTTTGGCCGTCATTGTCAACTCAATATCGATGTACTTTTTCCCAGGCCAGGATGTGCAGAGCTTAGTATTCTTAATGGGCCTGCTAACTAACAACACGTCGTGGTTCCGAGTCAGTCTCATGCGGATTCTCAGTTTAGTAATATCAGAGATCGACATGCGCCGACCAGATATCTCCTGCCATGGCCCCGACCTCATATCTCCCTTACTTCGTCTTCTCCATACAAACCTTTGCCCCCAAGCCCTTGGAGTTCTCGACCATATCATGACAGTTGCCGGAAACCCGATGGAACGCCACCATCTTCGAATGAGTATGGCTTCTTCAGCCTCATCAAGAGCCATTCGGAAAGAGTTTGAAGGTATCCAGAGCTTATACGGCATCCCTGAGCCTAATGGGTGGTCGATTCCGATCCCAGCTGTGCAGTCAAACCTCACTAGAAACAATGTTCATGCCGTTTTCTACACCTGCGCAGAAGAAGATGGCCTTGGAGAACAGCCAACGACATCACCGGATCTAGAGTTCCACGTTGATGACTACGGTGACTCGTATTTCCCGGCGTTCCGAGCTGACACAATGAAATCAGTTGATACGGGAAATGAAACGAACATGGGTGATTTGCTCCAAAAGCTGGACAGTTTGGACGATTTCTTCGAGGAGACAGAGGTCAATCACTCTGTACCTTCAATAACCGGGGCGTCTCTGCATAGCTTTGCAACGAATGATTTTCCAGATGCAAGCACACACTTGTATGACCAACATACAGCTCCTCTATTACGAAAGTCTCTAGCTAGAACAGCTTCATCGTCCTCGTTCCACAATGGCTTCGCTGATTCTAGGCTTCCTCTTACACGCACTGATTCGAACAGCGTCGGTACCCCTTCTATTCACCCATCACCCTTAAGCACCACTTCTTCTACTTCTAATCAACCACGACGCGGATCCCTCCACACCCGTTCAATTACATCCCCAAGCAATTATTATCCGCAGTCTGGCAACAACAACGGCAATCCGGGTACTCCTGAACCCGGATATCTAGGCCGGTCCTTCCTATCTGATGACGAGATCGAGGATGCGCTGTCGGACTCCGAAGATCGCCTAACTCTTCATTACCCATCGTCTTCTACCTCACGTGCAGTCATCATTGGTAATAGCAACCCCGAAGCGGGCTCCTTTTCCTTGGATACCATGATTCGAAGCGGCGTGCGCCGACTTACTGGTGGCAACAACGCGGGAAGAGATAGAGATCGTCAGCGCGAGCTATTAAGAGCCCAACAACGGGCCATTGCGCAATCAGCTACTTCTCCCAGAGTACCAAAAGTTCCTCCCGAGTATTTAACGGGTGGCGCAAACAATCCAACCTCACCTCACCAGTGAAATCAACATACGTGGACTTTTGCCTCCAAATAAACATTAAGATATTGCACTTTCTCTGATCTATATACCCCTCTTCTGTTTATTGGTATCATACCGCAACCAACATATCCGTCATCTTTCATATTATGTTATTCTCAGTTCCTGCTATAGATCATGCTTTCCTCGTTGTTATTTGTTTTATGAATGACCTGTTAAAGTACTGTATGTGGGTATATGGGAGTTGGGTACATGCTCGGACTTTGACATTATTGTCTGCCTATCTATTCGTACATCTTGTTATATTTGTGTATTTACCCATGTACATCCATGCGTCGGCGGAGCATTGATCGGGACTTGATTTAATTGCTGCAGCGTTCTCTGATTGTGATATTATATGTTTTCAGGTATAAAAGAATGCATGACGGTACCTCTAGGGCCGTAGTGATCACACAGAAGGCTTCTTTCTATTCATCTAACAGGGCCTTACAAAGCACAGTCTAGAGAACCCCTCGCCGTTTTCCGTTAACTATCTAAAATAGTTCGTCACAACAACCGGCAGTTATATACATGACCAAGGCTCGCTCGCCTATAGTGGTCTGAGCGTATATCTGACACCTCACCTGTTACCACAGAGAAACCGCCGTCTTCTGCTCTCTCGTCTTCTCCGGCCAAATCACCCCTTTATTCCTCACTAGTGCATCAAAAACAACCACAGTTTTATAAGCCGCGTTGAAGATCACGGCTTAGGGCTCGCGGTTCTTGGACGTTGCGGTGGCGACCTATTCCTTTCTACCTTTGGCTTTTTTTTTTCCTTTTTTTTAATAAATATCCTATCTCGATCTCGAAATAAGCGATAGGTAAAAGCCATGGGCCGGCTATTCGTCAAGGGTCTGCATGGCTAAAACCACCGCTCAAAAAATGGCTGAATATGTAATGACAAAAATGATCGTTTCCCAACGATAATCGATTAGCTATTATGAGATGTATGTTGGTAAGTTCTGGATATATATAAAACATAAAGGTAACTATATACAGGAGGAAAGTTAGAAAAGAAGGTTGATCAAAAGAAAGCATTCAAGGCCCGTATGGTGACCTCGGACTATCTCCAGTCCCCACAGATGATGTATCTTCTTTACCTCCTCGAGTGGGCGGAAGACCTCCTCTAGTTGGTGGTAAGGTAGTTGTTGTGACGGAGATTGTAGTCTGCTGATAAACACCGTTCATTTCATATTGTTGCTCGCCCGGTGCTGGGCTTGAGGTGCCGTTTATCCGAGAGTACATCCGCTTGTACATGCTAACCGGACTGCTTGGTGATATCGGCTCACTGCTAACAAGCGTAGTGCAGGCAGTGTTTTCAATGTCCCTTGGAGAATTGCTATCCTGATTCGCTGACGAAGGGCCGTATCCGCCTTTGTGTTGAGTAGTGGCTTCAGAGTTCAAGATCAATGATCGCCGGGTAACCGCATAAATAATTGTGTGAATAAGCCCAGATGCTGACATTATCATTGCCGAGATAATGTAATAGGTAAATGAAGGTTTTGCACCGGCTGCAGTAGCCATTCGAGAGGCTGCAATGGGTAACGACAGGAAGACGTAGGCGATAGGATAGAGAATCATGAGCCTGACAACGCGCCTTAGACGGGATAGCTTCTCTTGGGACCTTTGGGTAAGAGACGCGGATACAGCGACCTTTTGGCGTAAATAGAAGAAGAGGATGATGTAGATGGTAACGCTTCCAAATTGTGAAATGAAGACCCAAATATAATGAGTCCCCAATCTCAAGTCCTCACGGTTTGCAGTGATCCAACACTATAAAAATCAAGTCAGTATACTGTGAGACACATGCATAGAAAGGATGGGGATATAGGGGGTGTTGACTTACCCAGGCACCGGAATTTGCATATGCATGTTTCCCTGCCACTAACATAGGTAACACAGTGATGAACAGAGCAAACACCCAGATCCCAATCACGCAGCACACAAATGTCCGGTATTTTAATTTTCGACCCAGTACGACAGTGATGAAGGTGTGTATTGCGATTGCCAGGACGAATAAACCACTGGTTGGAATCCCTTCTTGGAATAGCCATCCTTGGATGATGCAGGTACTTGAACTCCCTGCGATATGGCCGACCCGGTACCAGTGGAGTGTCATGATAGCACCACCAGCAGTTTGCATATCTGCGATAATCAGGTTGTAAATGAGGATGACATATTGATTATAACCGAGGTAGGTCGCAGAAAATCTTCGCCAGAAAACAAGTCGGTACGTGATGATGAGGAATGAGCAGACGGTTGCAATTAGTGACATGAAAGCAATCGTGACCACTGGCGGGAAGTATCGGTAGTGAATGCGAAGTAGAGGGAAATTAAACCGCTCGAGAGCTTGTGTCTGTTCGGGAGACAAATTACCAAGTCCACGGTTGGCTAACAAAGTGGTATGCTCCTCCCGGGCCATAGCGAACAGCTCCATTATCCAATTCATTGTGCCGGTATAGTTGATGCGCAATCTTCAAGCTGGCGGGCACAGGGCTGGTTCGAGGATGATATGACGGGGCTGCCAATGGCCATGGGATATCTGTGGAGGATATTGGCCTGGGGGCTCAGTTTGCCGGATGAAAGTATCAACCTGAAACAACACCTTCCAGCAGAAAAAACCTGGGGAGAGGCAGACGCACTTATATATAAACTGCCATCTTAGCTAGCGCCCTGTCGGGTCTTTGATTGAGGCTTCAGTACAACATGTCAATCAATCGACTCGATTCCCAAGAGGTTAGCTGCATGCATTCTAGGCCTGAGGAGGGCTGATCGCTTTTTTTCCGGAGAACAGGAAGATGGAGGCAGCTCGTCTACTCCAACCAGCAGCGTTTAAAGACATGCAAGAACGTTGACCTAGTGGTATCCTATTCGTGCAAACTTCTTGACTATCTTCGTATTGTCTCTTCACTAGTGGTAATCGGGGTCCACTCCCCTGGCGCTCTCGAGATCAAGAAGACTGCATCAGGGCGCTAGTCTAACTTTGCACGGCTTGACTGATGGTATATACACGCTAGACAAACGGAGTATGCAATCTGCGATCCAGGCGGCAGTGGCAATGGTAGTCGACATCACAGAATACAGCCATGGACGGTGCTCTTTCTAGAGAATTCTTCAAGCCACAATTCTCTCCAGCTCCTCGAACGGGGAGGGGACAGCCGCATACAATCTGATAACCCTGTCCGGTGTAACGGGCAGACGGAAAGCACGGATTATCACATCATAAATGGGTGACTTATTCCGAAACCTCCAGGAACCCCCTGTTTAAGGGAAACCACCTGAGGCACAGAAACCTCTTAGCTATTTTCGCCTCCTGAATCTGTAGATTAGAGGTAGCGTTTGGTACTTCGTTGCCAGCGGCAGATTGTACAACAGTACTCTTGTATGCCGCGATGTTCATCCTTTTTTTCTCATGTTGCCCGATACCCATTCACCATCCCCGTTGGCGTTGCCTAGAGCGTCTATTGAGTTGATCCCCTGAGAGTGGCGACCTTGATCTCTAGCATAAAATTCGCCGTCAGGAGGGGCCTCACCCTTTTTTTATTTCTGTTACCTCATAGCCCGTGTGACTTGACTAAGGATAATAGATGAATAAGCACCCTTAGTTTCTTGCTGCCTTTTTGTCAGCCCAGCGAATCTTTGACTATTGATTGCGGACATGGAGCCAGACCATGATTCGCATATCCGCCAGTTAGTAACGTAGATCGTCGCTAGGCTTCTTCATCCAAAGGCGAATTCTATGCCACTTGTCGCGGCGTTGACAGCAATGTCATTCCATCGCATGTACTCCGTACTCCGTATATACTATATAGTTATGGAGAACAGCCTGTGCTTCCCCAGATCACTTTCTTATTATTGACAGGGTGTCCCGGATATTATAGCACAACTGATAAGGGCTTTATGGATAATACCTCCACCGACCGCACAAAGCTTTCGAGCTATGTTTGCGCCAGATTAGACAAGAACTTCAGGTGAAAGTAAACAGCCGAACCACAGCCACTAGCGAGGGAATCAAGAGGTACTCGACAAGCAGGTCCCACTCACCCATCTTTGAATTCATACCCGGGGTGTATACCATCTAGCAAGCCTAGTGAAATGGTTCCTTAAACAATAACGAACAATAACGGATTGCCCCGCGTTTGATTTAGACCTTTATCTGAACAGCTTTGAGAATCCCGATCAGCATTATTGGTGCCTCTTAATTCACCTTCAAGAAAAAGCTAGAGAAAAATATCATCAGTCGCAGATAGTCATACTAGGGCATGTTGTACGCACCATCATCTAATAGTAACCAATCGAGCTGTCCTCCCACGTTGTTTGGAGTAAAGTCCCCTGCTATTGGCATCAATCTCCCTTTCAACGATGGACGAACCAGGGCGTAAAAGGGAGCCCCCAGTCCCAAGTAAAGCAGCTAAACACATAGTCACCCCATGACATAGCATCCATGGTAATAAGACTGTTTAATGGAGCTATTCCGCATCAGCATCAACATAGCTATGTCGGCCTTTCAGCCGTACATCACAACCGCCTCAAGAGCTGACATCGGCAATTGTGAAGGTAACTGGTATAGATTATTTCGGCTCTGTTCACCTGTGAGGCTGATAAAGTGGAGTCAAGTTTAAACTGACATCAACGCCGTCGCTAAGTCGCGAATAAACTATTGGAATGAGCGTCCTTGACATCACAGCCAAAAGGAGGGACCATCTTTTTTTTTCGGCACCTTTAGCATTATTAGTTTCGTTTTTTCGTTCCTGGCTAGCGACCCCTGATGCATTCTGGGGATATCGTCGTGATGGGTATAATGGGAGATCCCATCCTGTCCTGTCCTCCAGAGGCTTCTCGACGTCTTTCATGCCGTTTCTTCGTCGTTTGTTCGATTTTCGGACCTGAAGAAGTTACGCATATACGAGGTGATACATATATTACAATGACTCATCATCCATCTCTATATGATCTATATAATATGGTGTATAGATGATACATGACATCCAAGTTCCCCGAGGACTGTCAGGGGCAAAGGTGCAGAAGGAGATCTTTTGCAAATACACGCTTCTCGTACTCCGTACATAGAGATACTTATGTTACGGGATACTGGTGGTAAGTCGGTAGTCAAAAGGGATTTTGCTAGAGCTCATCGTTACTGATATACGTGATTAAGAGACGCACACTCGGTATATATGAGACCACTTCAACATCAAGCTTATACAGCTAGGAAAGCAAACCGAGTGATAATATGTGCATGGAACAAGTGATATTGCTCGTTGGCGGCTTAGGGTGGATATACCAATGACAACTTCGATTTGGAGATGGGATTGTGGCTATTCGGCGCAAATCCCAAGCCTTAGTATCTCACTAAGTCCAGAAATTGTACGACGCTCAGAAAGGAGCCTCGAGAACGAGGATCATCTTCATGAGAGATTAGCTGAGATTCTGGCTTCTCTGTTAGACCCCTTGTCGAACTACTCCGCTTGACATGTGAAGACTAAGATGATCTCAAACTTGCTGATACCGAATTGTTCTGACCACTCTCGAAAAGCAGGTAATGATGACCTTGCAAAAGGCAGGATGTAAAGTTATTTGCTTGATGTCTATTTTGCAAACGTCAGAAAGCTACAGGTAAGTAGCTTTGCTATTATTTTGCTGCACTAGGGGTAAGAACAAGGTACATGGTAAAGGTGTACAAGGTTGTATACATATACTAAATGAGAAAGGAAATACGAGAAGTCCACTCGAGATGTTTGAAAAGAACAAAAGAGAGAGAAAAATAGAAGGGGGGAAATCAAGGCCGCGCAGACACATATGAAAGTAGGTGCAATCTCAGGTATAGATAAGGCGTGATATATATAACGCAGCAACAGGCCAGGCAAATAATAGCAAATAAAAAAAATAAAGAGTAAAAATAAGTAGAAAAGAAGGAAACTGGGAATAAGAGTTAAAGAGCCAGATATCAATTCAGCACCACGGATATGGAAAGGAGAAAACACAAGGTATAATAAAAAAGGGGCAGTAAAGGTATAAACGAGAAAAGGTGAGGAAAACGGAGGTATAAAGAAAAGGGAGCAGGTAGGCAGTTACGCCTATGCGATTAGAGTTGACGTCCCAGGCCTGATGTAATTATGGCCGTTGGGCGACTTGCCCATTGTGCTGACGTTTTCTTCTTCCTGCGTTGTCTCATGAGCATGCTCATCATCATGTTCTACTATTTTTGTGGGAATTTCGTTCGGTCCATACTGTTGGCTTGATCGCTCTTGGAAAGTTGAGCTGCTAGCCATGGACATGGACGTGCTTGACCGGTTAGGGACAAGGTCGGGGGTAGGGGGAATAGTAGACTGACGGCCATCGGGGCTGAGATTGGATCTCTCGTTGTCGTCTGCCTCACTTCCGTTGGTTCGGTCGGAATCCATGACTCCCTGGCCCGAGGAGTGCTTGGAAAGCTCAGAGCAATCGAAGTCTGCCTGGGCGAGCTGGAGACCTTCAACGGCGGCGGCACACTGATCGCTGATGGTGCGGATGATATCTGCAATTGCATCGGTCTTGTCACGGAGATGTCTATCAGCTACGTCAGACATGCTTAGTCTTATGGAGCGTCTTCTCTTGTTGACGTTCAACATGCGGTTGTCTGCAGTAGGGGCGTCATCTGATTGTGCCGGAGTAGCGGACCGGTTACTGAGACGAGAGCTGGATTTCCGGCTCGAGCTGGCTCTACCGGCGGAGTCTTGGGGTTTGGATGGTTCATCATCATCCCTGGCGGTATCCTCGCCTGACAAATCGTGGCCGTCCTCAATGTACTGAGATAGCTCAGGGGAGTTATCGATGGAGCGAACAATGTGCTCGATGTGGTGGGCCTGCCCGTTGATGAGGCTGCGAAGGTGAATAACGACACGTTGGGCGTCGTCTCGTTGACGCAGAAGATTTGAGTTGGTATGTTGCAGAGAAGCAATCTCCTTTTCGTTACGCTTTCTTTCACGTTCCAATTCCTCAGCAATCTCCTGCTGGAGTACCAGAGCCTCCAGGGCATCATCACGCTGCTTCTCAGTGCCAGATAGACGCAGAGTAAGACGAATGATATCATCCTTCTGTTGGTCGATAAGACTAGTAAGGCGACGGCTCTCGCGCTTATGAGTTTCGATCTTGACTTTGAGCTCAGAGGTCTCCTTAGTGAGTTGTTCAGCAAACTTCTGGAACTTGAGGAATTGCTGCTTCCAGGTCTCGAGCTCCTCGACGAGGAAGTTGTTGCGTTTGGTAACCTTGGTCAACTCAGTGTCCATTCTGCCCTTAAGGTTGATGAAGTCTTGCCAGGCTTCAAGGGCATCTCTAGAGTACTGGTTACGTTCACGGACGATCTCATTCAGATGTCTCATGGACACCTTGGTCATCAATGGCTTCTTGACCGATCCTCCAAACACAGCCTTCAAACCAGTATTGCGGCCCTATTTATGATGTTAGTCCTGGTAAACTTCGTCTTAGGCAGGACGGATTATAGCACGTACCAATTTTTCGCAAACATGGTCCATGACGGCCATGACAGCGTCCTGGTTCCACCACTGGGGGTCCTGGACACTTTCAACCTCTCCCCTCATGACGATGATCTGACCAGCTGGGACCAGCTTTCCACCACCATAAGCAGATCGAAGATGGGCAGGTGGTCCGCTTGGAGTCACCTCTCCATTCAAAGCCTGGGTCAGGCGAGTGATCATCTTATTTCTCTGGCCCTGAGTGAGGATATTTGGAGGGCTTGAGGTTAATACAAAGTTGCGATCCAGGTCAATCACCAATGCATCAGTGGGTGCAGTGAACAGGTCTCGGCATTCAGTGGTTACACCAAGGATGTACGGGCCAGGCTCTTCAACGAGCTCCTTGACGTGCCTGGCATGCACAACAGGGTTATACAGGCCACTCCACTCGTACACGCGGACGCAGTAACGGATAGTCTCAGTGGCAACAGTCAAGATGGCAGGGTAATGGCTGACGAAGATGATCCTGCGAGTAGGGGAAACGGCCGCTTCGATGACACCCACAATGTTTGGAATGGAAAGGCAGCAGAACAACGGCCACATGGCAAAGTTTTGGTAGCCGGTGGGAGACGAAGGAAACTGATAGCACAGGGCATAGTCCTTCATGTCAATACGCACTAAGTCGTTAAGACGAGGTGCTGGGAAGCTGAGGATTCTGGACACTTCCTCTGCATGGAACAAGTTGGTGGCCTTGTTCCAATGGATCCACATTCCACGGAGGTAGTCACCAAGGAGGTTGTAAAGGGGGTATCTGGATAGGAAACTGAGGCAGTATGGGATCCAGTATATCTCGTCTGCGTTGTCATAGAAGTTGGATTCTGTCTTCTTACGCAGCTCCCTGATAGTCTCTGCACGCTTCTCATCTGCCCGAGACCAGACCTTCAGGGCAATGCCGTAGAGCGTGTGTGAAGAGTCCTGCTGGAGGACAAACGAGTGGTGAACACAGTGAGGCTGGTTCTTGCCGGTGCATATTTCGACATCATGGGGGAAACAAGCCTGTATATACCGGTTAGCCAGCGTACTCTACGCATCACAGCAACAAAAAAAAAGAAAGAAAGAAAAGAACGGTTGAAACGCAACGTACTCGCATAGCGGCATGTAGTGACTTTGCTATCTCGTTATCCTGCTCGAGTCTCGGGCTGCTGCCCAAGATCTCTGGCAGCCAGAACTGCCCAACGGCGCCCTTCATATGGCCTATCTTGCCCTGCGACGGCGGCGGGGCCTTCACCCACTGCGAGGGCTCGCGGCCAACACCGCAGACCATGTACGCATGAGTGAGCGTCTTGGGCGTCTTCTGCACCGGCTTTACGTTCAATGTCGAGGGAATTGGCTGTGTTATCCGTGAGTGCAGCGAGGACGTCCGGCTAGGGATCGTAAGGGACTCTGCCTGCTCGCGGGTGACCGGTCGCTCTTTGGTCGTTGGCCGCACAAACGAGGCTCGCTCTCGCAACGAGGGAGCCATGGCTAGCTTTCCCGGTGTGATTATGACGTGTATTACCTATATATTGTCGTCGTTGACGTTGACGTTGTCGGTGCTGCTGCTGACTGTGCTATCTCGACAGCAGGTGTGAAAGATATAAAATAAAAAAGGACGACAGCGAACGACGGACTCCCTGTGACGACCGCGATAGCGAGATGTTAGCAACTTGATCACCTCCCACAGCATTCCAGGAACCCCAGTGTGGGCAGCATTACACAGCAACTCTGTTGGAAATGTGAACATCAAGGATCGGACAGGTCATACACACAGTTCCGAGTCGGGCCAGACTTTTTTGTGATACAGAGACAGCCGTTTCAGACAACGCAACGCTCTCTCCCCTCCCCTTTTTTTCTCTTTTCACTTTCCTACGAGGAGATCAAACGGCTTATATGCACGAAAGCCCTGCGCAGGAAAGCTGGGGTAGTCGACTCTCGTCCTTTTCGTGAAAGGGACAAGCTCCAGGGGGTTCTCTTGATATGTTATGCGGGTGAGGAAATATACATGCAGGACGAAGTATAGGCCGTCAACGATGGACACAGCGAGCCCCAGGCTGCATTGAAGTCACGAAAGAAAGCAAGCCTTCAGCACCGGCTATCAGAAAAACGAACAAGATAACAGAGGGAGAGAGATAGAGAAGGGATGCCGACTCAGGATGGATGAAGAAGCAGGAAAAGAGAGCTGGAAATCGAGGAGAAAAGATACACAAACAAGGGTCAGGGGCAGGCCAAGGGACGACCAGGGTGGATAAGAGGATCAGGACCTTGACGGCAGCAGACTACTATGCAGCCAGGCTAACCCGAATGCTCCCTGGCTTCGTTCGTTGACGGCGGCCACAGGGTGAAGTTTACGCCTGCCATTAAAGGGAACGGATGCCAGTCCTCCTTCGAATTTCCAGCGACACGGATTGGCCCGAAGGTTTCACCACGGACTTTTAGGCCCAAACTCTGGCCTAGATGAGCTCGTCTTGTTCAAGCAAACGAGCAAGCTAACAGAACGAGAGCGAGCGAGAGACGACGAGGATTCAGACCACAAAAGCAATAATATGAGAAGGGACAGGGATAGGCTCGCTCGGCCGCTGGCGAACTCGAGTCCTTGCCCCACGGACTTCTACGCTACTGCAGCTGCACCAGTGCTCGCCAATCGGGGGCCGAGGCTAGTCAGGAACATGGGCTCAACGTTGCCGGGATTTACTCCCTTCCTGGTCAAGGGCGAGCTTGACAGGAGACAGGCAACGCTGGGAGAGAGGAGCAGCAACGCGGAGAACAGGGGGTAACCAACATTAGGACAAGGGGAACGATAGACTACTGCAGGAGGCGAAAACCTATCACGGCAGCATTTCCTTCACCTCTGCTTGTCTCGCTGCTTCTCATTTCGAGTGTTCAATTATATATACGGGTTGCCAGAGGAGGACAGACAGGGGCCACATCGGATAAATGATGCAACAATTAAGGCCAATTTGTGCCATGCCCTGGGGTCCCGTCCCGAGCGTAGTAACTGGCCAGACGGTTTTATAACATATCAACCGTCCGTCCGACTTTATAACTGCTCACATTGCTCAGATAATTAACGCCCCGACGATCCCCTTTTCTCCACCCCTAAAATATGCCACAGCGTGGGACGTGGACGGGTAAAACAAAAAGCCAGAAAAAGAGAAGAGAAACAAGCAGCCAGAAAAGAGAAGACAGAGAAGGCGAAAAAACAAACAAGGTGCCCCGAGGCTTTTTCCTCCTGGCACTCTGCCATCTGCCACTGCTCTTCCTTTTTCCAGGGGTGTGTAGCGGCGGCTGGCTTGCCTCTCTCTGGTGATTATTTACTCCTGTTATATAGGGCTCAGCACACATGTGGAACAGGGAGAGGCAAACGACAGGAAAGAGATTCAGCGAAAGGAGGCCAATTCTACTGCAGAACTCGAGCTTCTGAGGGTCCCAATCCCTACATGGGATCCCCCAACTTCCACACGGGTGGCCCCTTTTTCTTTCATTTACACCTGACGTTTGACTGAGATGAAGAAAATCGGTACTCCGGACAGAAGAGCTTGCTGGCTCCGCTTCCCAGTTCTTCTATCTGAAACCAGAAGATCTACGGAGTACGAAACCCAGCATTTGCCATCGAAAGAGCCCCAGAAGACACAGCTCACCTTTTTTGCATCTTCATCTTCGGTTATTTTTATATATCAAATTCTTTTATTTCAGTTAAACTTTTTGTTTATTAATGTTTTTGCCTCCTCGAATAACGCTTGATTACTAATCTTTTATCGATAAGATCCACCCACGTGATTATGAGCTCATCGATTTTTTTTGAGCTTCGAGGAAGAACAGGAAGAAGAAGAACAAGAAGGCGAACGAACGAAAACGAGACGGATAACAGCTCAAGCGGCTGAAACTGACAAGCTGAGAATTGGAGTAGCGAGACAATGGCGGACAAGGAGGTTCAGCCAGCCGAGCTGCCACTCACGCAGCTGTGCGGAATCTGGTACGTTTATTCCCAACGCAACCGGCATAAGGGCGGTCAAACTGTCGGTGACAAGGAGGAATGGCAGAGGATCCGGGATGAAGCTAATAGGATGGTGTGAATCCTGGGATAGTCATGAAAAGAGGCAAAAATACAAGTGTCCTCGGTGCGCCAGCCGCACGTGTTCGCTCGCCTGCTCCAGACGCCATAAGCTGTGGTCGCAATGTTCTGGCGTTCGAGATCCAGCTGAATACCTCAAGAGAAGCGAATTGGCCACGCCAGCTGCATTTGATAAGGACTTCAACTTCCTCACAGGTATAGAAAGGTCGCTTGAGCGTGCCGAGATTGATGCCGAAGCACGAGGAATTGATCTAGTTCCCGACACCAATCCTGATGGAGGCAAAACGAAGCAACGGAGTGACAAGGTGCGCGGCGAGGTGCCCTTGCAGCGAGGCATGGAGAAAAGTGGCGTTTGCATTGTCAAAGCTCCAAAGGGAATGACACGGAATAGGTTGAATTCATCTCATTGGCATAAAAAGTAAGTTTCTCCCGTTGCACTTTACTGTAACGCATGGCTGTTGAATGCATGCTGATCTATGTTCCTAGACAAAAATGCTTGAGCTGGGCAGTTGAGTGGATTTTTCCTGACGGCCAGAAGACCATAACCAAGTGCTTGGATACTACCAGCGTTGGAACGGCGCTCAACCGCGTTCCCCTGGTCAAGGAACTAGGGTTTGCCAGCCGCGTCAACGGTGAGAAGATCACAGAGCCTCCAGCAAAAAGGAGGAAAGTATCCATCGAAAATTTTAGCAGGGGCAGGGCCATAGACCCAGTGGAAGAAAGCACAGTCACCTCTTGCACTGTTGAAGGTTCAGTCAGCATGGAAGCGGACGGGGATCCCGCTCCAGATGATGTATCTTCATCTAAAACGCTGAGCCCCAGTCCTGCATTCCCGTCCACAAACGAAAGCGAGGCCCCCTCAATGCCGCCACCAGAATCTCTAACACCCACAGCTCCACCATTGCCCGAAGATAGCCCTCTCACCAGCAATGATGGTGATACTAAAATGCTACACGTTTACCTGCACAGGCCGCAGACATGCGCCAAAGTCCCGGTTCTGATACCAGTAACAGACCAATCAGCCTCCTTGGGAGCAGTTCTTCGTGACAGAACTGTTCTTGAGTTCCCCACCTTTTATGTGCTTGAGCTTTCTCCAGATCAGATATCAGGCGAGAAGTATCTGCTGGAAGAGCAATACGTAGCTCAGTATAAAGACGATATTAATCCAAATGGTTCTGGCGAAGAAGGGGAAATAGACGAAGAGGAAAGCGAAGAAGCAAAAAGGCTTGCAGAGCTAAATGCTTTAAAGGTAATGGAAGTACTAAGGAAAGACTTGGAAGCAAATGTTGCGTCATATTTTGAATAGCCGTCGGCATTGCATTTAATGATATATATATCTGGGAGATGCCATGGCCATTAATATCGAATTATGTCATGTCAATTTATATCCTTATATACATACCTTGTGAAAAATCATACCTAATATGTCAACAGTTCCACTATGCCAGTTTTCCAGGCACAAATGGATGTCCGGCACTCAAACCTCCACAGACCGCCCATGCCTGGCCATTGACGTAGCTACTTTCGTCACTGCCCAGGAATAAGGCAACACGAGCTATCTCGTCAGATACAGCACCTCTCATCAGTGGATTCAGCTGTCCAATTTTCTTTTCCGTCCCTCTGCTACGGGCATGGTCGTACATTGCTTTTGTCATACCAGTCTCTACCACACCAGGGCAGATGGCATTGACTCGAATCCCAGTACCACTCAGTTGGAATGAACATGTCTGAGCCAACGAAATGACGGCAGCTTTGCTAGCCGAGTAATCTGTCGAACCCGCGTTGGAACGCATACCTGCAACAGAGGCAGTGAGAATTATGCTTCCGGCTGGGTATGGTTTGGAAGGAGATGTCTTCCTCATGGCTATGGAGGCATACTTAGTAGCCAGGAAGGGGCTGTGGTCGCCAGTTAACAGCTGAACAGGTAGCTTGAAACATGGGGAAATAAAGACTTACCCCTTGGCGTTCGTATCCATCGTTTGCATGAATTCCTCTCCAGAAACTTCGGTAAATAGTCTCGGGGCTCCAACGATCCCCGCATTAGCGAACATGATGTCTAACCGACCATAAGTCTCTATCACATCGTCAACAACCTTCTTTACTTCTTCTTCATCTCCAGCATCGAACTGCCTAGTATGGACGTCGACGCCTGGGTACAAGGATTCTATCTCTCGCTTGTGTACGTCGAGATGAGAATCCGCAAAGTCACAGATATAGATAGCTTTGGCGCCATGACGGGCGTACTGATGGGCCGTGGCTCGTCCGATTCCGATGGGTGAATTGGTCCCTTCAAGCAAGATATGTTAGCAACACCTCAGTCAGTAGATGTAGTATCAGTCAACAACCAACCGGTTATAATCACGACCTTGTCCTTGATTCTCCTGTAAACGCAATTCGTCAGCATCGCAGATAACAATTTAACAGCCACGGAGATGTCTCACGGCCCAAGGGAGTCCTGAGCAACTTCTCGGATCCTGGGAATATTCTCAAACTCGCCGGCATCTGGGATACCTTCAACCAGCTGTTGGCTGAGAGCTTGTAACCGCTTCTTAGCAGCACCTGACATGGTGCTCTGGTTGTACGTAAGACGGAGGGAGAAGCCGTGCTATAGTTATCTCGTAGTAGCGACAGAAAAACAGCTTGATAGACCGTAAGTCTGCCGTCAGCCGTCTATACCATCTTTTTATATAGCAAGCCGGCTGCCCAGCGGCTCCTTGTCCGCCTGTCGGCTGTTGTGTTGGGCGCCAAAAGAAGTTCCGAGGTCCAGCTGCATGCAAACAGCGCAAACATGATTAGTTACCTTGTTACATATGGAGTGTTCTCAAATTTGGGCAATCTTGGAAGATGAAACTGATATTTTGAAATTGAACACACCGCAGGAGGATGAAGATATAGGGAGTGATGGTCATACAATGTGCCCTACTACGCTACAAGCCTTTTAGATTTTAGGTAGGTATAGTCCGACATCGCCGCTCGCACGCACTCCTCCACTAGACGCCCAATCTCGTCTCCAAACTCCTCTCGCCATTTCCCTGCCTCCTGTTCAATGTCAACATCGCCTGCTGCCTTTGTAGGATCGATCTTGGTGGAGCTATCAATGGTTGATCTGAATGCCATGATACCGGGCCGCCTTTGCTGCTCGTCTTTCTCCCAGTTGAACTTCAGCTTGTCGCTATCCAGACCGACAATGTTGCAAAACTTGACGATAACTGCCGGCTGTGTCATGATGTCATCTGCATCGAGAACCAGGGGCCATGCACCTGTATCCTTCCCTTCCCCAAGAGCACCATTGACATCATCAGTCTTATTGGACTCCTGTGCGTAAAAGTCATATAATCTTCGTGTCCAGTGCAGAGTCATGACTTTCCTACATGCCCGTTTCCCCTGAGCTGACCTGGCATGCTCCTCGCCATCCGCCCTGACCGCGGCACGGTACCATGATGGGAAAGCCAGTGCAGGGTGTCTGATTAAAAATATAGGTCGCCATGTTTTTAGAAAATCATCGGAGAAAAGGGTCTTATTTTTAGTTGACCGACCATTGGTACTTTGCACCAAATCATCTATCCCACGCATCACCCAAGGCAGTTCGTTAGCAACGCACCCCTGGCCATGGAGGAACTCAGTCTCGGCTACTGGATCCGTTAGGTAATGCGTGTGCTCTTTCACAACCACAAGCTTTCCGTCTGATTCAGCCTCCTCAACATGCTGAACAAGAGTGTTATAACAGTTCTTTATACAGGCTATCTGCTTCTCTTTCTGCTCGGGTGTCAATTCTTCAACATGTGTGCCCACGCAGTTTAGATCGTATCTTAATAGATGGAGCGGAGAGAAAAAGTAGCCTCCATCTTCACGATAGGCAACGTTGCTTTGTCCTTCAAGTGCCAGGATTTTCATAAGAAGATTGGAGCCCGTCCGAGGGCATGTAAGGAGGTAGAACCTGCCAGGGGAGCGGTCTTTGGCCATATCGACTAGGCGCTAAACCTGGTAGTCTTTCGAAAGGGGGATTGATATTCTGGTTGGTTTGTTGTTGCACCTGCGATCACCCCAAAGCGAAAGGGAACCCGTTTTACTATATATTTTCACGTGTGGTCAGCTGTACTGACTCGTCATCTTACAGTAAATCTGCTTGTCCCTGAGCAGATCTATGTAGTGGATACAACTAAGGCCCAGCCAGTATCATTGGCCATAATGGGCATTCGTGGCTGGAACTACGGGGACCACCTCGAAAACAAATAAATAGGGCATGCTAGAACCAAGCCTATTGTATATAGATTGTAAAACGGGCCGTCATGATTGTAGACCTGAGTGGATGCACACGTCGAGTTGGCGAATTATAATTCTTTTCGCAAGGTCAAACCCTTGATTCTGGCACAGGCTACTTCGCGCCTGACAGTGTTGCGGGAGGGAATTGGCTGATTCTCCCGAAAGGTGGAAAGATGAGATCCGATCAGCGGCCACAGCTTGTGGGTAAGTACTCCATCGTACGCAGCGCTCCCTAAAATAAGTGACACAAGGATGCACAGTTGGGGGAATTTGGCGTTAAAATGGTATTGGGGGCGATGTCCGCGGGTGCCGTTGATTCCAGAGCGCAATACTCCGTACGCTGTCCTTCCCGGATCCAGCTTAGGTACGGAGTATTTCAGGTTAATTAGCACAGATGTAGAATACAAGATTTTTGGAAGTTGGGAAAAGGTCACCCTACTATAGACATATAAAAAGAGCTGTTCTCAAATTTCTAGAAGATTGCACCCAAGTCCCCCAAACGGAGAAAAGTCATACCTCCTAGCCATGAAGTCACATAATCCACGTCGTTTCTACTTAATCACCTACCCACGTACCGGGTCCAACCTCCTGGTTCGAATGCTAGGGCTGGAAAATCAGCCTGATTTTGTCTCTGGAGATGATCGCGGCGGCTACATTTTCCTACCGACAATAAAGTTGATGACAGACCTGGGCCTTCGTTCAAAGGGTATAGCAGACTGGACACAAGATGAGATCCAGCAGGTGCAGCAGAGCTACCAGGACTGCTTTGACGAATTTCAAGAATACCTGGAGGTAGCATCATCAGAACGCCGTTCAGTTGTCATAAAGGAGCACGTTCATTTCCTGGTCGAACCAACAGCACTTAGCGAGCTGGTCTTCGGCACCAACAACACACCACAAGACATCCCCTGGACAATGCAAATCCCCGAGTCATACGGTCTGGAACCGAAAAGATCACTTCTTAACCAGACGGTGATGCCAGACGAGTTTCTCAAAACGTGGTCACCAGCATTCCTCATCAGGCACCCTGCTCTTGCTTTCCCTTCACTATACCGTGCCCTGTGTGAGCTAGAGACACCGGCCAATGACGAAGAGGCAGATTCCCTAGGAGAACATTGCATGACACTGCGCTGGACTCGGGCACTGTATGACTGGTATTCACGGAACTTGACGGCAACCGAATCTTACATAGATGGGCGCACTACATGGCCCATCGTTCTTGATGCAGACGACATAATGACTGATCCTGACGTGGTTGTCAGATTCGCTGAGATCATGGGTATGGACGTCTCGCAGCTTAGCTTCTCCTGGACACCAGCTAGCATGAAGCAGAAAAAGCAGATGGACCCGTTCACAAAAAGATATCTGTCGACTCTTCTTTCTTCTGGGGGTATAGTTCAAGGCAAAATTGCGGGGTCTATTGATATTGAGTCGGAGGCGAAGAAATGGTGCCTAGAGTTTGGATACCGCGCAGGCAAGAGAATTGAGCGGTTGGTTAGGGAAGCTATGCCAGACTATAAGTTCCTGAAGAGCAGGAGACTCACCCCGAGGCCAGCTGCCCAAGAGCCTCTACAAGTCGTGGAACTGTTCTAGAGAGGTTGGTTGTTGTACCCGGCTGTGGGAAATAACCGTCACGTGGTGTCCCTACCCAGAAAAGGCCCTGGCTGTCCTTCCCTTATAGATGATAGAAGTTGATTTTGATTTGAATGCGTCCTAGCGATAAGGTCATGTTATTGTATTATATCAACATTCAAAAGCATAATTAATCTTAATTTTCGACGATTACAGCAAGAGAAACCATCAGTGTTTCAAGAAGTGCAGATTATGGGGCGAATTTATTACTCAAGATATTTACTCATGAGGGAAATGTACAGAAAACATGTTACGAGGGTGGAAAAGGACCGGGCGATATTGAAGTAATAACTAGTATAAACCTACTACTATCATGATAATGATAGCTATTTACAAACATTCCGTTCGCCAATCCATATGACGCCAAAAAAAAAGGAAGTAGATAGGAAGATATTGTGAGGGTATATGACGGTAGGGTATAGTGAGATAACAGGGGGTTGACACCAATGTGTAACACTGATGTGTAGAGTATGTCTGTAGCTTGAAGGACTGGTGAGGTCCAAGTTAACGCATGTTCGTTTGTACGAGCTTGTTGATCGGGTCATAGAAGGGTCTGAATATAAAATGTTGTTGACTTATCGGGATCGAGGGACCAAGGAGTGGGATGTTATTGAGCGTTGGTCGTGGTTATGGCATGGCATGAATAGGCAGCGTGCGAAATATCATTATATAGATATTCGAAAGGGTATCTCCGTTAATTGAAAGCAAGGACGCCTAACCCATCCATGTGCCATCCGTAAATGCAGTTCTGTATACCAATCCCATTCCCAGGCCCAAAGTTCGCGTTATGCAAGCGTTTGAATGCAGTAGAGCCGCCCCCGTAGAAAGAAGCCAGAAGCCCAAACACCTAGCCGATCCGATCCTGGCCAGGTAAAAAATGTAAATGACAACGCCGGAAAATGCATTGACTGTCGACGGTCAAGTCATAATGTCGTTACAAGAGGTTGTTGGTATAGGTATGTGTGTTATAAGGTGAATGTGAAGTTGAAAAGTTGAAGTCGATAGAGTGAGGCGAAGAACCACGTGAGAGTAACGTGACTACCCCCTCTTTCGTCCAAAAATAGTAAGAAAGACGTCAAGCCAAAAAAGAGACCAAGGACAACCTTGGAAGATATCAAAAGCGACCACCATCGACGATTAGCAACGGTGAGAATGGTCGTCACGACCTATTCCTTTGCTTCTGGGGGAGATGATGAGGGAGGAGCATCCTCTTCGTCTTCTTGCTCAGCTTCAGATCGGGAGGGAGAAGGTGCACGCATGGCCAACGTTGGCACGGTGTTCATCTCGCTGTGGAAATCATCGCTCTTTGCTTCACCCAAGCTAGACTCGCGTATACCACGCTTTGCAGACTGGAAGCTTCGCTTGGAGGACGACTCGGTGGGCGAGGCACGGGCTCTTTCCATGTGGCTAGGCTGCAGCTTGAGACGGCCGCGTTCGAGGGCCTGGAGGAGCAAGAGAGCGTTAGGCTCATCCCTGACGAAGTCTGAGAACTTAGACATCGTCTCCTCCGAGATCTGGGTTTGTTCGACGTTCCAGACAAGTTTGTCAAGTCCCTCAGAGACAATAGACTTGGCATCACCAGCTGGAGCGGTCATGTAGCTGGTGATGATCTTGTGAGGGAGAGCACTTCCTGAGGTTGGTGATGCTATGTCTTGCGAACGACGAGCCACCTTTCGGCGTCTGGGAGAGGACTGTGGAGATACAATTTCCTCCTGGGTGCGTTTGGGAGCGGCGTGAGCAGGCATGAGATGAGAATGACGACCTTCACCCATTTCGTTGCGGATCTTATAGTAGACGAGACCCAAGGTGGCAGCGAGAGCTTGATGGCATGCCTCTGGATAGAGACGAGCAGCTTCGGATCGAGTGATATCAGATGGTAGCTCGCTGGAGTCACTATCATCACTCATATACCCATCTGTTGCGAAGGTTGATTCATGAGGATTCGCCATCCGACTCCAGTACTGATACCCTTCAAGTTGATAGAACTCAGCGAGTTCAACAAGACGATGAGCTGGGAGAAGAGAGGAAAGAAATGTTAATTTACTTGCAAGTTGTGGAAAGATACGTATCAAACGAGTCAAATATCCACTCACCCCTATTCATTTTCTTCAAGCACCAAAAGTTCCAAACGTTTCGAGGGAAGTAGCTGGGAAACTTCATCGAGCCATCGTCACCGATAACGGGGACAGGCGTAATGGGGGCGTGAGCGGTGATTGCGAGCGAGTTGAACCTGACGCTATCCATATGCTTGAACTGTTGTCTTGTGTCTCTTTGCATCGTCATGAGGTCGATCTTAAGCTGGCTGACAGAAGCTTGAACACCACTAACATCGATCCTGGCGGAGCACACATCGGAGTGCATACGCTGCACATCTTGTTGCAGCTGGTCGAGATGAGATCGAATCTGCGTGATGTCTGAATGTAGAAACCCATCCTTGGATGAGATATGGTTCACGCTGGTTCTGAGCTGGAAAATTTCCGCTCCAAGGCAGGAGAGGTCGGTCTTTAATGTCTTGAGATGGGAGACGTCGGATCGGGTCTTGCCAACAACGGCTTCAATAGAAGCCGTGATGGCTCGCTGATGATCAAATTCCCGTCTCAGGAACTCATCTTCCTTATTACGGCGGTCGACATAAGACTCCTTGGTCAGAGCAGATGATCGAAGGTCGAATACTTTTGCATCAAGTTGGTTTAAACGCTCATGGATATGAAGGAGCTGCGGATCAGAGGGCGATGGAGGAGATATTTCACGCTTCAAGGATAACCGGGGGCTACCCCCCGTCATGCTCGTGGCTCTCAGGAGCACTGGGCTTCGTTCGGTGGTGATGGTGGTCATGGTCGATTAGCGGATAGCGATATTCATAGACGATGTCGAGATTTCGACATAGACGTTGGAATGAATGAACCTTCCGCTCCTAGACCATAGCACAGGTGATATCCATTTTGAGTAAATCGGGTTTTTATGTGGTTATAAGGTCAAGTCAGGCGTCTAGACGAATATATTCATCGAATCGGTGATGAAGTGACGATGAAGTCGATGTCGATTGTCGTAAGGGCGTTGACGGTGAGTACGGAGTATGGAACAGTGGCAGGAAAGGGGGCGGTGGCCATCGATCAGTCTTTGTATGAGCAGGGCTCGATGGATTCCGCCAAGTCCGACTGAACAACGCCAAAAGTATGAAAGAAAAGCCTGGACAAGGATGATGGCCTGTGCCAGAGTGTTCTACGCTAAGCCTAAAGGGGTAGTCAGATCCAACGCCATGCACGGAATACGATGGTCGCTCGCCTGCATCACCCGGGGCTGCCGTGGCACACCGGTGGTAATTTACCATCATTCTCTTCCTCCTCCACGCCACCACGGAGGATATACCCGTATCCTGCTGTGTTTGAGAACTTGGAGTAGTATGCACTTTACTGCTACTACTACAAGAAAACTCTCAGCACTTCTTCTTGTTTCTTTGGCTCTCCCAAAGCAAAGCAAACTGAAAGGGAAAACAAGGCAAGGTCCTGCCCAAACGCGGCCTGACATCAGCTGTGGGCCGCAGGTGCCAGGGGGCCTAGACGCGCGTGTATCATTGGCTGGACGAAGATAGCTCTTCCCAGTGATTGGACAAACAAAGTGCTTTGGCTTCCGGATGGATCTTTGGGGTGTCACACAAGGAGTTACACCTGTGTATGCGCTAGTGGCATGACGGTAATTAATCTTGTGGTTTTGGCACAAAGAGGAGGGTAGGAAATAGATTCCTGAGAACCACATAACTCGCACATGACTGCGTGACAAATTCGTGCTTTTCAGCGCGTCTTTGAGGAGTCATAAAGTTACCGAGGCGCTCTATTACAGTCAGTCTAACGAAGACGATGAAAATTAGAGGACGAAGGAGAAAATGAGTGAAGCGACATGATGAGCAACATGCGGATCACAGTGGAAAACGAAAGGGTCTGCTTACGGCACACGCCACGCGGTCGCCTTTACTCCGTATCTGACTGGACGATATGAAAGCACTGCGGACTGCGGATGGGTAGGCCATCAGCATCATCATCATAGGCCATCATCGGCCATCATCGATAATAGCTGTCAGTGGATAAATCAAAGCCCATCCCATATTGCGTAAAAGACAGCCGTTCTAGACCTGGCGCCTGGTTGTTGGTCGTGTGAGTCATGTGGCCCAGTCACGTCTTGTCGTGGTAACAAATCCATCAAGATGCTATGTTTTATCTTGCCCCGGGAGCCAGTCCAGGAGACTACGGCACAGTTAATACCCAACCTATGGGTGTATATCCGGCCGGGCGGGACAGGTAAATGTCGCCACTCGATAAGGCTGAATATGGATGAGGCTCAGGGAGGGAGACGCGGAGCCGATCTTTACAGTGATGGCATCGTGTTGGCTCCACAAGCTGTCGCTATCATTGTCGACGTTCTCGATCCATATATTATGGCGCTATGATCATGCCATATAATAACGTATGACTTGGGTATCATGGTGGGTAGGCTGCAACATCCTACGGTGTAGTCCTGTACGGAGTACAGGTGTTGAGGCTGGATGACAGCCAGGATCATCGTTAGCCACCAGATGAGTTAAGATTATTCATACCAATAGGCAGAATGTCCAGGCAGGGCAGAGCAGCCTGATCCATGGTTGGAATGCGGCACAGCCAGGCAGGGAGTTGGCACTGCTCTCGAGGACGGAAGAGAGAGCAGGTTGACGAATAGTCAAGAATAGGCCATATTAGAGACAGGCAACTGTGTCTTTGGTCCGTAGAAAATAAATGATATAACAGGATAATAAATATAACGATCGCCTTCTCTTTCATATGTATACATATGGCGTCTCCAGCCTTCTCCCTGCTTCTCTTCTGCAAATCGTTTGAAGTTTAAAGGGCTGTCCAGTCACCTTGCACCTATCACGATCTAGCAGAGAAGTCAGGGGAAGCGAAGAGAAAGAAAACGCCCTCACGGCTCTCATAGCTCACCGTCTTGATTGTTCACACGAAGAAAAAGATCGCAAGATATATAAATATTTACATCTCGACATCAAAAACGACTTCGCCTTGTCGCCTTTTGGCGGGCGGAGGACGAAAATGGAAATTCCAAGAGTTAATCGGATTAACAATATTCCGTCATTTCACGTGATGTAGAAACTTGAGCCGCATGTACGGAGTAATGTTTGAGCACAAGGAAAACACTAAAGCTGGGTAGGATATACATAGATAGCAGCTCAGCATGAGCCAGTCTAAGTGGTTTGATTAGTTGTGCGAGGCCGGTTGATCTCTGATTAACAGGATGTCTTGTTTCTTCTGCTGCAATGACGACGGTGATGATTATGTTATTATACTGGCTAGCTCTTTCCCAACCATGGTAACGAGTGGGAAAATGACAATGAGAAATATACGTGACTAGGTACTTGATATCTCAATATACAGGAGATAATCTCAATACCCTTTTATTCATAAGACATATACTCCGTATATGCCCTACCAGCCATGAGAAGCTTCCGTTTTGTCTCCCTGGCCGGGCTATCCTGCTCTCTGCTGCTCCTAGGTCTTGCTACAGCATCAGCACCAACTAGTAACACGGACAGGTTTGAGCAAAGAGACCTCAATAACAAGAACCCATCTGATCCCTGTGAGTGCTACATCGTTTCTGGTGAAGACCCTGGATATTTCAAACATCACCGCTTCTACGATTTCCGAAACCGTAGTATAGAGCTCTCTGCAGATGGAGGGGAGCAGCCCCGGCGGCAGCAACTTCAGAGACGCAACATAACCCCTCGAAGGCTCCCCGGAACCGGGCGTGGAGGCATACCCGGGTATATACCTGACAACCTGGCATATGACTTTGATTCCAAGGGCCGCAATAACGAGGCAGGGGGAGCCCCTGACCCCAACGCCGATAGCAACGAGTTCCATCGCACCTTAGCTGGCAGCCGCTTCATTGAGGACTGGGACATCCAGAACTGGAACAGAGAGGGATCAGCCCTCTTCCCGATCCCTATTAAAAACTCACATCATAATGTCTTCATAGTGCGCAATAGCACCGAAAACGGGGATGAGACAACGCACATGATTCTTCGCACTGAACGGATGGAAGAGTATACCTCCACGGCTGAAGTTCAGACTCACGATACTGATATCCTACATGCTTCCCTACGCGTGCGGCTACGCCTATATGCCAACTCGGGCTGGGTCCATTTCCCCAGGGAAAAAGGTGGAAACATAAACACCGAAAACAATAAGACTTATCATTCTCTACCAACTAGCTACCGGACACGAAACCCTCCGGCAGGTGCATGTGCAGGAGTTTTCACATACTACGGCAGAAACGACGAATCAGACATTGAAATCCTCACAGGTGATCCACCAAACCTCGTCCGATATGCTAACCAACCAGATTGGGACCCTAAGACTGACGAATCAATACCCGGTGCAAGTGATGAGATTGAAGTTTCCGTTCCCTGGACTCACTGGGGAGACCATCGACTTGACTGGTTCCAGGATATTAGCCGTTGGTATTTCAACGGTAATCACCTTGTTTCGAAAACGTATGGGGTCCCAAAGAACCCGAGCATGCTGATCCTCAACCTATGGAGTGATGGTGGTCAATGGACGGGTAACATGACCGTCGGTTCATCGGTGTATATGGGTGTCGAATGGGTGGAGATGGTATATAACAAAACTGCCGATTTTGGAGGAGCCCATAAGAAACATGCCCGAGTTGATTTTGGGTTAGAAACCGAAGACGACAAGCAGGACGAGGACGAGGATAACGAGGGCGCGAAAGCCGCCGCGGACGAGCTCCCTCCCCTCCAATCCATCAGGCGCGCCCCTCGACCCAAGAAGAAGCAGCAGATCGGCAAAGGGAAAACTGGTGACAAACCAGAAAATAAGGCCAAAGGTAGCCGCAAAGGCAAGCACAAGGGTAAAAAGCCAAAGACAAAACCAAAGCCCAATGGTGAAGATAGCCAGGAGGAAGGGTGCAGAGTAGTTTGCCGTATTGATGGGGTTAAGACCCAAGGTATCCCTGAGATTGCCTGAAGGGTTATTCATTCTCTCCTGATATAGTTTGAAGCATTCGGTTATTTCTTCCTCCTCCTTTTTAACTGTTTTTTAGCCTTATGACCCTTCCGAGTTTGGAGTCAGGTCAGTTTTTAGTTATATTCGTTATGCAAATGGATAGACCTGCTTGTATAGTCGAGTGAAGTTGAAGCAGAAATGGCCCAATACCTGCATGTCAATTTCTTTGTCAGTATTGATAGGGGCATCGACTAAATAGTACTTCTTACTCCTGGTCTTTGTTGTTCACCATGGAATCTTCCACTCAACATGGAGAATTCACTTATTTTTCTAAGTGGGCTTTGCCAAACCTCAAAGGCAAAAGATCCATTCTGATGGATTTATCCAATATGTTCACTCTCAAAATCAAATCAAAGCCAATTCATCAAATGTATTCATTAGGTAGGGCAGCAAAGGCTCCCTCCTCTCCAAATCTATTCATACAGCGCGATCAAACGCGCAACAAAAAGACAAAAAAACCAAACCAAACGCCAAAAGACAAGCCCCCAACTCCAGGCTAATTACACACAAAAACGAAAATATAAAAACATACCGCACCCATGCGACTCCACGACTCCAACACCACTTTTTAAATGTAAATTTTTTGATCGTACAAGCTTCCAAACTAGATTTGTAGATGTAGCGTCTGGTAGCGACATCGACATGACTTCATGATTATTTTAATGGTAGAAGAGGGCTTTATTGGCTCTCAATGAAGAGAGCCTGCCTCGAAGTCGTCTCTGCCGGAACTATCGCTATAAGGAAGCGCCTCGGGACCTTTGCGGAAGCTCGCCAGTGGGATTGAGAATTTCTGAGGAAGAGAGGATGGGGAACATGCCTGGCAACGGAAGGTCTGCTCTATAAAAACTCGGGCGAAAACAGCCTGTGCACCCTCGACAATGGGAACCTGATGGACCCTAAAGTCGGGGAGCAGCACGACTGCAACCACCTCTGCTAATGTAGAACAGTCACACCCTAAATGTTCCCGAAGGAAGTTTGGGCGTGTCGTGCAGCGGATATTGGATCCGAGACGATGTTTTCATCCATCTCTACGCCACGTACACTCGGAATCAGGCAGGTTGTTCATTGTTTCTTCCGTCCAGTATAGAGCTATGAACCAGATATCAGGCAATTACAGCCTAGGTCTGGCAGGGAACTCAACCTTCGGGTCGAAATCTCCTTCGAACCCTCCATTGAGGATTTCGGCAACGATCCTCTTGCGGATCATGGGAATGTCTCTCGCCCCATATGAGAGAGGCAAGCCTAACACCACCATCTTAGCGGTAGTAAGGAGGAACACCCCACAGTCGCTGCCGTTGTCCTGTTGTGGAGAGTCTGTCGGGAGAACCCGCCATTCCTCTTCAACGAAGAGGTCACGCAACTCTCCCTGGAGCCATTCCTTCACTCGGCTGATGTGAGCTCGTGAAGCGCCACTAAGGGAGTCGAAGTACTCGATGGACCGAGCCTTCGGTTTGACGACCATGAGGGTCCAGTGCGCTTGGTTGTGGATAGGGATGAGAACCATCTCTACCCCCAACAAGGCCTGACCCCCAATCCTAGCTCGGGAAGCCCAACGCCGTACGGACTCGTAGCCTCGGTCCCTGAGACTAGAGTAGAAGAAAGAATTGAAGGCGTGGTATTTGGGCTCCCGAAGCCTCCCTGAACTGCCCGATGCCCTTCGAGCGTAGTCAAGGATTATTGCGAGGTATGCGTTAATCACCTCGTCATTGAGCCACGCTAGCGGGGTGTAGCATGTCGCAAAATCCTTACGGGTCAGGGGGTCACCAGAGATCGTTGTCCCAACCTGTCGGTAATCGGGAAGGGACATATCAGCAGTGAGACGCGAGTCCCATTTGCTGCTGATGGGCTTGATGAAAGGGCCCTCTGGTGACTTGTCGTCAATAGTTGCGTGTGCCGGCTGTTGACTGTCTTCCGCCCCTGCTGCTGGCCTAACTGGCGCGCTGGGGTCATAGACGCGGATTTCAACAACCGGCTGTCCAAGTGGAGCACCACTGGCTTCGTGCCAGTGTACTCGCCGAGTGCGTGGGCCGGCTGGTCTCAGTGTATAGCCATCATACGACTCATCTCTACGAGATGGGTCGACGGGTGTTACACCCTCTGGAATTGATGGCTTGGCGGTTGTACACGGTCCAGGGGAAGTTGATGGCACCGAAGCACTGGCAGGTGGCGGAGGTTCGGAGGTCTCGCTGAGCTCTGAAGTCACTGGCGCGACGGGTGACTCGGGTTGTTGTGGCTCAGGTAAGATGACTTGGGCAGGCCGGGATTTTAAAACGAAATCCAAGTTCAACTGCTCGACTCTCCGACGTCTCTCCTCAAATGAGGCGTCTGGGCGGACGCCGCCTTTATATACAATTCTCAATCCTCCGGAGGTGTCTCTCACCGGCCGCACAGTGCGCTGTTTGGTAACGCGGCCTGGTGTAATGGAGGAACCAGGCTTGTGCGGCATGATTTTCTCGATCGAACTTTTGGCAGGCTTCGATCGATGGCGGCGAGAGACACCTCGCTGGGCTAACCGAGCAGAAGTAGGAGCAGCGGACGGCACAGACACTGGCTTCAATTCGAGAACGTGAAGCTTTGCTGGGGTAGTAGTCTGTAGCTCGTAGACAACTTGGGATTCTGTCTTCTTTCTCTTCATGCGCTTCTCTTTGAGTCTGAGTTCGCGTCGCTGCTCCATGCTCAAGCTCGGGAGCTTCCGCTCACGCCTGGGCTCGGTTCTGCGTGGGGAGTGGCTGGTAACAGCAGGTAAGGTGGCAGTCTGTGAGGTCTGTGACGTCCAGATACTGAGAGCTCTTCTCTTCACATTTGAGGCTACCGTCACGCTGCGTTGTACTGCCCACTTGCCCCAGCAATCTTTGAAATACTTTGGCAATTCGTAAAGGGACCGGAGGCCCCCAACAGCCTAAAAAGGGGTTAAATGTAAGCCATATATTAAGCGTTAGTAGGGAGTGGCTTACCTGATGCAGAAGGGACTCAGACTGTAAATATGTCATGGGGACGTCAGTCGGGCGAGGCACCACTCTACTTTCTTCTGGGCCGGTAGATTCTATGCCCCCCACCATCATAAAGTCCCGAGCTCGAGAGTCTGGCGATGGCGGAGCGTCCTTTACTTCCGGTGAAGGCTGGACGGGCAGGTCAACTGGCGCGGCCACAGGTCGTGGCGGGGACGCTGGCCAGCTGCCTGGGATTTGCGAAAGAAGCGAATTGAAATCGGTAGCTCCGTGGCCTAAGCTTCCGAATCGAAGTGATGCCCCGGGAATCTGTATATGTTGGTTAGCTGTTGATATATCGATATGTAACAAAGGGGTATCTAGTCACTTACTAAGTCTTCCATCTCATCATCTCCTTTTCCGTTACGTAGCTCAAACCAGTTAGGGCGCTATTAAAGGCGTTAGCATAATGTATATTGTAGATATATAAGTATTTTCTACCTTCTCTCTTGTGCCCTCTGGGCTTCTGAGGCCTATAGACCCCAACAAAGACGTGGCTTCTTCCACTTCTCGTAAGTTCTATAGAGGATATCAGTAAACCTGCAAATAATGAACATCAAGAAAAGTCTTACATCTAGAGCTTGAGCAGACTGCTGAGGCTGATGGGGAGGAGTAAAGACATCTATCATTGAGATGTCTTGAGGAGAATCAACGACCTAGACACGTATCAGTAATGAAACAGAGAGGGGACGCGAAGATATATGGCGCGACTTACCTTTGGTGCTGATAGTGATGCTTTCTGTCCATTCTGGTCAGAGAAACGGTCTTCATACTGCTCTGGCTCTTCGACTTCTTCGATGACGCGTTTTCTAGGCGTGATAGGAGGCGAGTCTACAACCAGGGGTAGACTTGGCCCAGTAGCGGTGCCATTCTTTAGAGCGGCATCTCTGAATCTAATGTCGACACCAGAAAGGATGTGAGCCCATTGTCTTTTGGGTGAGCCTTTCTCTAGGACACGTCTGGGAGGTGGTGGGCGGTGGTCGACTGAAGTGGTGGGATATGTCAATCCCATGGTGCGTTTTCGACCTGCACGAGCAACGAGTAATTCGCGCTGTAAAGTTAGAACTTGCTGTGGAAGAAGAGTACTAATTGGGACAGTAGGCTCCCAGTCCATCTGGTCTGCTTGAGAGGCCATTGTGATGATTGTAGAGTGGATGTGATGGATTTGAAAGAGGTTGGTAGAGGTGTGAGGAGGATTTTTTGAAGGCGGTCTCAAAGATGTAAGTCGCGTAACAGAGAGAAGACTTCGTGCTTGCAAGCTACGACAGCCTTGATAGAGGTATTGAAGGACGTGATAGCCTTGATAGATGTAGAGTTGACTTGATAGTCTTGATACGCGTGGTAGAGAAAGGTTTTTGAAAAGGGGGTAAACAGGAGTCTCAGGCCGTGATAGAGGGGCAATGAGAGAGAAGATGGCCTGATAGACGTGATACACGCGGTAAAGAGGCTGAAGGTGAGGGTGATAGATGTCATTTAACGTGGTAAAAGGGTAAAGAAGGGCGTTGACAATCTTGTAGAGTGGTGAAAGGAGAGAAGACGAGATGTCAAGACCTTGAGCTTTGAAGCTAACTCTGTCGAGAAGACGGATCTGGCGGACTTGGTAGAGTAGGAATTGATAAAGGGGGAGATGATAGAGAAGAATTGAGCGTGATAAAGCAATGTAACGGGACGTTGAAGCTGTAAAGCCGGTGATGGATGATGGACGTGATGGTGCTGTGGTTGAAAGAAAGAAGAGGGGAAGAAAATCTTTTGGGTGTTTTGATAGTAAGGAGGGAGAAACGCGTCTTTTTGTGGGTGAGGTAAGCGGGCAAGTGAGGTGAGGTAAGGTAGAGCCTTCATTCATGTTGCTATGGAGATGGAGAGCAGAGTAGAAACAAGTATAGAGACTAGCGCACACTTACGATGGAGGTAAGAATCACCTCTGCCACCGGATGTATCACCAGATGAAGATGCAGATGTAGATGCAGTCGAAGGAGACGAAGAAGTTATGGATGGTATAGATGCAAAAGTAGACCTGCCACTCCCCTGAAAGATACGGATGCGCCCCCTAGGCAGTCTCCAAGCAAAGGGTCTACTGGTATTGAAGTTGAGGCTCTGATGGCCGGGTATGGCGGGTATACGGGGTATGCTAAGATGAAGAAACAACGAGACAATGCTATGGTATATCCTCTGGCAGATGCGTTGGTTCCTAGCTAGAAAAGACAGGTCGTCCAACACGCGCATTAAGAGTATTACTAGTACGCCGGCGCAGAAGACGAAGCAGCAGCAAAGGCATAAGAAGAAAAGTGGCTGGAGAGGCGCGGGAGAATCAAAAGGAAAGAACAGCGCGCGGGAAAAGGGAGAGGAAGAGAAGAAATGTGAGGCCGCGGCTATCATGAGGCGCTTCTGTTGTTATATGAAGCCGTGCAAGTTCCCTAATGGGGTAATAAACGCGTAGTTGGAGACGGAGAGAATGCGAAAAGGTGAACCCTGCGCAACCTTTTTTAGGAAATCCACGTGATTTAGACGCGTGCTTAGTCATCGCGCTTATCTTTGTATTGACGACATCAAAGAAAACAACAACAGCAAACAAAATATGAAGAACAACATGACTACAAAGATCAAGGTAGAGAAAAGATAAGGTACATGTGTTAATTCTATTATGATAATACGGTGGGGGCGTATGTATGTATATACAGCTATTTCTAGTCGAGACCCAGCAGGTGGAATAGTATGGGGCTGCCTTCCACAGCAACCAGTCCGATACCTGGCGGGCAGTTAGTTCATATGACACTAATGGCTTCTTTGGTCTGTTTAAGGAGGTAGCAAGTTGGGACTTACCGGAGTAAACAATCAGCTTCGTGACAACCTCTACATCATACCGCACTCTAGGTGGCGTGATCTTCAAAAACATATCCTTTTCATCATCCTCGTCATTCGTTACTGTTCCATTACCATTAGTAAGAGCATTGCTGGTTTTTTCATTGCCCTCTTCGTAGACCTGTGCTCCAGATCCCATCATGTTCTCGTAATCATGAAGACTCCTTGCGGGAGACTGTGTGTCTGACACATTAGAGGCAGTTCGCTTAGGGCGTGTAGTAGGCCGTAAGCTTGGACTTTTGACGTTTTCACGCGCTGAAATGGACGGCCGGCCGTTCTCGGAAGCTGCACTGGCTCTTCGACGTTCCTGCCGGTACGCAATGGCCTCATAGGCGTCTGCTTCTGACTGCGGGCCGATGGAGATGGCTCGCCGTCGCGGGTGGCGGATAGAGGTAAGCATGGACGGTATGTCTGAGACACTGGGCATGACGTCGTCGTACTTGAGCTGGCCAGGGATGCGTCCGTACTCCCTAAATCATAGTTAGTAGGAAGGCACTATAGTGGAGAGATGTGGGGCATGAAGAGCACCTACGTAGCACGTTTGAAGAACCGTCGTGGCAGACTGAGTCCCAACCGCTCTATGACCCTGAACAGCGGCGGCAGAGCCCTGAGTAATGTAGGTTTCATCACCTCCCTCCATACAACGACAAACGTCACGCCAATTACGATGCGAAGCACGGTCTTGATCCAACCCATACGCTGTAGGTCAAACGGAACCGTGCCAGGCGTAGGCACAGAGAGTGAATATTTAGTTGATGCAAAGTGCCAGTTCCCAAGCTCTACTCCGGCAAAGACTCCAGCAAAAGCAACGCTGTCGTCGAAACAGGGACACGAGTCTGCAGGTTCCGGGTGCACACGGACTAGGACAATAATGACGGCAATGATGACAAGGACCTCCCTTATCGAGCCGGAGAAGACGTATTCATCGAACTTTGGCCCGTAGACGCATTGGATGAAGCCAAGCAGAGCTCCGAGCAGGCTGCCGACCACCACATCAAGGAAGCCGTGCATGCCGCAGTACAGTCTCCCTATGACTATGGAGGTAACGTAGACGTACAGTCCCGTTCGCAGCAAGGTTGACGTGAGCGGCGCAAGGTCAGACTGCGAGCGGAGAGCGTGCAGGGCGTAGACGACTATCGATACAGCGTTTGTCGAGTGAGTTGACGGGAAGCCGTACTCCAACGCCGCCGAGCCGGACATGGTGATGCGCTGCAGCGGAGGGGAAAGCGGCCGCGGCAGACACAGTAGGTCCTTCAAGAACCCGCTGAAGAACACGCCGGCAGCCAGCAGATGAACCACCCTGTTTGTATATCCCATCAATTAACATCACATCGCACTCCCGTGGAGGTAGAGATAAAGTAAAGAAGCTAAAGAGACAGGCATCTCACTCACGCCCGACCAACGCCCGTGTGTCCGCTCCAGAAGAGGATGGGCAGCATGACCATGTAGAAGGTATGCGTCCCCAGGTTCGCGGTGATGGCAAACCAGGAATCGAGCGAGGGCGTGCGTATCCTCTCCTGCAGCCATGCCAGGTACGGCGTCTCCCACCGGACGAGGGGCAGGGTGCTCTGGCGCAGCTTGTACCTCCATGCCGGGAGCTTCCTCTGGTCTTGCAGGACGAGTCGGTCAGTCACTGATCAGCGATTGAGAACCGGACGACGAGGACTCACAGTGGTTCAGGCTTGCGAGTCCGGCATCTATCTTTTCCTTCTCCTTCTCCTTCTCCTTGTCCGTGGCCATGCTGTGCTGTGCTGTGTTGGGCTGGGCTGCGTCTGTCTGACCAAGCTGCGCGAGAGGGAGACAGTAGGGACAGTCGAGTTCTAACTAGCGACGGCCAACTTCAGCAGAAGCCATCGAGCATCCACCGCGAGCTGTAGCTGCTGTCCAGAGCCTGTTGTCTGTAGATAGAAGATGCTTGTCTGTTGCATGTAGGTCTGTTGCATGTAGGTCTGTTGCATGTAGGTCTGTTGCATGTAGGTCTGTTGCATGTAGGGGTCGCTGATCCCTTGCCTTTGCGACTGTGTGCGCGCTTGGCAGGGGGCGGACTCCCTCGAGCCGAGGAAGAGACGCCACAGACACTCAGGACAGCAGACGAAGACGAAGAAGACGGAGACGAGAAAGAAGAAACAGGAATGCCATCTGCCTGGCTGGCTGACGGGCTGACAAGGGTCCAGGGCAAGAAGCAAAAGAGGTCCTGTCTGTCTGTCTGCCAACGGCCTGCTACTATGGCCTGCTGTGCGCCTCTGCCGTCCAAGTCAGGGCCTCTACTACTGCTGCTACTACCGACTGCGAGCCAACCAGGCCGGCCAGCACCACCATGACGACGACGAAGACGAGAGAGCTCCATGGCCGATCCAAGCTCCAGCTGGATCCCTGACCTGACCTGAACCTCCCCCCCAGCTATCCAGGGCGGTTTAGGCGGGACAAGCAGCGCTGGTTGGGCTGAGGGCGAGGGCGTTGCCATGGCAGCCATCGGCAGGACGCAGCGTAAACAACAGGCATCTTCACCCATAGACCAGCGGCCAGCGAAGACGGGCAGAGACAGCTGAGCAGACGCCACTGGAAGCAAAAGGGAGGCTTCTTCCTCGCCCTCGTCTACTTCTACTTCTTCTCTTCTTCTCCTGCTTCTGCTTCTTCTCTCTCCGTCGTTTTCTTCTTCTCGTGTAACTCGTTCGCTGTTTATCTCGGCCTGATACTCATCCATCATCGTCATCACCACAACCACCACCAAACACTCAGCAGTCAACACTCAGCATCAACATCAACACCAAGACGCAACCTCCTACGCAGAGACAGGCAGATAGATAGACGAAATGTCGGTTCACACCTTTGAAGAACGATATGGACACAGCCATATACGGCGTCACTCGTCCGTGCTCAGCGAGAAGACTCCCCCTCTATCCCCACGACGCAAGCCGCTGCGCAGCCAGAGTACCAGAGTCAGCAACGGCACCATCAACACAGACCTGAGCGTCTCGTCGGGGCAGGCCTCGCAGCTCTCGCAGGGCACCTCCGTCACAGTGCCGCCGTCGTACTCGAAGAAGTTCGTGGTCGTGGGGGACGGTGGGTGCGGCAAGACCTGTCTCCTTATCAGCTACTCCCAGGGTTACTTCCCGGAGGTAGGCCTATCTATCTATCTACCTTTCTGCATAACAAAACAGAGATGCTGATCCAGGGTAGAAATACGTGCCGACGGTGTTTGAGAACTACATCTCTCACACCATACATAAACCGTCAGGCAAGGGCGTCGAGCTGGCTCTATGGGATACCGCAGGACAGGAAGAATACGACAGGCTACGCCCCTTATCCTACCCAGAGACAGACCTCCTCTTCGTCTGCTTTGCTATTGACTGCCCCGTCTCGCTAGAAAATGTCATGGACAAGGTATGCTCCTCTCTCATCTCCCCTCAACCTCCGCTTTCATTTCTAAAAAAGAAAAAAAATTGTCAACTAACTGAAACAGTGGTACCCTGAAGTGCTGCATTTCTGCCCAACAACCCCCCTCATACTCGTGGGCCTCAAGTCAGACCTACGCTCAAACCGTACCTGCATCGACTTCCTCAAGGCCCAGGGTCTCACCCCCGTCACTCCACAGCAGGGCCAGACCGTTGCAGAACGCATGGGTGCCACATATGTCGAGTGCAGCAGTAAACAGATGATCGGTGTCGACGAGGTGTTTGAGCTTGCCGTCAACACCGTCATCGGCATCGAGGAGAGCGCCTGGACCTCAAAGGACTCATCGAGAGGTAAAGGCGGGAAGAAGGTGAAGAAGAGAAGCTGCAAGATTCTTTAAAGGAATTTCTTCACACTTTGTTGTTGATGCTGGCATCTTCCTTTTAAACCTCTTTCTTTTTTTTAAACTCTCTCTGTGCTTTACCACTTGCCTTTGCCTTTAACCCTTGAATGACGCTCCTTTCTACGACTTTTTATGTATGACATGACGGTAGACGAGATCCATGTCCAAGTCGTGTTTGCCTGTTTGTTGTTCTCGCTCTTTTTTCTTTTTGACACACTTCCTTTTTGACCATCTTTTATCTTTCTTACTGTCTATCTTATCTCTAAGGCGGCTTCGTCTGTTTTTTTTTTTATTTTATATCTTTTTCTGTTCTTTCCTCTGCCCCTATCTTGTCTGCCCTTATTGCTCCTTTCATCATACACTTCCAGAGTTTCCCTTATTTCCTCATGTCCTTTTCCTATTATTCATGTCTACGGGATCCAATTTGACCCTCGGGGGAATATGCATTGCTGGTAAAAGGTGTTCGTTTTCCTATCCATTTTTGTCTTGTCTTCTGTCTATCTTAGCTGGCGGTACGGTATCTGTATGCTAGAAGTAATCAACTTCGATGTCCAAACTTCTTCAGGCGTAAATATCATCAAATGAATCATTCATCACTGTCTGTCCCTGTCTTCCTCTTCTTTGACTTCTTGGTTGCCCTGCTCTTCACCACGACCCATCACGCCTTCAAACTGCGACCATAGCCCTTCGACGGAACTCATCTCGTTCCCGACCTGTCCAAGCCATTTGTTATTAGCCGGGTATACACCCACTTAATCAATTAAGACTCGGCAGCCGTTACCGTGATGATGCTCTCCAGGTTCCGGTTGAATTTGTTGATGTTCTGCAGCACTCCTTCGAGGCTCTATCATGCCACTGTCAGCTGGCTGGCGTCATTTTGTCTATTGGACATCCACGTACCAGTGATATCTCCCGTAGGAGCTCTGCTCGCTGCTCTTCAAAGTACGTAGGCGCCGGCGCATTTGACGTTGATCTCTGGTGAGAAGACAGCGGCCTCGTCGACATCTTCTCTGTCTATCTCTTTACTTCTGCTATGTTGGTGATGTTGATGTTGATGTTGACTGTAAACAATCATTTTGTCTTGTCTCCGTTTGTCCGTCTACGACTTCTTCACCAACCTACATCTACATCTACATCTACATCTACACCTGCATCTATTACTTACCTAGGTACTCCGTACCTACACTCTTAACATCCCACCACTGCAATAATGGCCATCCCAACTTCACCTTTTCACCACACAACCTCGCGTATTCTCCTTTTTCGCATCCCTGAATGTGCGTCCAGGGGTCTCTTACATAATCACAATTACTAAGTAACCCTCGGTTTCTGTCCGGCTCGTGAAAAAGGAGAAGAAACGAAGAAAACGAAGAAAACGAAGACAAGGATACGGATGGAACAGCAGATCAACTCTGGTGGATGGATCAGGAACGCACCATCGAACCAGCATCTTCGGAACAAAGTGGAGAGATCAACGAGACAAGCAAGTAAGCAAATCAGCCTGACTGTCTTGCATTTCGCTGACCGTCGATTCTAGAAGTGATATGCTATATCAACGTCCGACTATTGCCATGGGCTGTCTTAGAGACTTCCGGGGGCGGCGATTGGAAGAAAGCCAGAAACATCCCAAGACCCAAGACCGGTCTTAATAAGTGATCCTTAACTACAGGCTCAGACCGAACGTCGCTGACCAAAGGGAGCCCCTTTTTCTGGCTAGAACCCAACTAGTCGCAATCCCCCGAGGGGCAATTTCAGAACACGAACGAACGAACGGCAGTCTGTTCTCGATGGAGGTCGCTAACTAAGTGCAGGACACCAGCCCGCGTGCTTTGCTCTACTTTTTTCTTTCTTTCTTTTCTTTCGGTCTGTGGGGAAAAGGGACTAAGAGTAACACATGTGCGGTCTCGCCAGCCCATGATGGAGGGTTGCTGAGGCCCAGCGCTTGGGAAACACTAAAAGACGGTGGGAATTCAATTTCATGTCAGATGACTGATTTGTTGCCGCTTGCCGTCTGTCTATCTATCTGTTTGCCTGTCTGTCTGTCTTTTGCCGTGGGGAAGGAAAAAGAAGAAAAGAAGAGACGAAGAGTAAGTAAGGCCTTAGTGAGTCAGATGCACGCGGGTCGAGAAGTTAAGAATCTAATAGTTCGGCGGGGAGGGAGAGAGAGACGGCACGATGGCTAGAATGGGTGGTGGACCATGTGGAAGATGGTAATTTCCGAAGCGTTTTTAGCACTACCTAAGAATAAGTGTGTGTGTGTGTGTGTGTGTGTGTGTGTGGAGGGAAGAGAAGAGAAGTACATTCAAGGTAAACTGGAAGAACAGAAAAATGTAAGTGTTCAAAAGGGGGTATCTCGGTCTGAAAAAAAGTTGATATTACAATTTGTATGTGTAGGTAGGCATGTAGGTTCGGGAAGGAGAGGAAGTTATGTAGGAGCCGTGGAAGCATGCGGTGTTCCCGTCATATCGCACATGGCAGACGGGAAGTAGACCGAAGGGAATGATCATAAGGGCAGCGAAAACATGAAGGGGACGGATAGGCTTTTATTAGAAGAAAACCGCCGGTAGAAGAAAAAGGAGAGTCGTTAAAACGATGAGTCGTTCGATAGACACATTCATGGGATCGTGAAGTAGTCGGGAGAGTCAAGAGTCAGGGTCGAGAGAAGAAGACATGCATCATTTCGGTGCAAAGTAGGAGATTCGTCGTAGTTTGTCTCGAGTGCTCAGCTTGCGACTCGGTTGCTTTACAGAGCTGATGGCGATGTGTTCCTTGCTGGATGATGAGGAGGAGGTAGAGGATAGAGAAGATGAAGATGTTGATGCTCGTGAGCTGCTTCGTCGCTCGCACTCAGCCAGTATCTCCTCCAGTCGGACGTCGTCTTCGGATACGTGGTGGTGGCCGTCTGAGTCCAGCAGCTCCACGAATCGTGATGTGAACGGCATTGTAAAGAGTGCCGGTTGTTGTTTTGTTTCTTGTAACGAAGTGAGATCGTTCGTATATATAATTCGAGATGTTGTGGTGGTAGTTGTGCTTGTTGAGCACGCGAGCAGCGAGTGTTTAGACCAGTGTCTTTAGTGTATCAATGGTAGACGGCAATGCTTGGTGCTGATAATGCTGATGTATAGACGGTAACGGCAGACGTTGACGTTCAAGTAGAAGCAGAAGTAGGTAGAAGTATATCAGCCAGATGGGATGGGCGAAAGTGTCTAGAAGGTCGAAAAGGAGCGACTGGGAGGCAATAAGTAGTTCTCCTGAGGTCGTCCCTCTGGACGGGTTTGCTAGTTAAATAATAAATATTTTAAACTAGAAACCTTTTTTTTGCAAGCCCCCCTGATCCGTCAGTACTCCGTACGTAAATAAAATAATTCACAACGTTGTTGCTGGCAGCGACGCTCCACAGGGACAGACGGACGGCCAGACAGACTTACGAGTTGCCCGAACCGCCGAATGTATACTTATACTCCGTAGAAGTGGATTCTTTGCGCAAGCAGAGCAAAAACCCTAAATGATCGCTTCTTCGACTTCTTGATGTTGTTGCTTGTTGAACGGCGAAAAAAAGTCGAAGGTATAAAATATGGATACCGTAGCTGGGCGAGTCGACGGGCTGATAAATATATCTTTTGTGTATTTCTAATTATTGTTGTTTGTGTTGAGCTTGTTCGACGGAAAGCAAGGACGGGTTATGGGCCATCAGTAAGATGCTTATGTATGTATCTGCCTCCTTGCAAGTGCCTTCCTTCGTTGGCTGTTCTCTTTTTTTGAAATCATCCTTGTGAGCGTTTGGACGGATGCTTATGGGGGAGAAAAGCAAAAAAGTGGTGCCGTTGACCATCCGCCTATCCATGCAGATGCTCTCACGCTACCGCTGCACACCAGTTCCTTTTTTTTCTGGGGTCTGCTATTAGCAGCAGTGCTGGCCGAGGGATCCTCATTTTTCTCCGTTATATCCCTGCTCTCTCTGAGGATAGGACGGTTAGTTTTCCGTCGACCAAACCACTCTGATGCCTGAGACGCATCTCTTTCGTATGGGCAGGATGTCGTTCGGATCCCCCCACTGCGCTGCCTTATTACTCATTCTATCCCCCTAAGAGAGGACGAGAAGAAGCAAAGGAGGAAAAAGAAAGGTCTGTCCCTCGTGAGTTTCGGACGGGCCTCTCACACGCTCTCGTACCCCTCTGAGCAAAGACGTATGTGGCGCACCACCAGCGTGAAAGGGCTGCCTCTGTCTCCTCTTTCCGACTCTTCTTCTGCTTCCTATCTTGCCTTGCTTTGGTTACTGCAAAGCCGCTGATCGGGTCACACGCCGCAGTGAGCGATTTTGACCTGACAGCAGTCCTAGGTGGGGAGAAGAAAGGGGGAGGGGGAATGGGCCGTCGAGTAAGCATGAGGAAAAGTATGAATTATCCTTTTCCATGGCCCCTTGCTTGGTGTTGTTGAAGGTTGAGTGTTCATTGCTCAGTTACTTTGGATGTGTGGTGCATCTGAAGTATATGCTGAAACGTACTCAGTATCACTTCCCGCCGTGCTCGATCGATTGACTTCTTCATGCAAAATCCCTGGCCCGAAAGACGAAACACCTCCAAAACCCGAAGAACTGCATGAGTTGATGTATCTTCTTCTGCGGGTTGCGTGACGGAAGCCCAATCATCCCACTTCATCTTAGGGGATCTGTGGCGGTTAACTGGAGACCTGGAGAACAAGTAAACATACAGACATGGCAAATGAAAAAGCAACCATGCCTTTGCCCTGTCTCCAGGCCTGTCTGTAACACGTAGAATGATACCAATATAGAAACGTCAAGGCGTCCTTGTTATTTTTTTCATGCTGATTCATGCATCGGTGTACTGTTTACTCCATCCGGTGTATATATAGATCTACTCTGAGATCCAAAATGCATCCCATCGCCCATTATTGGCAGCTGCTTAACGCCCGTTTCTAAACGGACTCATGCTGGCAAGAAGCTTGATATCGCGACGACTTTGACTGGTGTCATCCGTCGCTCATCCTATGATGTATGTGCGTTTGGCTCTCTGGCGTCAAGGATCCCACCGGAGGCCGAACGGGAGTTGTGCGCAAGTCTGACTATGCTTGACCAGGCCGCTGCGCTTTACACCGTCCTGGGGGCCAGGATCTTGGAAATAGATGTACACATGCGCGTACAGATGGGGGTGGGAGGGCATCCTATTACCGTTAAGGTCATTAGTCCATAGCCATTCGGTAAGGCTGGGATAAACGTCACTGTGCGTCCTTCCACCCGCCAAAGCCCACTCACTCGTCCGATTATCATGCCGACCATGCCATGCACGCTTACCTGTTGTCGAAATATGCACACGATACCGGCACTGGGCTGCGGCGAGCGCTTGTAAGCATCGTCCCCAAGTCCGAGAGTGGCGGCGTCGATATCATTCATGTCCGTTGCGGTTTTTTCGAGAAGGCGAACTTACGCCATACAGCTATTTTTAACACCAGCAGGCAGCGACTGACCAAGGATGACGTAAAGCGATATATCAGGAACCAGCCTTCAGCCTCTACACCGGAACACTTACATATTACCAAGCTTACATTACTGATGGATGGTGTTTTCAAGCGAGATCCTTATAAATCTGGCTTACTCTTCAAGTTGTCATACGAAGTGGTTGGTGTCACCTGTGGCTGTAGAACCTGGCTGTGTTCGCCTCATGGTCGTGTAACTCTTACCAACCCGCCAGGGCCGAACGAGCGTTTTGGCTTCCAAGGCAGCAATATAACTTTTCTTTATCTTGATCTGATTATCCCGAAGCATGTACGTAGGACGCAGTGTAACAGACGGACAAGTGCAAGGCATGGTGGAAGTCAACGGGATGCTGATATCGCTGACACGCAATGCCATGCGTGCTTATACCTGTCCACGGGGAAGCATGACCATGATAAAGAGCCCATCAGCCGGTAAATTTCGTCCATTTCGCCTGCTACGGGCGTTTCTTCCAAGGTTCTGCCGCCGCATCCGTCCTTTTGACTCCTGCAGCTAGGCTGCCACCCATTTCACCGGTGATTGAAGGATGGATATCGCGTAATATAAGGGTTTTGTGTTTGTTCATTCTTGGATGCGGCAGTGCGTTCTTTGTATTTCAATTCAATTCGGAAACTCCATTCGCCATTCCACTGCAAGGAATAGATAAGATAGATAAGAAATTGATAATAAACGGTTGAGATCCGGTGGTGTTCGCCCAAAGAACGGCCCCCACGACGAGGTAAAAGGTGAAGACAGGTTCATCATCAAGAATCCCCCATCTGGACGTCCTTGTCTTCCACTCCCTTTGCGTTTCCTATCCAGAGGACATTGTTGCATCTGCAGCACGAAGGTATTAGCGACGGGTCTAGGCCCATGCAAAATGTTTAGTTATCTGCATACCGTATAAGCACCTCGCCTAGAGTGCCGGTGTTCTTCCCATCGATAAACTCTTCGGTTTGTGATAGCTGGATGTTCATGTATGAATCAACACTGACAAGTCGGCCTTTGTACTCCGTTTGGCCCCATTTTAGGCGAACGACGATGTCCTCATTAATCCTAACGTCAGACAAGTATTAGCTTGTAGAATCAACACCAGCATCCTCATCCCTATGTATCTCATGGGTATATCACTGGCACCAGCAGCTGGCCATCGCAGATATAAGCCCGACGGTCATATCAGCTGGTGATAAAGCAATGTGGATATGGAACCGGTGAGGCGCATTAGATAATTTCCAGGCAGAGTAGCCAGGTAGTTATAAGCGGGGAGGCGACTCAAGCTAAGATAATCACGTACAAGGACTGCAGCATAGGCCGAGGGTTGAGAGGAACGAACTGTTCATTCAACCGTTGTTAGTGACTTGCTCTATCCATTCCACACGATCCATGCGAGCAGGTGAGCAGGGACTTACACTCATTTTGCGGAATCCAATTAAGCACGCCTTTTCTTCACCAGACTGTAATCGCAACGGCAACAGCAAGAGAGTACAATCCCTGTAACTAAACACCCGACCGTCTTCTTTCTGCTGTCTCTCTGTCTTCGCCTTGAAATTGCTTTCTCTTCGAGCTTCAACTTTCGCGATCTTTGACTTTGAGATTTTTTGGGTTGGTTCTAGTGCTGCTTTAATAAGCTTATGTAAGACACTCTTCGACCCAAAGCTAACTGTTAAAACAGCGACGCTTTTCTACATAAAAAGAAAGAATGTAGAAATACAAACATCAGTACATTAAATAACTAAAGGCTGTGCTCGTAGTTGACAGTGACAGTTTCAAGCTCGACGGATCTCCCAGCTAATCTCCGTGATGCTGACCTCCTCGCCCTGCTTCTCGTCGAAATCATACCATTCACCCTCCTCCAGGCTGATGTCACTGAATTTGGTTCCAGACTCTGTGCCTTTGGCCTCCCATTTCCCCTGGGTACTGCGAGTCAGCAAGAGGTACTTGTAGCTTTGACAGTGAAGATCTTACATCTGCCTTGAACTCCGTGAATTCTAGACCACGGCAGTCAAACTCGATGATCTTCTGGCCTTTGCCCTTCGAGTCCTTTGACTCATCAAACGCCATTGGCTCGGTGGTGATGCTGGCCGAATGGGTCCTCTGTAGTTACAAGCACATCAAGTCAACCCTTATCCGGTAAGATAGTAGCATATTGCGTATGCTCTCTTGCCTCGACCACACAGCCGGTATATAGGGGGTATATTGGTGTGCAATTACGCAAACCTGATCATCCACTCACCTTGCAGAGCTTGCATTTCCAGACGAAGTTTGCCTCTCCCCGGCCTCCCGGAACCTCATGCGTCTCCTACAAACCAGTCAGCACGGAAGTCGATCAGACGACGATGAAACCTGACGAATACAGGAGCCGCCGTGGAAACAGTAGACAGGTTATATGTGGCGAAGTGAAATACATCTTCACATTTAGGCGAAATCTGATCGCCTGGCTGCATCATAAAAGCGTCCACAGAACTTAAGCCCTTCTCACCACCAATTCATTCCACTTGTGGCTTATGGGAAGGAAGAACAAGATTACTGGGCAATTTGGGCACAGGAGAAGCGGGTATACATACGAATCGGCTGATGTTCACCCAGTTTGGGTGTATTTCACGGCAAGACGTACACTGCACCATGAAGGTATAGTAATATGGATCTTCGAGGGTATCTTGTGGGCGGATATCAGTAACCCTATGCACTCAGATGTATCAGTTATTCATGCATGCTCGCCTAGTAGCGCCGCCTCGCGACTCTAGAAGTAATCAAAATGTCACAGGAAATGCAGCTGTTGGGAGTGTTTTGACATATTTTTTGATAAGGAGGGGCAAATGCCGCGGGGGTGAACTTGATGATGCCCTGCAACGCCGCTTCTTCCATCTCCAAGTGCCTGAAAGACGAACATACCCTGATGTCTGGGCAGAGAGCGCAAGCGTAAACATTTTGTTGATTTCTGGCTGTTGTTCTGTGCTGTCAAGTGTTGGGCTGAGCTGATGAATGCTTGAATGTTGAAGGTTTGGCTAGTTTTCAATAAATAATAACTAGTTGCTCGTTATTTTTGTTTTATTTCGTTGTCAACTGTAAATCTCGATATAACTAACCACCGTTGAGCTCCGATCCCTCCCGATTCCCATGAGGCTTCTCAGCCTCTCAAAGATGAATGATATTAATAGTAGAATTTTATGTTCAATTTTTGGCGTCAACTTGTCAAATTTTCTGGAGTCTTTCGATCATCGAGGCAGTAAACGGGGCGCTATCTAGATCTACGATCTACGAAGCTATGGCATTGGCAAGATGTAGAAATAAATTATAAAACTTTTCATTCTAGGGTAGGTTTTAAACAGTCATGATATACATTCAGAGGAAACCGGTCTAAAAAAGCGTAAGCTGCTAACAATCATGATAGAGGCAAAAGCCTGCCATGCTGTGGTCTAACGATAACATAGCCGAAAATTAATCATAGTCGTGAAATCGTTAGTTCGCGGGTTATCTTTGAGGTAAATGTGCCAAAATACTTATTCAATGCATCAATAGTTCCGGTTCCTTCTTCTAGCCTGAGAATACAGGCAACGTGTCCATCTGGGCGTATGACTACAACACCGGGTCTGTCGGTGTCAAAGCCCAACTTTTTATGAATCGAGCCGATCGGTTGAGCGGCACTCTTATGAACGAGGTCATCGGCATAAATATGGTGGTGGTAAGCTTTGAGGAGTCGCGGCAGTGTAGAAATGTCGACATTGTCCTTTTCTTCCATGAATACGGCCGCAATAGTGAAGAATCTTGAATGCGGATTATGCTTCTCAAAGTATGGATCTGGGCAGAGCTCGGGCGTCGCAAATAAAGCATAGAAGCTGGAAGGTTCCTCAATATATCGGCAAAAGTCAGCCAGGGCGGTTCTAGACTTGTCAAGGCTCCCAGCGAAGATCAATATCCGAAAAGACCCGTTCATCGGAATCTCGTGTTCCAGATGCACAGGATTAGAATCAGCTAGACGAGTAACCGTAGCTGGCGGGAAGCAACGGCCAGGCGTCAGTATCGTGCCATCCGAGATAAAAAGAGGTGACTTGGCTCGGTGATTCGGATGCCAGTTAAAGACATTCGGCGGGTATACGATGCCATAGCCACTTGTGAACTCTGCAGCAGCTTTGTGTAATTTGGTAAATTCCTTGCTCTCGGGTAGGCTAGGGTCCTTGGAAGATAATCTCTGGGAAAATAGCTTTGTGTACTTGGCATCGAAACCAAGCAGTTGCTGGGCAATGTATCTTCTTTCCGCTTCATAAGATTCCAGGATCGAGCGATCGGCAAATCCAGCCTCAACAGCATGAATCTTCCATGCTAGATTCAAAGCATCGTGAAAACCGGCATTCATGCCTTGGCCGGCTTTCGGCTGGTGAGGAGATCAGTTAGACAGTTATATCGATGGCGTCAAAATCAGGGTTATTGGGGGATAACCTACACTGTGAGTATGGCATGCATCTCCCCCGATGAATATACGCTGATCTAAACTATACGAATCTGCTAAACCTTGGCCGATCGGGTAGGTGGAATACCAGTCTACCATATCCCAGGTGATGTCGTATGGCTTGAGGGCCTTTATGATAGAGTCTTGCGCTTGTTGGATGGTAGCTGTCCGCTTCGGATCCCAGTCAGGGTCATCAGGGGAAGAAATTTGGGTATACAGGCGGACCAAATTGTTTTCTCTTGGTATCACCATCACTGAACCACTATGAGAATGAATAGTGCATTTTTTCTACTCAATAAGTCAGTCAATAGGCATGACGCTGTGGCTACATACCACTAGGATCTCAAATACGTACCCTGATATCGGGGAAATTGGTGCGGACCACCCCGTCCATAACAGCCCATACCGCTGAGATGGGCCCCTTTCGCTGCATTTTTATCCCCAGCTGTTCCCTGATAAAGCTCCGAGTGCCTTCGCCTCCAATTAAATATTTTGTTCGTACAGTTCGTTCGACGTTTGTATCAAGGCTCTTTAGGGTAACTGATACAGGGTACGTGGAGTTCTCCTTATCATGTAGGAACCCAACTATGGTGCTCGGCCGCTCCACGATAGTACCACACTTTGACATCTCGTCCAGGAAGACCCTTTCGATTATACCCTGATGTATTGTGAGGGTAAACGGGTATCTCGCGCCTATGGTTGGTGGGCAACTAGGCCAGTTGCTGGTCCGATGTATGCCCTCACTGTTGGGGTCAGGGTCCCAAAATGCAACATTGTAAAGCCTCGCAGATGTGTGGGCCACCAATTGCTTCTTTACTCCCAGATTCCGTAATATCTCGACCGACCGAGGCTGGATCCCATCTGCTCTGCCTGTCCTGGTGGGCACATCTCGGTTATCAATGTGCTTCACATTGTAGCCCCATCGGGATAAGCAGAGTGACAAGAAGAGTCCAAATGGCCCAGCACCAACAATGACGATATCATAGACTTCTTCTCTCATTTTTGTGTGTATTGGCAGATGAGTAAGTTGCTCCAGCAAATCAGAACACCCGCGGTAATTGGCAATGTAAGGATATCAGTGAAATGTCTGAATAAAACCGTTAGATACGACAGAAGAGAAAAACACCGAACTTAAATGTCAGGGTTAAGGTAGCGGAGTACAAGCCCAATATGTGAGTCGGCTATGTTCACTCTGGGCTCTATTCGCAGTCGGGCATGATGCCCGATTTTCCAGTCTGTACGAGAACTGAATTGCAGTCAGGTTCCACCATAAGGAGGGCTCGGAGAACCCAGCGCAGCTTTGATATGAGCAAAAGGGGCACGGGGGTTTGCAGGCAAACGACAACTGGATCCTTCCGAGGTCTGGTCTATCCTGAAGATACGCCCCCCTGCCAACCTTGCAGTTGTTGCTTGAAGAGCCGGGATATTGACTGGCCTGAAGAATGAGACCACGCCATGGAAGCTAAGAAAAAGCAAAATCCTGGGAAGTTCCGGTAAAAGTTATCGGATCGCCAAAAGACTTCTTTCTCTTGATCGTGGTGGACCCGAGATGCTTAGTTACAGAGCGAGTCGGCTCTATGTAACTAACGAACGGTCCGGGGCTTCATCTATTGCAACTCGCGAACTACCTTACATAGTCAGGTCGTACTAGTTAGTTAACGGACCAGCTAGTTGACTAGTACGGAAAGTTTTTCGATATTTTATCGCTGTCTTTCGCGACTCCTTCCAGAAGGAAGTAAACATGAGGATCGGTAGTGGTGAGGATTTGCTTTCACCTAGTGCGGATCTGGGAATTGGACACCAAATAATTGCTGCCATGCATCCTACCCTCATGGGCAAGTGTGACATGAGGTCTAATACCGCCTATTCTTTCTGGGCGATATAGTTTTTTTTGATATCCTCTCGCCCCAGACTACTCGGAAAGATTTGAGATGAGACTTACAGCAACGCGTTGACCGTTGATCTAGCAGACGTTCAGGCCCGTTGCCCTTGTGCGAAGAAATCCTCCGAATATGTTCTAATTCGGCCCGGTCCTGCATGGTGTTGATCGTGCAGTTTGACATCAAGCCTGTGGAAGGTAGCTGGATAACTACAGTCTGCGGCAGATTCAAAGGCCGTGGCATCATCGGCATCAAAGGCCCAACTTGCCAGGCTCGTAATATCTTCTAAAGAGTGGTGGTGCATGTATGGGCAATCGAGTCTAGCCCCTGGAACTGTCAGGGGGAAGCCGCTCGGCCTGCATAAACATCACTAGTTAAGCGATCTGTAACTACGTAACTATCTAGGTACGTCACAGCCTCATATCTATGGCAAAGTATTAGACTATCAAGTTTCTGACTGCATAACTAAGAGCATAACGAAGAATGATAATAAAGCCCTAACCCCCAGGGAAATGAAAGCCAACATGTTATAGTCACAGGTGTCTAACTAATTTCAGCAGGAAGTGGGAAATCGACGCAATCTCCAACATCAAACCAGTCGCGATTTTCTGCATACTCTGCCTGTTGGTAAAACTCTTTCCCTCCCTCGATACCATCAGCACCAACTGTCCAGACTCCTTCCTCTACCAACGACCTCCAAAATGTGAGTAGAGTCTCTAGACTCGTACGATGGTCTCCGAAGAATGGACATAATGGGCCCTGGAATAAAGCGGTACGAGTTGGTTGGCCACTTAATGGTTTATAAGCCCCTGAGGGAAAGATTTTTAGCTCATACGGAAGAACTAGGCGGATAGTATCTGCCCAATCCTCCTCGGGAAGGATCCAGAGCCCAGCAAGCTCTTCTGTGGCTGACTCCTCCATAGGAAACAGAATAATAGGATCATGGTAAACTTCGCCATATAGCTCCTTGTATTGTGTATTATATAAAATATATCCGTCCCTATCCCTTTTCCTAGGAATTGGCGGGGTGTTATAATTATAGACTAATAACCCAGGAGCGATATATTTAAATGGAGGCTTAGATGCGCGAAGTAGGAATGCACGAGTAAACCCACATATAGAGGGAGGTATATTGTCCTCGCTAGCTAATGGTTCCGTTTGATGCTGGGTATAATCTTGTTGAGAATTCTGGTCTGGAAGACGTGTAGCGATAGTATCAATCAGGTCTTCCCATGCATTAAGGGTCTCGTCAAGAATAGAATCGGTCCAGGGTATGGCCTTCCACCCCGCAATGGACGGCTGCTGTCCAGATTGGACTTTCTGATCGCAGGGAACAGGCACATATTTTCCGACCTCAACGATAGAATTAAGCTTGGTTAGGAAGTCCTGCAGCGTATACCAGCCTCCATAATCATCCGCGGGCCTCTGGTAGTCAAAGAAGCTGGGAAGGTATCGAACGCTGAGATCGGCCAGGTCCATAATCACACCCAGTCGATGTGAAATGGCGCCAAAGTTGCCCCGGAACAGACAGATGCAGTCAATACCATCGTTCTGCGGTCCTCCCAGCCCGTAGTCATCATCGACAGCGGTCGGTGAAGGTATTGATTGGAGATGGTATGTTAATATATCCTCAATAGGGGCCGAACCATTACTCTCTATCACAATCTCAATCTGTTCGAGAAACTCAACCATAGGCTGCTGAAATCGTTCACGGCATTTGGAAACTTTTGGATCCGCCTGCCATACTTCAAACCAGTTGGTTCGAAAATAGTCGCCCTTCTGCTCTCGATTGCTGCCATGAAATCCGGTGCGAATGAGGCGGTTGTATAGGTTTGCGCAGATGGAGGGGTCAAACTCTGCCTCTTCCTCTTCTTGCGCTTCCTCGTCCCTCATCTCCTCCTCTTCTCCCTCATTCTTCTCTTCTTGCTCGCTATCCTGCTGTGTAGAGTCCGTCATTTTCTCAGTACTTCAACAAATCTTAGCTTCGACGTGTTAAATAAAAAGCTAAATAATCACGGCTAGCTAGTTACCGAAGGTAACCAAATCCTGTAATTTATCTTAGAATTAAAATATTGAAATCTGACTAAAAACTCTTCTTTACAAAAGGATGCTGGTCAGGGATCGGTGGTAATAAGCTGGTCACTGAGGTCCAAATTACAAGGATTGGATGGTTCAAAATGCTCCCTGGCAAAGCCTTGCGTACCTAAGGCTTTAGGGGTGAATTATCAAGGATAGCTCAGGCTATTGAGAAGGGCTTGAACTTGTTAAAAGTGTGTAGTAGTTGGTTATATTCTTTTTAGCTCTAGGTATAAAATCAAGATACATATTAATGATATATCACATAACACCATATAATAAGTCCTAGCAGGAGCTCGCTACTCCCGGGGCAGAGAGAAAAACGCGACCACACGAAGGAAGTAGTTAGTTACCCCTTATACCGTTATTAAGCTCAATATTAAGACCCCTTTTAAACAATAGCTCCTCACGCAAATCCTCAATTTCATTCCTTAGCTCTCGAAGCTCCCTCTGCCTCCTAGTAACGATAATAAAATCTTTACGTCTTCAAGCCATAGTAATACCTTCCCCTATAGAAACACGCGAATCCAGTGTAGCTTGTAGGCTCTGGACCTGGGCTAGCAGGCTATCCCTCTCCCGCCTTAGGTCGGTAATGATACCAGATTGGCAGCCTAGATCCCGATGTAAGGCCTCCACTTGGTCCCTGAGGTCCTGAAGTTCCGTTTGTTGTAGCTCGGCATCCTCTTTGTAATTATTTATTTATGAATATGCATGTAATCCACGTAATGTAGTGGTCGATGGTTTAGTGACGAACAGATGCCGTTACCACCGCAGACTCCTTATAGTATAAAACGTTAAGACGTGCTCCATTACGTGGCGCAAGGAAGTGAAGATAACGAGCCAATTTCTCAAATACCAAAGTCAACCGATTGCTGTTTGGCTGGCTAAAGCTGAATATCTGAATAGTATATTGAGCAGCTAAAAAAACGCCGTTACGTCGCTTCATTAATAACCATGAATGTGGTACGAAGCACTGAGTCTAGAAACCAGAGCTTCACAGAATAAGATCAGGCAATCGCGGCAAAGTCATCGGGAAACAGGGCATCCTTCAACAGGCCAGCAATATCTGGATCGCTCGTTTCCAGAAGGCTTTTCATCCCTGGAAGAAGCTCCTCCTTATTCTTCTCGGGATACATATCGAAGTTGATCTTTAGCCCGTGTCGAATGAGCCATTCAAGGATGGTCTTGATGTCTTGCATATCATTCACGGCTCTTGCAATACTGGCCGGACGGGTAGAGTTAGAGATATGCATCCAGCGTTTTAATTTCGTTAGGACTAACACCCCGGGATGTAGTAAGGGCACTGTCATCATTTGTCAGTATCTATATCGTCGAAAATGGAGCAAAGTCACTAAGAAAACTTACTTTGGTGATTAACTCGGTCGTGTCCAACTTCGTGTGGGTTCAGCAGGATGATCGGGGCAGAGTTGATATCGGGCAGCTTCATTGGCTGGTCTTTTCCACCCCGTAGAAGTTCGACCTCGATGTCAATATCTTGACCTTCCTTTTCAGTTATGTCTCGTCAGTTTCATATATATATATATATAGTAGTGGTACACTTTTATTTCGAACCCACCAGGCGGAATTTCAGCTTCTTTGTTGCTGTCATGTAGAAGTTTCCATTCCCTGCCAGCAGTTGCTGGCGAGCCGCTTGAGCATCCTCGCCAACGATAACATCAACATCCTGGGATAGACTGTTAGTAATGCCCTTGGTATACCTATAAAATATGGGATGCACTTACTTGAGTGAGACGTTCTCCGCCAAAGACTGAGACTGCGTATCCGCCGAAGAAGCCGTGCTTCACCCCGTTACGGGATAAAACTTCGGTGACAGCAAGTGCTGCCATGTCCAGTTTTACGTTATGCCCGCGCTGTAAAAGACCCTGTTGCTCCATGCTTCCTCAGGCTTTGAATAACTTTGGTTGAGATGGGAGAGTAGATAATAGGATGGTAGAGCTGAGACTGGAAGGCAGAGCTAATAGACTTGGAGATGGAGGTGGAATAGAGGATAAGGTAGATTGTAGAAAGAATAAGAAAGAGAGAGGCTAATGGCTCACAATAAATAGGCAAACTACAAACCAATCACTTATAGTTCGTGAATCGCTTCCAGTGAACAAACAGAATGAATGGAAGCCCATAGAGAGAATCGATGACATAAATCTGGTGGCAAGTGAATAGTTATGACTAATAATTAAATAATTATTTCAGGCCTTCAGGGTATAGAGTAATTGGCAGTTGCGGATTATTTGCTCAGAAAGATCAAAGTATTCCGCATCCTCGGGCCTCCAATCCCACTGGCGAACAAGTGACAACGCTTGCTCGACCCGTTGCTGAAAATGCTCTTCGCTTTCACTTTCTTCATCTTCATCATCCGGTAGCCTCGGAAAAACACAATAGTCGAGAAAAAGCGCCGTATCAGCAATTATAGGAACTCGGGGAAGCCCAAGCGGCAGAGACTGTAAAATGCGAATCAATGATATAAGATACGGCTGTGGCTTTGGGATAAGCGCCTTCTGTTGTAAGCTGAAGGTCGAAGTTACTTCCTCACAGTCTTCAAGAGACAAGTGCAAGGTTGAAAGAGGTATGAGTTGGATTCTGGTACTCCCGTGTTTGTGCATCTCTCCCGCTGTCTCCCACTTGCCATATGACCGAGCATAATGTGCAATAATGCCACCTTTCGGTATATTATGCTCCAGGAGGATTTTAGATACTCGAGATACCTCTGAGTCAGGTATTGCCCATCTAATGGTCTAAAGGTGAGGTCAGCCAGGACTGATACCTATAGAAGATGCTTTTGACATTGACGTTATTCATACGTTTATGCAAACTGGATACCCAAACCGCGCATTCAACAAATCCCCATACTCGACGATAGGGATATTCTCCTTGTTCAGGTCTGCAACCACAGCGGCAACAAAGGGGAGTGGGTATGTCATTACATCTTCCTCTATCTTCGGTATGATAATGTGGAGCTATTCAGTTCGGTAAATAAACATGTTTATGAATGTTGCTTGTATCAGAAATCTGCATCTTTGATTCGATAACTAGCGCCGTGTCGATGACGTAATGGCGATCTGCCTTATCGGTCTAGCGTTGTTCCTTCCCGACGTTTGACTGAGTCACGTGAATGCTTCAACGCCCCAAACTTCGACTTCCGACTTCAACTGAATCAATCAAATATTCTGAGATGACCAGAACACACGGAAAGGGCGGAAATACTCTATGAAAATGGGATTGCCAGCTATCTGAGCTGCTGTGACTGTTTGTATCCTTACAGTTAAAAGATGTCTTTGGAATAATACCGGAAACCTTGACAATATAAGATACCAGTTAACCGCCATAACACCAGGTATACCAACTCTGTGCTTGCCGCTGTAGCATGTACGGGCTGATATACTGCTACGTTTATATCGAGGACAAGATACCTTTGCAGTGGGATACTCTCACTAATTCTAGTGCAATTATTCTAGCAGCCGCTGGATATTCCTTTCAGGGCAACAATTGCCAGGTAGCTTCGGCTTTGTACAAGGCAATCTATACACTGAGCATTGCGCTTGACATTACCTTGTTATATCCAACTGTCTTAAATAATCTGAGATATATCTAATAGGTGATTATATATATTATGTTAATTATATCGCTAGTTCTTAGCTATGCTAGAACATGTCAGGTTGATGGAAGCTTCAGGGCTGTTGGCTGTTGCTAGCTGCAACCAAGGATAGGCCGGGCCTAAGTACATAAACTGATGTTGTTTACTCCCGTTGCTAGGTGATGGCACTATTTTATACCAACCACATCACAACCGCTGCCAAGTCTATTAAATCCCATTCTCACAACAATAGTTTTTTGGTAGCTATTGTGGCTTTTCTAACTCACACTGCCTAATTCACAATAATAGCTTTTATTGAGCTATTCATGGGATCCCTCTCTTCTTAGTTGCCTCTTAAAAGCGCGTTGCCTGGAAACTCCTCTATCTCTTACACAACATAAACAAAGACCAAATATGGAGCATTCACAACATCAACGCGCTGGTACTGCAGATTTTCTTCCTGGACCAGGCCAGCAACAACGGTCTAATCCAACTGCGCACTCTTACTCCTCGAGTTTACCTAACTTGGAATCAAACGGGCACCAAAATCATACCCTAGACGCTCAGGGTTGCCCTCCCTGTTGCTCTTCCAGGGATGCCTTTAGACAGCTAACGCGAGATATCTTGCATTTGACCGTCCAGTCTACAAAGGAAGCCGGAATTCCAGTTAAATCATTAGATCCACAGAAGTACAATCCCTCGGAAGCCATGGAGGTCCCCCTCGCATATGATAGGTAGGGGTGCATACCCCTGACAAAACTATATGTAATTTGATGTTGATAAACTGTGCTAGTCATTCATCATACAGCGGTGCTTCAGAATACCATGAAAGCAGTGGCCGTCAAAGTGTATGGCCTGGACCCCCCGAAAATGACTCGCGAATTCACAGAGAGCCGTCCCCACCGAAGGCTTACTCCTATCCCACGGATGCGAGTCAGTACGGAAGACGCATCCCCCAATCCAAATCCGACGGAAACGTAAAATCATTTGACTACGGAAGCCGCGACAACTCGAACACGACCAACTATTATCAAGACTGGGAAGGCCCAGCAAAGGTACCTCCTGTAGAACAGTGGGAAAACAGTGGACATAACCATGGCCAAAGGCATGGCCAGAAGCATGATCAGAGACTTGATCAGAGACATGATCAAAGATACGAGGTAAACCGTGCGCCTCGTGGACGTGGGCGCTCGCGTTCCCCTACTAAACTCGAAGATTTGGACGAGGAGACCGCCCTCGACCTATACCCGCAGCAAAAACGTTCAAAGTCTCCACATAAGAAGCTGTTTGGCGAAAATGGATGGTTAGGACGCTCGCCGGATATCAACGATGTCCCCGCCGAAAAGAAGAAACCTGGTCTGAGAGCTCTTGGAGAGAAAATTAAACAGAGAGTTGAGGATATTGTGAGTGCTCCTTGGAATTCTCATCATCCCCCCCATTATATAAAATTATAGGTATGGATGAATATTTGAAACTAGCTCTGACCGTTTCTGTAGACGGGGTCCGGGTCCGTCCCTTTCCAGCCCAAGATGCTCACTAGATCTACTTGTCCAATTTCGCTGGATCCCCCAACTCAAGCAAAGCTTTACTCCGAAATAGAGCTAATGATCTGTGTCACGGCAAACCAGTTTCTCGTCAGTCAGTACCAAGCCGGCTACATGTCTGCAGATTCCGTCAACAAGGTCGCCAATTTTTGGGTGTCCAAGAGCAGACCACAGGTTGTTCAGTTCCAGTTTGACCAAGCTACGCAACGAGACTTGATTATCTATAATATTCGAACATTCAAGTTTCACGGCGAATGTGCATTTAACACCGTCGTTTTAAACGCGACTCTATACAACTGGAAGACCATGGCGAAGGAGATGAGCATTCGCACATTTTGCTACCCTGACAGCGTGATTAGGAAACATATGCATGATACCCATAAGATCTTGGAGATGTTGGGAGGGCCACTGGTGACGTTCTTAGCCTTCCAGGAGCTGCAAATGGGAGCACTTGCTGCCATGAAGAAGGTCCAGGAGAAGCAGCTCAAGGAAGCTGATGACAAGCATGTAACGCAGGGGGCATTCCACCCAGCGTCCTTCGGAAAGCGCGCAGCTTAAGGGGAAATCCAACAGGATAGTCGGCTAGCTATGAGATATCCGGTTTCATTGTCGAAAGGTGTTTTTTTATGATTGGCTGTTTTAAATGTTGCTGCCTTTTGCGCTCTGGCCTTGACAGGGCAAGCCTTGGTGGCTGTTGAGCCCTTCCAGCAGCCTTCTTGTGTATAATTACCATAGTTTTCATTATTATGCGAATAAGAATAAAAGAAACGTACCAGATGAGCCTTGCAATACGAGTCTCGATATCCACGCCCGTCTTCGTCCTTCACATGGTTGAATTTCGAGGCGTCACGTGAAGCTGCTGTCCAACAACGTCATCGTCAACATTTAAGAAAATCCCAACCACCAGACGAACTTAAGACAAGTTGGATTCTCTGGCCTTTTAGCCTTGGGAGTCAACCGAACAAGAGGGATGGTAGTTCATATTCCGGTATCATTATTATCTTTTAGCAACGACTGGGTTACACCCTGACAAACGCATGAATTCTGCTGCCTATGGCTTTGTTCATGACGTTCAGGATGCCAGAGTCTACCAAGCTAGAAGGTGGAGCTGCTTCTGCTCTTATAATTCTTTGATTTATCCTGGATATATAAAGACCGGCTACCCCCTTACTTATCACCACCTGGAGAAACACCGAATAAAGCTATCTTGAACGCTATGGCGGCTCCCACTCATACATACGGGCCAACATGCCTGCTTTACGAAGACGAAGGCAACACAGTTATCAAGGGCGGCCCAGGCGAAGTTATACCTCCACCACCTACCGTGCGAGCCCAGTTCTTCTATCTATCCTCGCTCCCAATCGATGACCCTTTAACACCAATAACTGCTCCCACTACCAACTCCAACACACAGCTACCTACGAGGCCATTTTCAAGTCGAGACAGTATAGCTCTGGAGGAAGCTTGGCAGGCTCTGCGGGCTGATTTCGAACGGGAGAACAAAAGTGATTCCAGGGCCTCTGGCTCGCGGGAAAGCACTTTGAAACTCCGGGGAATACCTCCGGCCGTAGAACGAAGCCGACGAGGGTCGGATGGCAAACTTATTAAGAACAGCAAAACACTCCCAACTTCCCGGTTACGGTCTGATGGGAAAGAGAATAGGAGGAGTTCACTGGGAGTTCGGGAGATATTCGTGGATGGCAGTGTTGTTGCCGGGAAGGATTCGATTTCCAATGTACCAAAACCTAGAAACGCCGACTCTGCGGACACCGAAACGCCAAAGCAACGACGAAGGACTCTTGGATCTTACGAAACCAGCGAAAAGCTGCAGAGGTGCCAGAATTCTCCCGCCCAGCCTATTCCTGGAACACCAACGAGAATTGGGACGCCATTTCAGAATGGCGACGATGGGAGAATGCGAGCTATGGCTGATACCAACGTTACTGGGTCTCCATTCATTCGAGCACCGATCAGAGATCGATCAGACTCTGTTGCTAGCACAACTTGGGGCAACGAAGATATACTTGAGAAAATGAAACGCCCTCCAAACGGAGATAGCAACGCTACCACACATTTGAAGGCAGCTTTAGAGTTAGAATACGAAACCAAGACCAAACTTCGAGACACACCTTCTCCAAAACAGGGCTCCCGGCCTTCATCTGCTGGCTCTGAAATCATCGACACAGGTGTGACAGTGACTGTGGGCGCTACGCGCCTTCATCTCGTAGAGCTGCCGAAACTACAGATGAAGCCAATTTACTGGAGCCCCATCAACGATATCTCGAGTGTGATTAGAGCAACTTGGTTTTACAAGAACACCATGCTTCCTGTAGAAACGGATCTCGCCAACCATCTGGAAGATGGCTACATGGACTTAAAACCCTGGACACAAACATGGCAAGATGAGCTTGATAGCTGCATGGAAAATGGTGCAGAGGCCGAAGAGAAAATCATTTACAAGCTCTGGCCTGAAGAGGTACCGAAGAAAGGAGACAAGGCCGGGCGTGAGTCGCCTGAAATGATGTCCGTCGGAAGCGCATACTTGTCACAGCGTGCAACGCATCTGGATTTCAGTGTAAATAGAGCCGCTGGCGGCATGGAGGGCCAGGTAGATACCGTACGGCAATTCAAATCTTCCAGTGTCATATACGTCAATGCGAAGGAGGCACAAATATTACGACCAAGCCTATTACCATCAGTTGCCCGGGGCCGAAGACCCCTAGGCCCTGTTCGAAAGGGCAGACAAATTGGTATCCCCGTTATACGAGGCTTCAGCCCGCAACTCTGGGATAAACTGCATCCGTCAAAATTCGTTTCTACAAACGCAAGGAATTTCGTGAAGATGCGGGAGATGGCCTCTAGGCCATCTGCTTCTCGCCGACAGATCTGCTATGCTTGTCAGATGGAGGATAAGAGGCAGGATGTCAGTGATCTTGTCTTGGTTATACATGGAATTGGCCAAAAACTATCCGAACGAGTTGAGAGTTTTCATTTCACCCATGCAATCAATGCTTTCCGAAAAGATGTGAATGCAGAGTTGAGTAGCGATGCAGTATGGCCACATATGCGTCCTGGTCAAGATAGCATAATGGTACTCCCTGTCAATTGGCGAACAACTCTATCTCTCGTCGAAGGTGCCGAGGAAAATATTTCAGCAGCTGAGGATCCTCATGCGAATGTATTTTCGTTAAAAGATATCACTCCAGACACCATTCCGGGAGTCCGAAATTTGATCAGCGACGTTATGCTTGACATTCCATACTATCTGTCTCATCATAAGCAGAAAATGGTACATGCGGTGGTCAGAGAAGCGAATCGAATATATCGGCTTTGGTGCCAGAATAACCCTGGTTTCCAGTCTCGTGGAAGGGTGCACATAATTGCCCATTCCCTGGGAACGGTAATGGCAATGGACATCTTGTCGCATCAACCGACTGTTCTTCCTTCCATAGATTTCTCTACCACTGAAATCAACGAGGCCATGTTTGAGTTTGATACCAAGAACCTATTCCTATGCGGTAGCCCTGTAGGCTTCTTCCTGCTTCTCAACAAGTCCGTTCTTCTTCCACGAAAAGGGCGGAATAAGCCCGGAATGGACCATGGTGAAGATGCAGGTCGCGGGATCGCTGGCCATGCTGGGAAATACGGATGTCTTGCAGTTGATAATATATACAACATCCTGAACGATACTGACCCTATTGCCTACCGTCTAAATGCAGCGGTAGATATTGACCTAGCCAATTCGCTCAAACCAAAGATTATACCCAGTTCGTCAACATCACTTTTACAAAGCATTACGAGTGTTTTCCGCTGGGGTTCAACATATACTACCGGTGCAACTGTTGGTAGCACCGCTCAGGGTATTGCAGCTACCATCTCCAAGCTTCCTTCAAACATCGAATTGGAGACTCATGATTTTACTCGCGAGGAAATCGCTGAAACACGCATGGCGCTTTTGAATGACAATGGACAAATAGATTTTTACCTCAATGTCGGTGGTGGTCCCTTGAATATTCAATATCTCAACATGCTTAGTGCACATAGCAGTTACTGGATACTGCAAGATTTTGTACGATTTATCGTCGTGGAAATTGGAAGAGTTCCCGGCAGAGACGGGGCATTGTTGGCGCTTAGAGCGGAGAAGAAAAAAGGTTGGAAAACGGCGAAATGATGATATTGTTATCATGAGTGAATATGCCTCAAGCTATGGCGTTGGTCACTGGAAAAGAAGAATGATAATTGGTGTTTATGGGAAGTATCCTGGAAGAAGCTTGTGAAAAAATATTTCTGGGTACTATATTTCATCATCTTCGGCTTATATGTATATAGGTAATATTGGATATAATCGCTTCGATTTCGGTTAATACTTATAACTGCTATTTAAAATAAATTCATCAATGGTCAAACCAACGGACCCATCATCAGAGCTTCAACTAACTGCCCCTTTTCAATAGAGCCAGAGCCAGGCTCAAGAACCAGCAATGCATTAGCCTTCGCCATGCTTCCAACCCTTGAGCTTCGCTGGCCTACGCCAGTAACACCGGTGCTTGTGGCAAGTAGCCGGCCGTCTTCGCTGGACGAGCCCACAATAGCACGGTGGTACTCTGTACGCTTGGGATCTTTGGGGATCGAGTGAGTCAGAGAAGCCTTAACCACTGGAAGTCCTCTCTGTGCCAACCCCATGGTCTTATGCAACGAGGGCAGCACGAATAGATTAAGCGTAACTAATGCCGAAGCAGGGTTGCCCGGAAGAGAGAATATAACCCTCGTCTCCCTCCGGTTCGAATCAGGAGAGCTAGGCTTGAACGGTATGGTTGCAAAAGTAGTTGGTTTACCTGGCTTCATTGACACTCGTCCGAAGTGTATGGTGCCTCCGAGCTGTCGTTCGATAGTAGGTTTCAGCAAGTCCAGTTCGCCCATTGAAACGCCGCCTGTGGTTATGATCACGTCTACGCCGGAAGGGTTTGATGATGATGAGCCACGTAAGGCGTCTCGAAGGAGTTCTTCCAGGTGTCCGGATGTATCCTTTGCGATACCCAGGTCAACGGTTGGGAACCCCCAAGACTTCAAGCATGAGATTAGAGAAGGACGATTTGAATCTCTGATTTGGCCGCCTGTAAGTTTGATGGCGTCGAAATGTTCAACCAGTTCGTCTCCGGTGCTAAGAACACCAATGCATGGCTTCTTGTACACCTTCACTGTCTTGGTACCGGTGGAAGCGAGTAGGCCGATCTCACCTCCTACGTCGGTGATGAGGTCTCCCTTTTGTAGGATTCTTGACCCAAGCTTGACATCGCTGCCTGGCTCACGAATGTTCTCTCCAATCTTGATATCTGCAGTCAGAATCTCGACAACAGCCTCTTCCTTGCCGTCGGGGGTAGTTGATACCAGCACCGTGTCTTCTACCATGACGACTGCATTGGCGTTATCTGGAAGCGGTGCTCCAGTAGTGATACGAGCAATGTTTCCAGGCGTGAGTGGTGGAGGCATGGAAGCTGCTTGGGCATGGGACACCGAAGCTACTGGGAACTGGCCCTTTGTGCTGACGTCTTCCCCTGAAGAAGCAGGGGCAATAACGGCGTACCCATCGACGATGCTTGCTCGATAGGCTGGAACAGCTTCTGCCGCAAAGACATCCTCGGCTATAACTGAGCCAACAAGCGAGATGTCTACGGGCACCTCAATAATGGTAGGATCGGGAGTATGCTCTGATATCAGATTGAGAGCGTCTTCCACGGAGATCATGGGGTATGGAGAGGTACGGTATCGTCTGGTTGGACCGGTAGCTGGATCATTAGAGCTCGGTCTATCCGCTGCAGTCGTATGGGCTTTGGGTATAACGTGTCCATGTCCATGTCCATGGTGACAGTGGTGATGTCCTCCATCCTGCTTTGAAGATACAGTTGTTTGGCTAGCTATCCCCGCTTCTTTCTCTAGCTTCTGAATGCCGCCGGCATGTAGAGACCTTGAATCAGCGCCTTCTGCCTGGGCACATGCATGGGGCAGTAGTTTGATCACTGCTTCAACGCATTCTTTGGCGCCTTTGGGGGATCCGGGAACCGTGATGATAATTGACTTGTGTCGTACTCCTGCTACGGGCCTTGACATCATAGCAACTAAATCTTCATTAGTATATAGACATGGCGATGTATCGGAAGGCATCTTACACGGTGTGATCTCCAATGAAGTAGATAGTATTGCATGCCTATACCCGCAGTTAGAATCTGTCGGTTTGATACATAACTACGGCAGTCCACCTACACAAGCCCAGAAGCATGTCGATGAATTAAAGGCAAAACAGCCTAGAAACCGTCAGTATCTCCATATCTATACCATGATATTCTTGTAGTAGTAGTTGTTCTATAGAAGGCAGAAAGTAGCCCACCTCAGGCGTATGATCCTTAACAGCGAACCCCGTCCCGCCAGAGGTGATGATGAGATTGAAGTGATCATTTCCATCGGACCAGCGAGAGATATGCCGCTGAATTTCAAGCACGCTGTCCGGAACGATGGCGATAGTGGGCTTCTCCCACCTGTCACTGTGCTGGCTGAAGAGCTCTGTCAAGACGCCGCCTACTCTGTCAGTGGAAGGGTCATGGGCAGCAGTGTCTGAGACGACGAGGATAGCTGCCTTAAACTTGTTGTCTCCCATTGCAAGATGTTATCTCGTAGATATATATTGTATTTATGTCCTTTGGTCTGCTTGATGGCGTGAGTCGTAGTTAGTTTGGTTCCTCCGCAGTTTCAGGTGTTTAGTTTGCCGGTTAACTAGCAGGGGTGGTCTGATATTAAGTAACGAATGGCTCGCTTTCAGCAAGCATAGCATCGAATATCGTCTTCAAGAGAGATGTATTGGCTAAATATTCGAAATACAAGGCTAACCTATTATTTTACATCCACACCGTCAGGCCCTCGGGTCAGCAACGAGGAAGAAGAGAGGACGAGCTCCCTTTCCCCCATGCCGCCAGGGCCTGTTGACTGACCGAATGCACTCTATGTATGCGAACGAATTAAAACAAAAAAAAAGAAGTAGTAGAATACCGAACGCCCATGCCGTGGTGAAAAAGGCATGTTGATAATAAAGAGGACCAAGAGGATCAACGAAACAGTCGCGGGAGGGACGGGAGAAGGAGGAATTTATGCATGAAGGCCCCCAGGAGCTAGATGGATGGGGAGGTGGTATATTTATCATTAACCAAAATCACAACACGATCAGGCCATGTATAGCGTTCACTTAAATTCGTTCGCCTTTCCGGCCACAAGCAGACCGAGAATAAGACCGAAAAGACCGAGGATAGAGCTGAAGATCTCGATGACGAGGATCTTGACGAATCTGGACGGTTGTGTTAGCAAACAGAGCATACGGTGGTGAGTTCAAAGTAGACGACGTACAAGCTGGAATCAGCGGCATCAGCCAAGGCAGCACTACTTCCGTTGATACCGACTGCAACGCCACAGATGAGGTTGCAGGATCCGACGATGAGACCGCCCCAGAAGAGAGCGTAGCCGGTGTACAGGTTGCTGCCTGAGTAGAGGTTCTCTTCGGAGACGTAGGAGAGTTTCGAGGAGAAGACGATGGACATGATGACGCCGTAGATGGCGACGACTTCGCAGAAGATGATGGAGATCAAATTCTTGGTTCGTATCCTGGGAGCTCTAACACCGCCGCCGATGATGGAGGAGCCTGTGACGAAGATACCCCTATATATACCCAGATGATTAGGCACAGCTGAAGGTAGATGAGGTTTGGGGAGAGAATAAGTTATGCTGACCATGCTGCGCCGACGACTGATAGACCAACACACAGTCCAATGCCTATGTTTGCGAAAGCGTATGGGGAGACGGTTTCGAGGAAGAGGCCGACCTGGATGGAGCTGTTAGCTGGATACAGATGCTTAAACAAACAGGACGTCTGGGACAGAACTCACGTTGAATGCCTCGCCCTCGCCATTGAAGAGCATATCTAGACGCAACGGTCAGCCATCCCCCTTGAAGCTGTAGCTGTAGAAGCAGAACGTACACAGGCCGACAACCGTCAGGGCGACGGTCAGGCCGCCCAGGCCGTGGTAGTAGCTGTAGGCCATCCTTGCCTCTCGCTCGAGCGATGCACCAGGACGTCGACGGCGACGCAGGAAGAAACGAAGCAAAGAGCAGCTGCTGACGACTTGTCGTAAGGCGTTGAAGGTCGCTCGTCGATCGTGGCTTGCGTCCTTTGCTCTGCTCTGCGTTGCTGCTGGTGTTGATGTTGTTTCTTCCTGTTGCTCTGCGAAAGCGACGAGAGAAGTCGAAGCGTTTCCGTTGCTTCTGCCGGTCGTGATTGGGTGGAATTCCGCGCGGGTAAAAAGTGTTATTTTCGTTGGTCGACGGCCCTTTTTTTCCCTTACCAAGGAGCTTTCCCCCCCTTTGCTTTGCGCGCTTGAAGGGAAATAGAAAAAGAAGGTCAAGAGACGGTGTTTCTTTTTTTCTGTCTGCTGCTACGGGGGTTTCTTCTTCTTGGTGTTGTTTATTAAATATCCTTTGACACTGCGGGTTTACGAGGTTTACGACTGTTTTGTTTGCTTGGTGGATAGATAACTAGACGGCCTCGATATCAAGACCGAACCCGGCGCCCCCCCCCTTGAACGACAGCAGAAGATGGCCTCCCAGTCGCAGGTAGGGTCGTATTCGAACCCGCTGAAGAAGTTTAAGTGAGTTTCTGGACGCTGGGCTGCGGTGGTTTGGAGACGAGATGAAAACTGACCGGGAGGCGTTAGATTGGTGTTTCTCGGTGAACAGAGCGGTATGCAGATCGGATGGGATAGAGGGGTGGTGCAGTGTATTATGGACGACGGACTGACGGAGAGACAGTTGGAAAGACGTCGTTGATTACGCGGTTCATGTACGATTCATTCGACAACACGTACCAGGCGACTATAGGGATTGATTTCCTCTCCAAGGTGCGATATCCTGCTGCCTGGTTGATTCAAAGATCAAAGAAGGACGGGCACAGAATAAGAATGAGAAGGAGAAAAAAGACTGACGGGAACAGACGATGTACCTAGAAGACCGGACGGTGCGCCTCCAGCTATGGGACACGGCAGGCCAGGAGCGGTTCCGCTCGCTGATACCGTCCTATATCCAGAACTCGAACGTGGCGGTGGTGGTATACGACATCTCGAACGCAAAGTCCTTCCAGAACACACGGAAATGGGTAGACGACGTCCGTGACGAGCGAGGGAACGACGTTATCATTGCTCTGGTCGGCAACAAGACCGATCTCAACGACAAGCGGGAGGTCACCACCGAGCAAGGGGAGGAAGAGGCGAAGAAGAACGGGCTGATGTTCATCGAGACGAGTGCGAAGCTCGGCCACAACGTGAAGAACCTGTTCAAGAAGATCGCTCAGGCGCTGCCGGGCATGGAGGGAGAGACTCCCAACACTGACAACCAGAGTATGTCTGACTCCTGGCTCCAAACGATCCCTTGATACTGACTGACCGACCTGCTGCAGTGATTGATGTGAGCATCAACCCGACGAAGCCGGTGAGCAACGACGCCTGCGCCTGCTAGAACCCGCCATCTATCTACCTACCTTTCGACCTGCTACGACGGTAACCATGATCTCTTCACCTGTCGACCGTCACCACCACTGCTTAAGTGGCTACTCCGACGCCCACGCCCATGCCTACGCCCTGCATATCAAACATGCATCAAGACTGTAACACCGCTCCAACGCTGAGCCTGCATCCCATCCACCCTCCAGACCTTCATCTTGCCTGCATCTTAGTATCTACTTGTCCTTCTCTTCTTAATATACCATGCCTCTGCCATGCACCAACTAGTCTATAAATAATACAGCTATCAGAACGCCTCGCATCCACCTAGAAGGCCAAAGGGCCCGTATCCCGCTCCGTCGCACCCGAGCGCATAACTCATAACTTCTGCATAACCAAGCAATAGATAATAAATATACTCTCGCTTTGAATAACTGCCCAAACTACTGTAACTTCGATCACTATCACCGTCGACTTGTCAACTTCTACTAGCGAACTTGGGCATGGACACCCTGGAGCGATCACCCGCTTGGCAAGGTCGCTTCGAACGAGTAGAATCAGCGATTTGATCCTTCATCTTAACGACCTTGCCTTAGTTTAAATAAATAGCAAGAATAAGAAGAATAAGTAAGATAGTTTCCTCGGGCTCGGTCGAAAAGTTCGTTCGTTCCTCGGGCTGCCGGAGGATTTTCGCTCCACCAGGTTTGACGTCGAGTTGCTCTTCTTCTTCCTCTTTTCATACTCTCGATCTTCAGACTCTGTATTCTCTATCTTCGTCGTCTGCTTCTTCTTCTTCTCTCGCTGTTCGCCTCAATACGCGGTTGATGAGCGACCATGGGCTTCTTATCGTTCCGGTTCCTCCGCGCGCCGCGGCCGCAGGTAAGTGAAAGCGACGCTGAGCGTTGGACGCCGGCATCTGCTCTCGTGACGCTGTCGAGAGATACCTAACTAACCGACGCACTCGCAGTCCTTCCTATACATCATGAGCCTGCAGACGGGCGCCACGCTGATTGCGCTGTCAATGCTGCTTAACAAGCTCATCGGCATCTACGGTCTCCTCTCGATCCTGACGGGCTTCGAGCTGTCGCCCGTGCAGCTGTCGATGTACATCTACTCCATGCTCGCGCTGGGCCTCACCATCTTCCTGACGCCGTACATACGCAAACAAGCACCGCTGCAGTGTCTGGCGCTGGCATGGTTCTACCTTATCGATAGCGTGGTGAACGCAGCCTACACTGCCGGGTTCGCCGTGACGTGGTTCCAGATGATTTCGGAGCCCTCGGCGAGAGGGCCTGGCGGGTCGACGATGAAGGAGACTGCTGGGTTTGCGGGTGGGAGGCCACACAGCAAGCGGTACAGTGTGTCGTTTGATACGGCGGACGGCATGCCGCTGGCTACGACGTCAACGAGTGCGAAGTCGGCTGGTTCGGCGCTGGAGGACGGCATGCTGCAGCCTGAGAGCTTGCCTAGTCTAGCCATCATATGTGTGCTGTGGATGGTGCGGCTGTACTTTGTCTTTGTGATGATGGCCTTTGCAAGACAGTGTCTGAAGCTGCATGCCTTTTACCGTCGGTCCGAACACCAGCAGCATCAACATCAGCATCAACGCAATGGCTCCACGGCCAGCACGGCAGACTATCCCGATACCAACCCCAACCCTTTCCTGCCTGACTGCCCCGACGGCCAGGGCTGGAAGGGCAAGCTGGGCCGTGCCATGGTCTCTGTCGGTAGAGGCTACTGGCTCGACCGCAACGAAGACGACGACTGGATGTTTGGCGTCAACCGGCGTTTCAACTCGAGCTACCGCATGGTCCCGACGGAGAGCAGTGGCCCCGTCGAGAGAGAGAGACGGCGTCGGTCAGGCACCGGTCCCCCCATGCCTGCTCCAAGCGTGCTGCAGGCCGTGGTCGTGCCCCTGACGCCCTCGACGCAGCCGCCGAACCACTCCCTGCCGCAGTCCCCTGCTACTTCGAACTTTAGGCCCGGCACTGTCCCGCCGCTGAAGATGTACGGCCAGCCTCAGGACGAGCGGGAGTTTTGACCTAAAACACCAACCTCAACCTCAACTTTTGCTTGAGTATATATACCCTGTTCGTCCTTATCAATGGACGTAACAATACCTGTACATCGCATCGACATCGACATCGACATCGACATGTTTAATTCTTGGACTACGCACACACGCAACAGCATAGCGAACCGGCTACTCCTGACCTTCTTCTTGTTCTTGTTCTTCTCTTCTTCTTCTTCTTCTTCTTCTTTGGGCGTTCACGGGTCATCTTTTGCCTAGGGATGGGTCTTTCTTACTCTCTGTCTTCTTATCTTACTGCTATCACTATCATGACCAACCATTTACTACTTACGTGAGGCTCTATCAACCACTCAATGTATAGAAACTATCACCATGACCACCACCACTACTACTACTGCTACACTACTACTTCCTACTCCTACTGACAAATCACTTCTTACTAATTGTAATGTCTTCTATATCTGTCTCTATCTCTGTGCAGGCCTTAGCATTCTCTAGCTGGGCCGAGGGTGATCACGCAATAGAACATGCAAATGCCGCACTTAGCAACAGCTGAACCTGTTCTTTTCTTCTTCTGCAGTTCGTCTCTTTTTCTTCTTATTTTCTGCTTCTTTTCTGTGACTTTCCTGCATGCTTGTCTCGACCGAGATCCTTCCAGAGTGAAAATATCAGGACATAAAGACAAACCTCAAGTCTTTCTCTCTCTTTATTCTTCTTCTTCTTCTTCTTCTTCTTCCTCGACCAGTGAGAGAAAGAGAATTACCAAGAAGAGCCGAGTTTGCGCTGTTTGCAGATGTCGTGATCAGAGCCCCAAGTCACCTGATAACCGAGCCTAAAAGGGAAAGTCTTTGGCCGCTTTTTCTCTTCTTCTTCTTCTTGACTTCAACTTCAGCTTCGAACTTCAACTTCACCTTCATCGCTGGTGATAGTCTTGCTGGCGTCTTCGGCGGTCGTCCTGGTGCGTTGGGAGGTAAGTGAGCGCGTGGGTGGTGGCATTGAGGTGTTCCCTTACTAATGCAGATCTAGATCCAACTAGTGAAGACGAACTCGACCGGGGGGAAGCTCGACAGAGCCATTGACGACGACCATGGCCAGCATAGCCACCGCAGCAGAAGCTGGTACGTCTATCATGAGCTGTTCTGGCTGAAGGGGAGGCTTTGCTTTCTTCCTTGAGCTGTTCTCTTGCTGGTCGTTGATATCTAGATGTGATGGGGCTGACATGGGGTTGATTACTAGTGGCAAGAGTGGCATACCTCTCCAGCGATGTAGTGCTCTCAGTCCAGCCGACGAAGGAGACAGACTCAGTCTTCTCTGGCACTCTCAACAGCCTAGCTCAGCAGCAGGTCAAGAATGTGGTATCAGATGCTGTTCCGGAGGTAAGAATGATAACATACATACCCTTGTACTTTATACATCTAGCTAGCCCCCCCGGTCAGTTTCAAGCCAAGCTAATACCAAGCAGGTACGCCCAGTGCGCCACAATGAGGACCCCCTGCTATCAGCATACCACCCCCTACAGGAGGGCCAGACAGTCTCAGTCACGACAACGTCAACCGTCTTGCTGGCTGCCATACCTCACCTCTACAGACTGGCAAACTACTCCATAGTCATTCATGTGCATCTGGAACCATCGCAGTTCGCAGACTACTCCGTCATAAGCTCCATTCGACAATGCGGGTTCTCCTTCCTCCATTCAGAGACCCTGCAGGAGGCTCACGATATCGCTCTTACTGCCCATGCCCTCGCCCTGACTTCGGGTAAGGGAGTCATTCATTTCTTTGACCTGCGTAACTCGGCAAAGGATCAGCCGGTCGTGGCAGAGGATGCTGCGTTTGTCAAGGATATACTCGAAGTCAGCCCCGTCAGAGCTACTCATACGCCCGTGGATGTGCCTCAGACCATCTATGCGGACTCAGGGAGGGTCGCCATGGTCACTGATCAGGGCTTTGGAGGACCAGCCATCAGCCCCGGTGCTGCTGCTGATACTACTGCTGCCACCGACTCTGCTCTCCCTATCCCATCCCCAAAGTCAGCAATTCACAGCGTTGAACCTTCGTCAGTTGGCTCCTCGCGACGGGGCAGTATTCTCGAAAGCCATGTTCCCAGCTCATCTGCTACTACGGCTGAGACAGTTACGGCCCGCCCAGTTGATGCATCAGACATCTTCCAGATAGTAAGCATCATCTGGGATGCTTTCTCGGCCAGAGTAGGTCGCAATTACCATGCCATCGAGTACTCGGGGCCACAAAACGCAAAATTGGCACTGTTCGTCTTTGGATCAACAGGCGTGTTTGTCGATACCCTCAACGACCCAACTCACAAGGATGAATTCAAGGATGTGGGCATCATCACTGCCAGACTCTACCGTCCCTGGATAGGCAGCCAGATACTCCGTGCTGTACCAGACTCGGTCGAGCGCATAGCTGTGCTTGAACAAGTTCGCAAGACCACCAAATGGGGCCCGTCTTTCCTTGACCTCTTATCTAGCATGTCACAGCCCCCATCCAGCACTAGACCTACACCAACCCTCGTAGGCTACAGACTCGGATATGTAGAACCCGCAACAGCCTCCCAAGCAGTCAGAGGCGTCATCCAGAACCTCACACTAGAGACACCTATTCAGAGCCTCGACATAGGCAGCGAGACCATCCCCACGCCAGATGCCCAGCTTCAACAGCCCAGCCATGAAAATGCATACACCAAGATCCTGAACCAGCTGTTCAGTGACCGCTTGTACATTGCCAACCAGCTTGGTTCGCAGGACGCAGGTATCTCCGCCACCATCGCTGCTTCACCAGAGTACGGCTTTGGGTCCCTGCTCGCTAGAAAGGAGCGTCGTACCAACCTCAAGAATGATGTCGAGGAAGCTGTTCGAGCCAATGGATTCAAGAACGAGACCTCCAAACAGCTCCTGTCCAAGTGGGCTTTGAACGAAGCAAACCCCGCCAAAGCCAACCAGATTGCTCCAGATGTCATCGCCGCCTTGACAGAAGATGGATCCAGCCCAGCCGAAGAACTGCTTCAGTCCAAGGAACTATTCTTCAAGGAGGCCCAATGGCTCATCGGCTCCGATGCATGGGCGTATGACCTTGGAAATTCCGGAGTCCACCACGTTCTTGCTTCAAATAAGAACGTCAACATGCTCATCATCGACTCCCAGCCATACTCCCAGAGAACGGCTGCGGACCCCACACGCCGCAAGAAGGATATCGGTCTCTACGCGATGAACTTTGGCCATGCATATGTTGCTTCAGTCGCAGTGTACAGCTCATATACCCAGGTCTTGCAAGCCATTGCAGAAGCAGAACAGTACAATGGGCCTTCAGTAGTTGTTGCTTACCTACCGTATCATAAAGAAAGCGACTCCCCCCTCACTGTATTGCAAGAGACTAAGAAGGCAGTGGAAGCTGGCTACTGGCCTCTTTACAGATGGAATCCCGAAAACGCTGAAAAGGGTCAGCCTAATTTCTCGCTGGATTCAGAGAGGATTAGAAGAGAACTAGAAGAGTTTCTTCGTAGGGATAATCAGCTCACTCAGCTGATGGGTCGTGAACCCAAGTTTGCTGCAAGTTTGTCTGAGTCATACGGCAGTGAAGTGCGAGCGCTGAAGAAGAGAGCTGCGAAGAAAGCGTATGATCAGCTCATGGAGGGCTTGCTTGGTGCTCCCCTTACCGTCCTGTTTGCATCTGATAACGGTAACGGCGAGAATCTGGCCAGAAGACTGGCTAATCGCGGCAAAGCCCGTGGCCTCAAGACCATGGTCATGGCCATGGACGATTATCCGATCGAAGACTTGTCGAGGGAAGAGAACATTGTCTTGATCACTAGTACAGCAGGCCAGGGAGAGCTGCCACAGAATGGACGCGGGTTCTGGGAAACAGTCAAGGATGCAGGAGATCTCGACCTGAGCTCTATCAATTATTCCGTTTTTGGTCTGGGTGATAGCCATTACTGGCCTCGAAAGGAAGACAAGCTATACTACAACAAGCCTGCCAAAGATTTGGATGCCCGTCTTTCCTTCCTGGGCGGTAAGAAGCTGGCTGATGTCGGTCTAGGAGATGACCAGGATCCAGACGGTTATCAGACCGGATATCAAGAGTGGGAGCCAAAGATCTGGAAGGCTCTAGGGGTAGACAACGTTGAAGGACTGCCTGATGAGCCTGCACCCCTGACCAACGAAGATATCAAGATCCAATCCAACTATCTTCGAGGAACTATCGCCGAGGGCCTGCTTGATGAGTCTACTGGTGCTCTCGCAGAGAGTGACCTGCAATTGACCAAGTTTCACGGAACTTACATGCAAGATGACCGAGACTTGAGAGATGAGCGAAAAGCCCAGGGTCTCGAGCCGAAGTACAGCTTCATGATCCGCTGTCGTCTCGCAGGTGGTGTAGCAACCCCTTCGCAATGGCTACAGATGGACGAAATCAGTAGCGCACAGGGCAACGAGACTATGAAACTTACTACCAGACAAACATTCCAGTTCCATGGTGTTGTCAAGGGGAAACTGCGAGCAGCTATGCAGGCGATCAACCGTGCTTTGATGTCTACTATCGCCGCATGCGGAGACGTGAACAGAAACGTCATGTGCAGCAGTCTTCCTGAACTATCTACATACCACCGTGAAGTCCATGCCGTATCAAAACTCATCAGCGACCACCTTCTTCCAGCAACCACCGCATATCATGAAATCTGGCTAAAAGATGAGAACGATAAGAAGGTACAGGTTGCTGGAGACGCCGTCGTTGATCATGAGCCGCTTTATGGACCGACGTATCTTCCTCGAAAATTCAAGATTACAATTGCTATACCACCGCATAACGATACTGATGTATACGCACATGACATAGGCCTCATCGCAATTAAGGGATCAGACGGCCACCTGGAAGGATTCAACGTCCTTGTCGGTGGTGGTATGGGTGTCACTCATAACAACAAAAAGACATATCCTCGAACGGGCAGTATGCTAGGCTACGTCCCTGCCAAAGACACGCATATCGTCTGTGAGAAGATCATGCTCGTACAGCGTGATCACGGTGATAGGAAAAACCGCAAGCATGCCCGAATGAAATACACAGTCGATGACATGGGCGTCGACGTCTTCAAGGGGAAAGTCGAAGACTTGCTTCCCGAGGGTCTCCGATTCTCTGAACCCCGTCCGTTCAAGTTCGACTCTAACGTCGATACTTTCGGCTGGATCAAGGACGAAACAGGTCTTAACCACTTCACCTGCTTTATCGAGAACGGCCGCGTAGAAGACACATCCGACTTCCTAATGAGAACCGGTCTCCGAGAACTCGCCAAATTGAACAAAGGCGAATTCCGCCTCACGGGAAACCAGCACGTTATCATCTCCAATATCAAAGACGAAGATCTACCGCAGGTCAAAGCCCTGATGGCAAAATATAAGCTCGACAACACTTCCTTCAGTGGCCTTCGTCTCTCCTCTTCAGCATGCGTTGCATTCCCTACCTGCGGCCTTGCAATGGCTGAATCAGAAAGATACCTACCAATTCTCATCACGAAGATAGAATCGTATCTAGAGGAGAATGGTCTTTCGCGAGAAAGCATCGTCATGCGAATGACTGGTTGCCCCAACGGATGCGCTAGACCTTGGCTAGCGGAAGTTGCCTTTGTGGGCAAGGCGTATGGAGCCTATAATATGTATCTTGGCGGAGGATACCATGGTCAGCGATTAAACAAGCTATACCGCTCTTCTATCAAGGAAGCTGAAATTCTTGATATCATGAAGACCTTGTTGAAGAGGTATGCTCTTGAGCGCCAGACGGATGGAGAGCAGCCAGAGAGATTTGGCGATTGGTGTATTCGTGCTGGTATCATCAAGGAGACCACTGAAGGCAAATACTTCCACGAAGGGGTAAGTTGAGCCTCAACCTATTCTTCCTGACATCACATCATGCTAACTATGAATTTCGTTACTCTAGGTTGCTGAAGACGAAGAGTAGAATATAAAATGCTTTTCTTTTTGGGTATCCCTTGGCCATTTTAGACAGAGTTCCGGGTTTCTACTATTTATTCCCCTTTCCTACCATCTATGGCGTCGTTTAGGAATCTAAAAAGGAAGTCCTGGTGTGGTGGTTTCTTGTTTGTACTTTAAAAATGGTTTTCCTCTTATCATGCTAGCTACCGGCCAAGTTTCTTCGTGCTATCAAGACAGCAGTTCCAGTCATAACTATAACCTCCTGGCTAGAGGAACGGGTACCGACGCAATGAAGTTATATATAACTGTCACCACAAAGGTCTGAGTGCCCGTATCGTGTTCAACTCACTGCGGCCAGCAGTTAACAACTCACCTGGGCACAGTGGTACGGGCAGGGATAAAGGGTCTAGATGTATATTGGCACGACTGTTGGTTGTGTTGGACGGTTAAGAATAGCGGAGTGAGTGAGTTGGCAGAGCCCAGGGGTATACAATATGCATGGATGAAATAGCAAATATACATTAAAATTCAATTAACTTGCATTTGCCAAAAATGGTAAGTTGACAGCTAGATACTCGCTTCATCCATTACTACTATAATCAACCCCAGCGACACGCTGTCTAACTAGCCGTGTGAAATAAAGAGAAGAAGAACTCCAGATCGCTTATGCCCCCATCTCTAAACTCCGGAAAAAAATAGAAATTAAAGACTGTAGTCTTCCTACTCTGGTCCGGACCAGTGTCTGTCTTCCTTGTTCCAGCCTATCTTCGGCCATCCTGCAGGAAGGTTCGCGAACTTAGGTAGGAAATACTGGCCATTACAGCGTTTAGATTCGCAGGTCATATGGCATAGCCCGTACATTCTGCAGTAGCAGGAACTAGCATTGGGACAATGTATAGCCTTCTTCCCAAACATAACTATTTAATGTCATGTTAATGTAAGATTGCCAAGTTGGATGATATTTATGGTGGATAGGACTTACTATGCCATGAATATTCAAAAATCCGCCCGCTTATATGGTCACCGAGTTCAGTATCGAGTAGCCATTTCCGATAACGGATGTAATCCGATTTTGGACGCTGTTGTATTATTTCCCGACGTACAGCAAACTGCGAGCAGCACGCGACGCCCACGGTTTCTGGAACACTCTGGCCCGGGAATAGCTGTTCAAAAGATTTCTTGTAGAGGTGTTTTGACGATATGTCTTCTCCAGGGAGTCTTACAATGGCGTCAACCCATGGCCTGATTGCTGCGGGGCACCCTAAAGCCCAGTCACAGCGTAGACTGGTATAGCCTTGTTCTTTTAGGTAACCGAGACGGAATCTCTGTAGGAGATTGAGCGCGTCATAGTTGGGGTCGTCATTATGCCATTTGAACCGCTGCGCGTGATGAAAGAAGATGTTGCCGGGAAGCGAGTCGTAACGGTCAATGATGTATCTAGAGGTCCGGTTAGAGTGTACAGCAGCTTTTGAGAAAACAAGGGAACCTACGTCAAAAACACCATAGCTTCTCTCCCTTTGTTATCAGGAATACTTAACTCTGCAAAACTGTCGTCCACAACGTATATGTTCTTCTTCCAGCTTGGGAGGTACTCGTTTAGCCAAGTGACGTTGTCTTGCTGCTTGCTGGCTATGACCATTTCAACGGTGTTGTCATCCTTTCTAGCCGCTCGAAGGACGTATGGTTTGGTAGGTTTAGCCTTGTAGTTGCCATGATGAGATCGATGCCCATATCTGGAATACGGCAACGGGGTTTTTAGTGGTATGACCGGATCAAAGTTGTTGGACGATAAGCAGACAACAGTTGCTAGAAACACAGCAATAAGCAGATGAAAGCGTCTTCGAGCCCATCGCTTCGCCATGAAGCTACTGAATGCCATTTGAGCAGTGTGAATGGGAAGCATTGCGACACAGTAGTTAATCAGATGATCAGAATGCCATCTACTGTGACAAGGGTTATCTCATTGAAATAACATTATCAGGTATAGGACAGGAGGGAAATTACAGCATCACGCCTGCCTTAAGAAGCATTTACGGACTGGAAGATCAGCCTTTCTTGCCAGTGCTGATCTGGAGCATGGAGTAATAATGCGGGAGACATGATCTCCCACCATGTTCCATGGTTCCCTTGACAACAAGTGTAAAATTTTCAGGTAACATTGCCCCCTCTTTGCCCCCTCTGACAGCTCTGCATTCTGTGCTCCATCGGGTTGTGGTCGGGAACACTATGTATTTCCAAGCGAACTGGCATCTGGCATCTGGTATCCAACATCTCGAGCAAGGACGAGGTGGAGGAAGAGCAAAAATAGACTTCGTGGCACCTTTAGCGCGGGCTTTTCCTCTTTGGTCAAACAAGCGGCTATTTTAGGCTTTGCGCTTATCATAGCTGAAGCTTTTTCATAGCTCGCGTTTAATGTTCAATACAAATAGCATTTATAGAGTGATAAAGCATATATTCATTTACCGAGGTGATGAGCAGCCGGAGATGCAAATCATTCAATATTGTTGCCTATATAGCTGCTTTGCAGGATCAGGTTGATCTGACAATCAAGGAAAAGCCGTCGCCGAGACCCACGCTTAGGCCTGGGAAGCCTCATATCCGTCTCCATTCCCCCACGCTACTCCAGCTTGGGTCCTCACAGGCTGTAGCCACGGCCGCAGTGAGGCCCATGCTGCAGGTGGCTGTGCCAATGCTGGAAATCGAGGCCCGGTTAGCAACTATTGCATCATCCCATGACCACGTTGTAATAAATTAATATAATTAAAAAAAGAGTTATTCGGTGCCTTCACTGCATGTGGCTTTGAATATTAGCCATTGGGATGGAGTATATCAGCTTATTGACAATTTATCCAGCTTCCACGTGCCATTAGATCAGCTGCATGCAATTGACAAATAGGATGAACATCGAAAAACATTAACATTGGTGCTTGACCCTCTATATACTCGTAAAAGGGTGGTAATACAGGGTGAAGAATATGTAAGGGGGTATTGAATACGAAAATCCCAGCCATTAATATATGTACAGTATGAAAGTGAGAAGTTTAATCCTCGTCCATCTTGGTGAATTCTCCAAGTAGGATGTCGTCCGGAGCTGGGCCACGGGTATTCCGCACTGAATGTCAAGTTAGTAACCTGCCCGAGGAAAGTTGGAACAAAATACTCACCCCACTCAGTCTCGACTCTAAGAAAAATCCATAACCATCGCCTGGTAACTTCTAGAAACATAAGGGCAAATACTCCGCTCTCCAGGTCGTTAACCCAGTTTAATCGCGTGGTCAATCGGCTGAGCCAGGTAAATCGTAGGACGAGGTCGATCACAATGGCAGAGTAGTAGATGAAGTTGGCATGGAAGAAACGGTTTGTACGAAGTCCAAAGGGGTGTGGGTTTTCGTCCCTTAGAGTGGAGGAAGGGCGGAACTGGCTGACGATATCGGAGAAAAGACAAAGATCCCAATCCTTTTCGATATCCCAGTAAAAGGTGTATGAAGAGTTAATTATGGCAGCCAGTATCCTGCTTGAAGTTAGAATCTGGACTAAGAAAAGAATATACTAGAAACAAGCATACCATAATTTATGTAATGTCTCTTCGCTCACTCCTATGGTAGAAGCATCGTAATTGCGTTGTAGCATGGTCAGAGCAATCACAGGTAATGCTGTAGTATATTTAGCAGCGTTGGCCAGATGCTGACCGCCCCAACCATCAGTACGACGGTTCCCACGTCTATATACTCGGAAGAATTCGATCAGGCACTGCCGTAGTCGGATGATGCTGGGAACAGCAATGAGGAGAGGCACCATTACATGGCCACCACAAGCTCTATCAGGTATGCTGGTGCTAGACACATCCTTTGAGAAGAACATGCATGAGCTCACAAACAGGTCTCCAATCACTTTAGAGTAGCTGGTGAGCACGTCAGCAAGTATGATGTCGCCGAATTTGCCATCTTGGGATTCAGCGAGTCCTCCTAAGCTGATACGTTTAAGTGTGGTCAAGAATCGGTGTCTTCCTCCACGTGAGAGACGGTGTAGTGGAAAAGCAAGTAGCACGACAAAGAGAAATAGGTATGATTGCGGCAGAGCCTCCCAAGCAATGACTCGTGCAGGGTCACCATGCGTAATGAACCAGAAGGCAAGAAGAGAGATGGCTAGTGGGATGGAAAGGAGTGTCGCGAGGTGGTATGTCGACCGGTGGATAGTGACGGTGCCGGCGGTATTAGGTCGGGATGGATATCGTATTAATGCTGGGACATCCTAGAAAGAATTAGTCCAGGGGCTTTTTGTTTGGACAAGCACTGAACTGATGGCATCGAACACATACAATTTTAACAGCAGTGAGGTATTGGACATTCAATCCCCACCCCCATACGCCTAGACGGAGGTTAGACAGCTAGTTCACTGGGGTGTCTCAGCCGTTAGTGCAACGTACCAGCAACTAATATAACAGCAACACGATAAGGCAGAGGCAAGACAAGACTGAACCCGTCCAGCTTGGGGGACTCAAGAGTACCAGACTCCATATTCCATCGAAATCCTCTGGCTGGGCCAAAACGAAACAAAACGAGTGAAAGAACAAAAGCGCCAGGACAAGAAGCAAAAAGACGTAGAACTAGCAAGTTTTCTTCGTCCTTTTGTTGACGTCTTCATCTTTTCTCCAGCTTTTGACACTTTTTAATTTTTTGAGCCGCAAAATCGTGATCACGTGAAAGCTTATCACGGGCCGAGGTAAGTTTTGACATCAGAAAAGAAACGACGGAAAGAAGTCGAGAAGAAGACGAGAAGAAAGCAGGAGATATCAGGGCAGAAAAGACGGCTAAGATACCAATAATCAAAGACGAGATGTCTTCAGACAGCCTATTCGACTCATCCATGGGGGACGCAGCACTCAGCAAGACGCCCAAACCATCCTACTTCTTTCCCTGGGCGACATCCCCAGATATCATCCGCTCGCACGAGAAAGACAGCTACATCACCAGCACACTATCGACACAAGCCCAGTCCATCATCCGCACCCTCCGAGGCCAACGATACGCCCATACACATTCCGACGCCATCAAGAATGCCATTGAAGTGCTCTATCTCTCCCTCACAACGCTGCTGGGCAATAGAACCCTAGGCGAAGAATATTGCGATGTGGTACAGCTTGAAGACGATACGTTACAGCTCCCAAGCCTAAGTCGAAGGGCGGGGTATATCGTTAGTTCGATACTGGTTCCCTCGATACTACAGCGCCTACTACCTTCCTTGCGGCGGAAGTTACGTGCGAAACTTGAACGAAGCATTGCGCGGAAGCAGGCTAGGCTTGAGTTGGAAAAGGGGGATAAGAAGAAGAGAAAAGAAGCTGGATTCTCGCTGCGGGCTCAGCGGTATATTCTTGAGCATTTGAACTCGATTACGTCTCTTTCGCCCTTTTTTGCGGTCAATTTGGCTGCGTTTTACTTCTCGGGGGCATACTATCACCTATCGAAGCGGGTATGGGGGTTACGATACGTGTTTACCAAACGCATCGGTGATAGCGAGGAGAGGATCGGGTATGAGGTTTTGGGAGTACTGCTTGTATTGCAGATTGTTGTGCAGGGGATTGTGCATGCGAAGGAAGTTATTGAGTCAATTCAGTTGGAGGAGTTGGAGTCGGCAAAGGTATCGTCTTCAGTGGACTCGGCAGCCAGGGGAGCAGGAACACCTGGATTAAAGAGCATTAGTATGCCGGATGGTGTGGCGTTGTTAGCACCTGATGAAGCGAGGTATGATATGTCAGTTGAAGGAGATGCATTGGCCATGTCATGGATACCCGCCGGGCCGCAGCGGAAGTGTACGCTTTGTCTTGACCCGTTCAAGGATCCGAGTGTATCCACGTGTGGACATGTCTTTTGCTGGACGTGCATACGGGACTGGGTGCAGGAGAAGCCGGAGTGTCCCTTATGCCGACAGGAAGCGCTTGCGTCGAAGATATTGCCTCTACGAGGGTGACTGTAATGACTTTAAAGCCTCTATATATATATAACTAGTAGATATACCCTTTGTATTAATATACCCTAATCGTTTGATTCCATTAAAAGGTGTCTCTAAAATGCGTAGCTTATCTGGTCATTATCATAACAGCGTGATACATTCAAGTGTGACCCCGAGATTAACCAATCCCGCTTCTTCCTTCCAGGGGGTATCAAGAGGTCCAAAGTCCGAAATAACGAAACAACGAGAGAAAGAGAAACCGGAATCCTATCTGTTGCAAAAACAGTACAACAAGAAAGTAGATACCGAGAGATCAATTATGAGAAGTTGCGGGCCGTCCTTCAGGCTTCTTGCCAGCGCTGAATTCATGGTCTGTTTCCAACCACCGCTTGTATGTACCCTTGGGGTTCTTCAGTCTACTCATAAACCCTTTCGGCTTAGTCGGACTGTCTTTCGTGTTCATGTGGCTCTCCCTTTCGTCGAGATCCTCTTCATCCGAACTTGATAGGGATGAAAGGGAGAGGGAGGAGGAACTCTTCTGCAGGTACATTATCCTATTTTCTGACTTGTTCTTCATCTCACGCTGCTTGCCCTTGAGTTCGGCCATGCGTGTGGCATCGCCCTGGGAATCGAGGGTGGATATCTTTAGGCCAGGCAGGTTGGGAGTTAAGAACTCTTTTAGGAGAGGCAGGAGTCTGCCATTGGGTCTGTAAGTGCCGCTGTCGTTATCGATGATGAGTTCGTAGTGCGCGGGGTCAGTAGATGGCTCATGTTCAGCATCCGACTCCTCTCCGCTATTTACTTCGGCAGAAGCAGAACGGCGGTGTTGATGGCGGCGATGATGATGGTGGTGGGCAGACTTGTCGTCTGAGATCTGGCGAACAAAGAATTCACCGGAGTAAGCAATGTAGATTGATACATCGCTGTGCATGGTATGTTTACTGAGCAGGTCGATGCCAAACTCCTTGCCTGTCTCTGTGAAGCGCCACTGGCCGTCTAGAGTAATGACGTACGTGAAGATGCGTCCGCCCTGGCCATACTGGACAAAGTCAAGGAAGAGTTTTGTCAGGTCGATGGATGGCTGGGGGAAGACACCGTAGATGGTGTTGTGGTCGTATGTGTAGATGCGTTCATGTTGGTGGTGCAAAGCATGGTTAAGCAAACGGCCTCTGATGCTCTTTGCCGTGAACATTCCAGCTACAAAGGGACGGAACTCGACGTAGCGATGATACAATGGCGTCGGCACGGGGCCCGACAGCTGTATCTGCACTGCTTGGAAGCTATTGCCGTCAGTATCATGTACTAAATCGTGCATATTCAGATATACATTCCAATGAATGGAAAGAGTCTACTCACTTGTATCGTTCAACAGCGGGCTTGCCATCCTTGCTCTTGACCTTGTCCTTTATACCTACCAACCTGCCGATCAGCGGGGAGAAATGCTTGGTCCAGTAGTTTGGGCCAACAGTGTACAAATGAGCTCCCTCCTGGCCTGGTGTTCTACCCAGACACTCAACACTCACGTAGAGCAGTCCTTCATTATCAACATTCTTGGAGAATGTCGAGGCAATGGTTCGAAGGAGGTAAGCTCTCTGGCTGCCCATGCGCTTTCTGACCTTGAAACCCTGCTCCTTGATGCCTGGCCATGACTCTGAAATAGTATCTCTGACTTCAACGTAGGCACTTCCCAGCCGGTCGTCATTATCCGCGATATCCTCATCGTAGATGCGACATTTCAATTCAAACCCGGACGAAGGGACATTGGCAACTATCCATTCGCAGTTCCACTCGGGATTGATGGTGCGTTTCACCGTGGGAGTACGAAAGCAGAAAATGGGATCCTGCTTTGGATGGCGCGTGGGCAGGCCGGTCTCGAGGATGGCGGTGACATAAGGGTCGGAAGCCATGGTGCTGAGGTCGCCTATGGGCAGATTCACTGCGCGGTGGAAGGTGAACTTGAGCGTCCAGCCAGGCGGCGCGGAGGGCATGGGAGTGACATCGTAGCCTCCTGCTGGCCCCTTGTGACTTGGCGAGGGTAGATGAGACTCTGAAGCTGATCTCTGCCGTGGATTTGCGTCCGCATCAGCGTTGGTGTTCCCGTTTGTCTGCTCGTTGCCTGTGGCTGCCATGGTGGTGTATATCTAGTATAACCGCCACAGCAACGTATCAGGTAGTTAGTTATGCCTATCAAAAGAGTAACTATGAGTAAGCGATGAAAATAAATAGATCTGTGAGATGAGAAGAGGAGAGGATAAGGAAGTGAGAGAAAAGGAAGCTAAAGGAGGGGATATATAGCACCATCGGTATCAGTAGCGACCTCAGGCCAAGCAACGGGCAACGAGGCCCTTCAGCCCCCCGAAAATGCTTGTCCAAGAATGCTTGTTCACTTGTGCCAGTCAGGATTCGCACCGCAAAAGCGCAGTGGAGCATGTCCGGGTCTCCCTGGCCCGTCACTAGCCACAGTTCTCGCTTGCCCGGCGTCGCTCATTCGAGTATACGTGCTAGATGCATGGTGCGGTGGATGCACAGTGGGCTAGAGGGGGTGTAGGGCTGGTGGCTGGGAGGTTCGTCCCCTTTGATCCCCATGACCCTGGTTCGCTTCAGCTCCGATGGCCGCGAATTGATGAGCAAGTTGCCTAGTTAGTGCACGCATGCAGATGCAGAGCGAGCAGAAATCCGGAAGACGGTGCCGGCGGTTTCTGTGGTGACAACTGGCGAGTTACAGACTGATGGGGCTGAAGGGTTTTCTGGCGGGGTTCATCTAGTTAGTGAACCAGTTGACTAGTAAGTTGGAGAGATGACCTACTGTTGGGTGGCTCAGCAGAGTAACTAGTGTAATAGCCATACGTACTTATCTACTGTAGTGTAGCACAGAGTTATGTGTATGGCAGCGTGATGATGACGATGTTGAAGTTGAGGCTGAGGTTAGGAAGTGTTAAGAGCACAGGCCACCTTGTGTTATTCTCCTTTAGCTGCTCCGACTTGGCTACGCTCAGGGGATGGAAGATGGACATAGCGAGGAATTTAAGACCCGACTATAGAAGACCTAGGGACTGTAGTTATACCGTCTAGTCGTCTATCTAGTTATATATCTGATCACCCTTCGCCATGGCATCTTTAACAGATAGAGACGGCGTCTACCGCCGCTTGATCGACGGCAGGCTTGCCCATCCTCACTAGGCCGCTTTGTCTTCCTCAGGGGCTCAGCAAGTCAAGTTCAAATAGCTCAAGTCATAGTAAATTCATCTTCCGACGTTTGCCACTTTAGCACCCAAGGTTGCCTGGACAAGGTTGTGCCTGACGGCAAAGTAAAGCTTGTATTGTACCTGAGCCAAACACACAAACATATCAACATTCAAATCTACACGTACAGAGTTATTCAGCATTAGTTGGGGTAAAAATCAGTCGTAAGTAGGTTAGTTTCCACGGAAAAGGAACTGCATGTCCTCGGGGGTCAGTTTCTCTAGCGCCTCGCTTTGGTCTTTGTTGATAGTGCCGTTGATCATGTTGGCTTTCTTCTCTTGCAGCAGCACCATGCGGGATTCGACGGAGTCTTCGATGCACAGACGGGTGATCACGCAGGGGCGTCGCTGGCCGATTCGATGGCATCGATCCGCGGATTGCCATTCTGCAGCTGGGTTCCACCATCTACATCCGTTAGTTAGTACATAGCAAGGTATAAGTTAAGGTAAGGGGAGGAGAAAACGTACGGATCGACGATGAATACCCGTGAAGCTTCGGTAAGGTTAAGGGCCACACCACCGGCCTTGAGAGAGACTAGGAATACCTCTGTATCGACGTTGTTCATGAAGTAGTCGATGGAACGCTGCCGTTGGACAGGGGACATGCTGCCGTCTAGCATAACGGTGCTAATACCTGCTCGGTGCAGGCGCCATTCGACCAGCTGCAGCATGGAAGTAAACTGGGAGAAGACGATGGACTTGTTTGTGCGTTTCTTGCTTCGTAGCTTGTACAGGTCATATACCAGCATCTCGATCTTTGTTGAAGAAGTCCAGTTCTCCATCTTGATGCGGTTGATGATCGAATTCTTCTTCACGCCTCCTTCGTCCTGCTCGATGTCGGGCTGTTCAAAGTCGATGGAGAGCGGTAAGTGGCAGCGTGGACAGTCTGGTTCGGACCCGTACTGTACTGAGGCCATGTACTCCTTTGCGCACTGGCGGCAGAACTCATGCTTGCATCGAGACCGGATAGGTTCCTCGGCGGGTTCGTCGCAGATGCAGCAGACTAGCACGTTCTGGCCGCCTTCTGCGTGTTTCTTGAGGATGAGATCCGGGTGATTGGCTACTTGACGCATTTGCATGATCAGACCGAAGATGTTGGCGTAGTTGTTAAGCATCACTCCGCGGCTGACGTAGCGGTCGAACTCTCGGGTAGTGTTGGTCATGATGCTGCGGGAGAAGTCTTGCTCTATTTCTCCAAAAAATTCGCGATGTATTTCGATTCTATGGAAGGTTAATTTTGCTCCTATACTCATCTATATGAGAAAAGGGTATGTAAACTCACCTCTTTGGTGGAAGCTCCATGGACGAGGTATGGTCTCTCTTCACTCGTCGAAGCATAATCCTGTCAGTGAGAAGGCGTAGCTTCTTGAGAGCGTCCTTGCGTTTTACACTGTCACTTCGATGCTCCGTAACTACTCCTTGTTAGCCTGGAATATACAATATAAAAACGCATAGCATAACCTACTCGGATTGAGAATCTCCTGGTTAAAGACAGATACATGGTTGAATCCACTGATAGTCAAGACATGTTAGTAGCTTTCGACTTAAGTTTGTTTGGCTGGGTAGTGACATACCTGTGATTGCAGAGGGTGCACTTCTTCTGTGCATCCTGTGTCCAGTGCAGAGCCTCGCATTTGCATGACTTGCAGAAATAGCATGCAAACGGCTTGATGTCCAAGAATCGCAGGAGAGAGAAGAACTCGCCGATTCGGTTCTGCACGGGTGTTCCGGACAGACACCATTTGTAAGTTGCCTTTAGAGCGAAACAGGCCTTGGCCACGCTGGTTGTACGTTGCTTGATGTTATGGGCTTCGTCAAGGATCAGTCGGTGGAAGTCAATGGAGTGAAGCATGCTGGTGCCTTTGACCAGTCCACCGTCGCGTTTCCAGCCTTTGGTTTCCTTGCGGTACATTGATTCTAGACCGGAATCTATAGGACGTTAGGGATGCCTGTGCTGAAGGTTGACAGACAGCGGGGAGAATATGCATACATGATACCATGATGACGTCGTAGGCCTTGAGATCTTTGGCTTTGATATCCTTGACCTTGGAGTTGGCGTTATGGTAGACAAACACTTTCAGCTTGCCATCGGTATAAGACTGTATCGTGTCAGCTAAATCTTGCTTGGCAAGTAAATGTTTAGGGAGGGGAACTCTACATACGCCTATTTCAGCCTGCCATTGCATCAAGGCAACAGGAGGAACGACTACCAACGATGGCTTTCCAATTGGGTAATCCGACATCAGGAGGGAAACGGCCTGGATAGTCTTGCCCATGCCCATCTCGTCTCCAAGCAGGCCTCCCTTCCATTCAGACTGTTCCTGGGCTCGCATCCAGCTGAGTCCCTCGAGCTGGAAGGGCTTGAGCTTTCTATTGATACCTTCAGGCTGAGCAGCAGGGGGAGGTGAGAGGATGGGTTTCTGCTCTAGTTTCTCCCACATATCCACGATGTTAGGATGTTGGGTCTCAAGCTTCTTGCGTTCTCGTTGGGCCTGGAGAAAGTTAGTAGGCAATATAATTTCAATGTAGGGACATAAAAAGGCATGATGACTTACCCGTGTCATTAGTGGCTTTGCTACTTTCGTCGTCGAGCGACCCCCCGTCGCGAATCTAGTCAGGTTTCTCGAGAAATTCTCCTCTGAATCTAAATCCGAGTCGTATAGGTCTGAGTCCATCTCTGACAGGTCCGGGTCGCTCGAGTCCATAGAATCAGACATCCCGGCCACGCTATTCATCTCAGGGTCCGAAACCGAAGCCAAGTTCTGTGCCTTGGATGATGCTTTCTTGGGAGTATTTTTGGTAGCATGCTCGTTTGAACTGAACCACTCCTCCGAATCTGAATCTGAATCCGCCTCTGACTCTGGCTCGGACTCTGAATCAGATATCACGTACTTAGCCTTTGAGCGGCCATGGTTCGTCTTCTGCTTCTTAGCCGTAGGTCTAGGCATGGCATTGTACTCTTCAGCCTGCAGGGCCGCAGCCAGCTTCTCGTCATCAACCGTATTAGGTCTTTTGGCGGCTGCATTGGCTGTTCTCTTCCTGCCGTTCAAGCCAAGAGAGCTGTTTCTCAACTCCAGTGCTCGAGCAGCGGCATTGACCCTGCCGGATCGCCGGGTACTCGACTCAGGCTCGTTGTTCGGCGTTGCAGTGGCCGTTGTAGCGGGCGTGCTGTCCCCGACTGGACTCTCGCCGGCCCGAGATGATGAAGTCGAACCTGAAACTGAGGCTGAAAAACTGCCCTTTTTCACTGGAATGGCGACCATGACTGCGACCTGCTTCTGCTTCTGCTGCTTCTCGTCTGTCCCAGGCTGACCTTGGGCCTGAGACGCTGAAGAGGCCACTCGAGAGCTGCGGCGAGTTGCTGCCTGGCGAAGGGGGGTGTCTGGCAGAGATTTAGCTGGTAGCCAACCATCGAGCAGCAAAGTACCTACTTTTGCCATCCTTCGCCATTTCCACTATGCAGAGACTTCAAGTCTTTCTTCTTGTTCTCTTTTACTCTTGTGTATTCTCTCTTCTATCCTTGTCTTTCTTCTTTTTCTTCTGTTTCTGCTTCTCTTTCTTCTGTTTCTGCTTCTTCTTCTCTTCTTCTCTTCATCTTGTAGTATACGAAGTAAAAAGCGTACCTGAAACAACGCGTAAGAAGGAAAACGCGGCACGTGGTCACGTGAAGATAGAAACCACTTAAAGAGAAGAAGAAGACAAGAGACATTCAAAGGACATTCAAAGCACAGCCAGAGGGTATCAAAAGCACCAGAAGGAGTGCAGCTGGACAAGTGCAGAGAAGTGGCTGAGCAGACAGCAGAGAAGATGTAAGTGGCCGTCTTAGTTACTGGCAGCGATGAACATGCAAACTGCTGCTTTTTACATGCACAAGACTGACTATCGAGCGTTTGGCAGGTCAAACCCAAGAAGACGCATCCAGGGACCGTGAGTTGAGATACCAAAGAAGAGAAGAAGATGATAGAAGATAAAGAGATAAAGAAAAGAGGCTAATAGTATCTAGACGGTCTGCATTGACTGATTTCCTGGCTGTAAGTCTTTCTATGCATCTACTATATCTACGCGGAGAAGCTCTATACTAACAGCAGCAGGCACACAATATCTCTGCAGCTGATATCCGGCAGACAGCCAGCCAGAGAGCCAGCCAGGCCCAGCGGCATAACGAAGCTATCCAAGCTGAAGAAGCCAGACAGGCTGAGCTAGAAGTAGCTGAGGCAGAGGCAGAGGCAGAGGTAGAGGCAGAGGTAGAAGCCGAGATAGAAGCTGAGGCACAGCTGGCCAACGCGAGAAAACGCAAACGGCTCACGGCAGCAGCAGCAGCGAAGGCCAAAGCCAAAGAGAAAGCCAAGGCAAGACGCCAGGGAGCCGATGTCTCTGATGATGATGAAGACTACGAGGAGGCATTCAGTAAGGCTCGTGTGCCTGTTGCGGGCCAGTTGGCGAACTGCGAGCTATGCAATAAGCGCTTCACAGTGACTGCGTACAGCAAGACGGGGCCTGATGGAGGACTGCTGTGTACCCCCTGCGGCAAGCAGATGGCAGCAGACGAGAAGAAGGCTAAGCCGAAGCCGAAGAGACAGGGGACGAGAGCGAAGAGGCAGAAGTACAGTAACCTGCTGGACGGCATTGCACAGCAGGGGGCGTTTAGCTTGATGGAGATGTGTATCAAGGTGGGTACTCACTACTATACTTATGATTCCTTACTTCCCTTGGTCCAGAGGGGTATCTAGATCTTTAAGACTGATAAGGAGCTATAGCAAGTGGCGAACAATATCAACGATGTGGAGGAGTTTGGGGACTTGCCTGGGGATCTGCTGCTGCGGCTCAGCCAGATACTGAGCAAACGACGGGCGATGAACCGGCGGACTCTGGGACTGTTCCTACGCAGCGACATCAACACCATTGACATCTACGATGCAGCTCGTAAGTAATATTCGATCTAGGTTTGTGAGTATGTATGTAACTAACGTGAGCAGAACTGGAGGAAGAGGACTTTCAGCGGGTGTTCGCGGTGATGCCGTTCCTGGAGCGAGCCAACCTGCGATGTGCCGGGCAGCTCAAGGACGGCGTGCTGGAGTACGTGATGGGCCGGGAGAGCCGCCTCAAGCATCTGACGCTGGACGCATGCAACCTGGTGTCCGAGGGCTGCTGGCGACGGTTCTTCCAGACCTGCGGCTCGAAACTGGAGACGGTCCAGCTGTCGAACCTCGACTGCGCGTTCGACGACGAGACGGTGGCAGTGATGGTCGCGAGCTGTCCCAACCTGCGCCGGCTGAAGCTGACGGACTGCTGGAAGATCACCTACGGCTGTCTGGGAGCCATTGCCAGCCTGGACAAGCTGGAGCACCTCTCGCTGGACATGGGACACCGACACCAGGACAGCGGCAGCGGCAGTGGAAGTGGTGAGACAGCGGAACAAGACCTGGAGAGCGTGAATGCACTGCTGAGAGCGAGATGCAGCGGCCTCCGCACCCTCTCGCTGCAACACTGCAAGCCGCTGGACAACTCGAGCCTGGCGATAGTGCACGACCACGCCCGCCATCTGACCAAGCTGCGCCTGTCGCATAACGAGAACTGCACCGACGCTGCACTGGCATCGCTCTTCACTGCCTGGCCGAACCCGCCACTGACCTTCATCGACCTGTCCAGCGTGCGCACCTTCACTCCTACCGCCGTGGACGCAGACGACGACGACGCCGTCGACCATCCCGGCCTGGGCAGCGAGGGCTTCCGGGCCCTGATGGCGCACTCTGGCGAGAGACTCGAGCGACTGGACATCTCGTCCTGCCGGCAGGTGAAGTACCAGGCCTTCGAGGATGTCTTTGGCCAGGAGACTAAAGACAAGCAGAAGAAAGAGAAGACGTATCCTTGTCTGCGCGAGGTCGACCTGTCCTTCCACACGCGCGTTGACGACGTGGCTATGCGCCGGCTGTTCATGGCCTGTCCGGCCCTGCGCAAGGTCACTGCCTTTGCATGCTTCAATGTCGTTGATGTCCAGCCGCCGCCCGACGTCGCCCTCATCGGAGGCCTGAATGCCCATACCATGTAATCAACCCCGTACTCCGTAACTCCTTGCCTCTGCCTGTCCTTGTTGACTTCTGCATGTACTTTAAGCTGTATGTATGTAGAGATACTTTGCCTGACACCGTGACATCCTCGCTGATCCATGGCCCCTCGAAACTCTGCCGGGAACCTTGCTGCTCCCTTGCTGCTCTTCTTCTTCATCTCGTTTCGTCTCGTCGTCTCCTTCATCTCCTCCTTCTCTTCATCTCTCACTGGAGACACGTAGGTAGGCAGGCAGCATCACCGTCCAGCATCACTCGACCCTCAACCTCAACCCGTCACACAGCCAGCCAGACTATCACCGACCACCGACGATCTCAGTTCGTCCGTCTGCGTCTGCCTTCTGGTCCGTCTTCTGCGTCTTCTGCTGCGTCCCTCGTCTCTCGACTTTCTCAATGCTATTGTCTCGCGCTGAAAAAGCAAACATGGACACGCAGTATCCATCCCAATGCCCATCCACAGCCCATCCCCAGCAAGCTTCCTGGCTAGTTAGCTCGGCCTCTTCTCTTTTTTTGCGCTTTCTTTTCTTCTTCTGCTTCTTTTTTTTTTCCTTCATGCAACTCGTCGCTGATTTGATAGGCCCTGAGCTGTCCTTGACCTGGCATGGGAGATGCCTTTGGGTTCCTGGATGAAGCAGAAGCAGAGGCAGAGGCAGAGTCGAAGTTGGCATCTCGGAAGTTGACAGACGGACAGTGAGTACGAGTAGTGACAGCAGTGACAGTGACAGCCTGTATAGAGGACAGCAGCAGTAGACATAGATATAGACAGTAGACCTGGTATACAGAGATACAGATGGTCAGTTAGATAGAGAAGAAGAAGCTGAAACGAAGACTTACCTAGTAGTGACTCTCTACTCCTACTCTTAGAAGCCTTTGCCACCGAAGAATCTATCTTCATCTTATTCTCTTCTTCTTCTTCTTCTCTTCTTATTATCTTCTTCTCATCTGCTCGTCTTCTCGTCTATCCTCGTCGTCGCTGTCATCGGTCGTGTTTTGTATAGACGGAGAAGAAGAAAACTTCCCTGCTTGACTCTGACTTTTCGGCCCCTTTCGCTTCTTCTTCTTCTTCTGCTTCTTTTCTTCTTCTTCATCTTCAACTTCGACTTCTCTTATTTATTCTTAATCTCAGCATTGGTTATTCTTCTTCTCGTTGTTCTTCTTGTTCTTCTTCTCGCTGCGTCTTCTTATCCTTATTTATTATTATTATTATCTCTTCTTTCTTTTCTTCTTCTTCTTCTTCTGCTTCATCTCTGACTGTCATGCCGGCTGAGACATCTTTCTAGCAGGTTGGTAGAGCATCCGCCTCTTCTTACTCTCTTCTTCATCTTTATTATCTTCTGCTCTTCTCTTCATCTTCTTCTGCTTCACCTTCTGCTCTTCTCTCCATCTTCTCCTGTCTTTGTCTGTGGTGGCTCAGCCTGCATGCTGGTGCAGTGTCATGTCTCAGGTGAAGACAGACAGCATCACCACCACCACCAGATAACAGACACTCAGAAAGAAGAGAAGAAAAGACAGAAGAGAGGAGAAAATAGAGTAAAGACAGTGAATTGACTGCTGACTCTCCATAGTCCTCCCTCCTGCTGCCTACGACCGCCTGAAGATACCGAGAGAGCCTGAGATACAGAGCGAGCCCGAGCCTGAGCCAGACACGGGCAGGAGACAAGCGAGGACACCAGACAACACACACCAGGCAGCATCATGCCCATCAAGATCCCTGGCTTCGGCCGCCGCAAGTCGGGCAACGAGCTGGAAGAGACACCAGCGCCGGCAGAGCCCTCGTTCCGCGTCTTCGAGCGGCCGTCCCATCGCGCCAGTCACTCGTTTGACTCTGTCACCGCGCTCAAGAAGCCCGCAGCCGCCGCTGAGGACCCGGACCCGGACAACATCTTCGCCGGCATCCAGAAGCCTGCCCCGGCCAGCAGCAGCACTCCTCACGTCCCCAGCACCAGAAACGGCAAGCTGACTGGCTCCAACGGCAGCTCCAGCAAGCCATACGATAGTTCCAGCGCCTCGTCCGCCAGATACAGCTCCTCGTCCACCCTGCCCTCCTCGACAGACCACTCGCCCCACGATGCCATCCCGGTGCCGCCCATCCCAGAGTCGCCCTTTGCCTTCTCCATTCGCGCCTCGGGCAGGACGTTCTCCTTTGGCTCCAAGGCCTCCAAGACCTCCAAGACTTCCACTCCCAGAAAGTCTGAGAGTGCCACCAGAGAACGGGCCTTGACGGCCAGCACCACCAGCACGGCCACGCCGCCTAAGCTCATGGAGACTGACCTCTCCCTCGAGGGTTCCGGCGAGATGGGCAATATCTTCGAGGGTGTCGGTGTCGACAAACGCCGTAGCAGAGTCCTCGACGAGATACCGACCAATATACCCCAGGTTAGTTAGACATCATTTCTTTTCTTTACCTCTTTTTCCTCCCTTTTTCTTCCTCCCCCATAATGGGTCACATATACTTCTAACACTTGTCTTAATTTTACTTTCTACTTGATAGCCGGGAAGACCTGCTCCCAGTGTGCCGGCAAAGGATAAAAGGGTGCCTCCCTCGCCCCTATCTCCGCTGTCTTCAAACCACAGCCAGAACTCTCGGGACAGCCTCATTGCGGCTGACGACTTCGCCATCTCCCAACAGCTCGCCAACCAATTACACGACGTCGACCTGGCTGAGAAAAGCCCTACACTCAGACCTGCGGCCGCCTCGAGCATGCCCAATTCTCGCTCTACGCCCAACATCTACTCCTCCGACCGGGACAGGTTTCGGGATCGTGACCCTGAATCCTCATCTCTCTTCTCCAGTGACAGGGACTTCACCGCCGTACCCCGTCAACAGTATAGATCCCCTCCTTCTTCCCTCCGCAAAAACATCATGCCTCCCAGTGCATCCATGGCCTCTTCCCTAGCCTCGCTCAAGACCGGCAACAAGGTCATGACCCCCGCCCAGTTTGAACGATATCAGCAGCAACAGGTCCAGAGAGCCGCCAGTGAACCCAGCTCCGACGAGGAAGACCAGGTCGAAAGTGAAGATGACGAGGACGAGACCGAGAAGCGGAAACAGGCAGCCGCTCAGAGACAGAAGCAGGAAGCCCACCTGTCCGTCTACCGCCAGCAGATGATGAAGATCACCGGCGAACAGAAGAAAGCTTCCACCAATGGGCCCGCCGGAAGCGCTGAATCTATCGCCGGTAACCCGAACCGCAGGTCGGTGCTCGACCCCATGGAGGCCGCCAATAACAACAGTAATCTTAATATCACAAACACCGCATCCAGCTCCCCCGGCTTATCCCCAGGCCTCTCTCCGGGAGTCGGCCCCTTGAAAGCTACCCCGTCGGACGGTGAGGAGGACGACGATGTGCCCCTTGGTATCCTCGCTGCCCATGGCTTCCCACACCGCAACCGCCCGCCGTCTCACCTCGCTGCCTCCCACTCCAACCCGAACCTGAATGCATCGTTCCAGGCTGGTGCTGCTTCCATTGCAGGCATGCAGCAGCAGCCGCCGCTGGAGGGCCCGTCAAAACGAAGCACATTGCCTGTCTTTGCTCGAAACCTGCCCAAGGATCCTTACTTTGGCTCCAGCCTCGTCAACCCGTCCCATCGTGAGTCCCTTGCTCTCGCCGGCGGTGCTCCAGGCGTGAACCTCAACACCGTCAATCTTGGTCCTCCCGGTCTCCCGGCAGGCGGCCTGGTCGGTGTTATTGCCAATGAGGAACGAGCTCGTGCAATGCGTCGTGGCAGCCCCAATGCCCAAGGTGTCTTTGATATGACTCCTCCTCCAAACGTCCATACCAACTTCCTCTCTGCACAGCCCCAGATGCAGATGGGCGGTCTTCTCGGACAGCTCCAGCAGCACCAGCAAGCTCAAGCTAACATGGTCAGCGGTATGAACGCCAATGGCTTGATTGGCGGTGCTGGAGCCATCAATCCACATCACCACCACCATCCGTACCCGCAGGGAGGCAGCACCGGCGGCCCAGCAGACCACTCTCAGATGCAGGTTTCTCAGCAAATGACAAATATGATGCAGATGCAGATGCAATGGATGCAACAGATGATGCAGATGCAAGGTGCCCAGCAGCCAGGCCAACAGCCAAATTTCAACATGAACGGAAGCTCCTCCTCTCTCCTCCAGCCGCCCAACCCCAACCAGCGGCCCTTCTCCATGGTCTCCAACCCATCTCAGTTCCGCGGACCACCACAGGTTGACCACCGAACGCTCAGCATGCTCGATCCATCCACCGCCAGCACCTACCACACCCCCGGAAACCGCGCATCTTTCCTCATGGCACCCGACATGTCCGGCCCATCATTCGGCATGGGAATGATGAACATGGGCGGTGGCTCTGGACCAGCACCGGGCTACGCTCCCTCCGTCGCCCCCTCAGAACGCAGTAACATAGGCGCTGCATCACGCTACCGTCCCGTCTCGACCATCGGCGCCCCATCCAACGGCGCCAACCGCTCATCAACATTCACTACCAACACGCTCCGGCCTTGGGCAGAGGAACGGCCTCCCATGCTAGGTCAAGTACTAGCTAACAAGTCAAACACCAACTTAAGCGCCACCACCCCGTCAACTTCCGAGACCACTCCCACCGTGCGCCCCGTGAGCTCCATGGCTGGCCGTCGTGTATCACCTATGCAAGGCGCAAACGCCAGTCGGGCATCCATGGTCGGCATTCCAGCAGAAGACGAAGACGACGAGCAAGGATGGGCTGAGATGATGAAGAACCGCGAAAAGAAGAAGACTGGCTGGAAGTTTAGACGCGGCGGTGCCAATGACCACAATGGCTCGCTAGGCGACTACGTTCATCCCACCGCCATATAATATAACCCTACCCAGCCCCCAGACCCCAGGCCCCCAGCTGCCGTATGCATGGTACGATACGGCATGTTACGAGATTGCCATGAGACGAGACGAGATGATGTGAAGTACTTGGAAGGTAAACTGAACCTATCCATCTACCTGCTTCTGCTTCCTTTCTGCACGTTTATATTCAATTCCCCCTTTGTTTGTCCTTCCCCTACCTGCCTTTAGCCCGACTTTAGCCCGACTTTAGCCCGACCTGACTCTTTCTTGTGAAACACATAAAAAATCTCCATTCATGTATCTGCACTTGAGCTTTGTTCCTGCTTGCTTAACTACCTATCTATCTTATCTCCTTTTAATCCCCCTACCGCCATTTGTCCCGTTCCTTACTTACTACTTGGTCCCCCTCTCGGCATCTGCTCTGCATCTCTCATCCGCTTACATCTGCTTTTTTCGCTATTATATTATATCTCTTCCTTTTTACGTTATACCTATCCCTATCCACACTAATCGCATCTGCTCTCGGACGAGCTCGTGCCATAAAAAGTCAACCGACCCCCAGAAGAAAAGAATCCGGAACCAAAAAACATTTCCCACGCAAGAAGACATGTACGGATACTAGCTTAATCTCTCTAACTTGATCTGTGTCGCTTTTCCCTTTCCATTTCTCTCTGGCGTTTATATTAATCCTCTGCGTTTCGCGTTTCGCTTATTTGCTTTGCTATTTATCGATGGAGTTCTCTGTGGCTTTTTCTGTCTCGTTGCCTTTTACAAGTATCTATTTCTTTCAATAATATCTCATCGAACCATGTAAGTAGCTGCTTTCTCTTGTTTCAGGTTCAAGTTATATACGGTGACTGAACTAAACTGACCAGTTGGTTGTATAGTGTCGAATAGTACCAGAACAGGAAAAAAGGATGAAAATATCTAATCAATACACTAAAATAAAATAAACCGGTGTCTTCATGCGAACAATTGATGTATTACTTGATTAACTTAACTAGCTAGTTGTCTATCTTCACCAACTTCCTAGCTTCCTCTCGAGCGCTGCTTACTATCTCCTCCGCCGTGGACACAGTTTTAACCAACCCAACTCCCGTCCCGGCATAAGAAGTCATGCGGCCCTTAACACCCCATCCTGCGTCCCCTTTGGCCTTTTCAGCTTCATATAGCCGTCTATTCTCTTCATCAGACATACCAGCCTGGTCATCGAAGTAGCTCTGATTTACCATTCCACGCCCATCATACTCCTCCGGCCACTCAACATACCCCCTGAGCCGATCATATATCGTAGTGCGAGCCGTGCTCTGTCCCCCATCCCGAGCACGAATTAGTTCATCCTGATACCCCTTCATAATAGCCGTCTGCGAACAAGCCAGGAACCGCGTGCCCATAGCCACACCGTCGGCACCCAGACACAGTGCCGCAGCCACGCCTCGTCCATCAACTATACCACCTGCTGCTATCAGCGGTATGGCGGAAAGCTCACCATGCGAAGCCAAAGTGTCTCGCACTTCAGGTAGGAGGGTGATTATTCCTGCTCCGTTCTTGAGGCCGTGTCCGCCTGCATCCACGCCCTGCAGAACAAGCACATCTGGTCTGTGGGCCGGCGGTGCTTCGGCAGTGAGTGTCAATGCATCCGCGACTGAACCGACCTGTACCCAGACCTTGGTGCGGCCGGCTGTCTCCTGGTGGACTCGAGTGATCCATGAAGCGTAGAGGGAAGCCATTGTCTCGCGAGCTGCGCCGAACAACCATATAGCTGCCGGAACATGTTTTTTTATAGCAGGCAGTGCATCATCGAGGTTAACGCCCCAGTTTAAAAAGCCGACTCCGACGGGTAAGATGGATGCGTCGGGGGTTTGGAGGGTGGTTTTGGCGTGAGTTGTTTGGAGGTGGTGAGCGGCGAGAGTGAGTTGGTCGTCAAGGGTGTGGATGTTGTTGCCGAGTCCGATGAAGCCGATTCCGCCTGCCGCCGAGACGGCTGCGGCCAGCTCGCCTGTTGCTACGGGCAGCATGGGAGCGCATGTTATTAGTGGCAGCTGGATCCAGGGGTAATCTTTCTTCAGGCTAGACATGGTGATATTGGTATCTGGTATTTTCTAGCTGGTAGTTTATGTATGGTATATAGAAGTGGCTGCTTGCTGGGTATATATGCTGTTGTTCGTCTTCCGTGTATCCGAGCCTACCGTGTATATGGTTGAAGCTGGTATTTATGGCTCTAGAAGGTATACGGGGTATATCTAGCGGAAACAAGGCGATGGCTCAGGAGATTGATAATACAGCCGGCGACCTTCCGAGCCGTCGCCTAGGTTCCACCAAACGGCTGGCTGGCCTGTCTCGGCCGGCGAGCTGCCGTCACTGAGCCTCACGGAGCCAGATACTGCGCCCTTCCGGCGGTCTTATGCATGCATTGGCTGGGTATTTGTGCAGTGTCACAGAGGGCGATCCTTGGATGCTCGTGCTGGTTGATATCGAGATGAGATGACGTAGTTGGTAGTTTTAAGTCCAAGTATATGCCCATAAACAGCTAAAGAGCGAGTGAGAAGCCAAGATATGAGTGTTACTTATCCTCTCGAAGTGGCTTTCGGTCTCTTTTACTGTCTGTATTCCCGTCTTTTGATATGGTTGTCTTTTGTGTAGTTTGAAGTGTCTCCAAAGCGGCTGCGGCTGCCGTTTGATAGTTCAGAAGCTCGCAGTTAGCAGTCGATAACTGCTTCAACACCACCACATCTGCTCTTCTATAGTTACACTCACACTCTTACCAGCACGTTTCTACCCACTGTCTCTCCGTTTTATACCTTTTGAATAATATAATATATCATAATATGTCCATCTTCTTCGCAGTCTTCCTCAACCGTATCCTCCACGTGACCTTCAAGCTGACTCAGCATTTCAAGCAAAAAAGCGACTTCGTCGACTTCGACTTCGACTTTTTTATCAGCTTCAAAACGATCGCAGCTTTTACTATATACCAACGCTGTGACTAAAAGACCCAGTGAAGGGCATCCATGAGAAGTGAAAGAGTGCACATCTTCTCCCTATAACCTGCACTATATCCCATACAAGGGTGAAAAGGAAAAAGAGAGTGAGAAAAGAGACACGTGCCAAGCTTCAGCCAGCGGAGTTTTCTCTTCATATATGAATTTAATCTATACCATCTTCGCACACAAATAATAATATCCCCCTTTTATTCTTACATCTTCCGCCTATCTTTGCTCTTCTTCTTCTTCTGCCTCTCCTCGATACCTTTGTTTCTCTTGGGCTGTCCTTTTCTACGCCTACTATCCTTTATCGTATCCTACCGTACATTTGGATAAGCCGGGTTCCTCTCCATACATCAATCAAACCCCCCTTTCGACGTCGACATTGACTTCCTGTCCTCGGTGGAAGGGCAGGCTGCAGGCTTCTTTCTAAGCCGGCATCTTTGATACTCCCTTTTCCTCAGTTGAATTGATATCTCAACCTTAGCAAGATGAATGCCCCAGACAGGTAAGGATAGTTGGCTGCTTAGCTGCTTATCTCCTTTTTGTGGTCGAATATGAGCATTTTCAAATCAGTCTATGGTATATCTATTGGCAGATATATTATTTTCCCCTAGAACCCCTATACTCAACATTATACAAAGGGAGCTCCTCAAGGTCTGCTGTAGCTATCAACTATGCTAGAACTGGCTTTCCCATGCTTCTTTCTATGTGTTTCCCTCCTTGTTCCTATGTGCCCTAAGGCTATCAATTTGATTGCTGTCAAACATTGTTCCTTAGTGTAGTTTTTGTTTGCCCTTTTCACACGCACACACATACACATACACATATATATACACAATTTGATATCTTTCCCACCTTCAACACCACACAAAATCCTACACACTTTGTGATAACTTTGCACCCGACGTCTACATTCACTGCTTGCATCTGTCAAAATGGGGGAAGACGACCGTAGGAGAACTGATCGGTCTTTCTTCGACTCTTCCTGCGCGAGCTACCGCCAGAACCCATGTCGCACCCAAGTTCGCCCTCATAGGGACATGATCTCGAGGTTCGGCCTCGATTTTGCTTTCTACACTTCATTACTATATGTAACAGCTTTGGCGAAGCTATGCTAACTTGTACCATAGATTCGAGTCCTTCGTCCTAGGGCCCGGTGAGAAGAAGGTCGAAGTCGAGACTGATACACGTGAGTTTTCGCTGGACATTAAATGTCAAATGCCATCTAACAAGTGACATAGGTGTCCCGTCTACCGCGATCTTCACCTTCAACAAAGAGGATCACACCCTGGGCAACTTGATTAGATCTCGTCTCTTCCAGAACCAGCACGTCTTGTTCTCTGCTTATAAGGTAAGCAACGTTCTCAGCTTGTTTGTTACTATATGACTATATATTCTGACTTGGTTCTCTAGATCCCCCACCCCCTGGTCCACAAGGTGCTTCTTCGCGTTCAGACTGACGGCCAAATCACCCCCAAAGAAGCAGTCCTCGCTGCCTGCCACGACTTGGTCAAGGATCTCGGCATCTTCAGCCGTGAATTCACCAAGGAGTATGAGTTGCGCAAGATGGTCGGCGCCGGCACCCAACAGAACGATGCCCCAAACGGTGTCTAAATCTACTGCTACCTCAGTAACAAACAACAACTTCATGATGGCATGTCCCTGAAGGGCGTTTGCCTTTACTTTTGTATGGATGATGATAGTTCGCACACGGTGTCCTGGGAGGTTAACGTGGTTATTCTATGCCTGCCTGGTCTCTAGCCTGGCTCTCTATCTCGGCCTCTATTAATATCAGTCCATCTTCAACTTCGTCTTCGCATTTTTCCTCCTGTATCCTCATTTACTTCTTCTCTTTTCACTGTGTTGATATGTAGATGGTGACGCCAAGACTCTTCGGGCGGCGTCATGTTTTGCCGCTTTCGGAATCTCCAACGTCAGCTCGAAAGATGCGAAGAAAGATACAAGAAACAACCAAACAACATCGCAAACCAGCCATCTTCGCCCTCTTAACGGCATTTCTTTGTTTTCGCGCTTCTCTCTGCATATTTATTTTCTTTTCTTCTCTCGTTGATATCGTTAATTCTTAATCACTGGTCCCCGTTAATTGTCCTCGCGTGCTGGTGCGATGTACTCGTTTCCCACCGGCCAGCCGGGCCAGCAGCAGCAGTATGGCGGCCAGCAACAACAGCAGTATCCTGGCTTCCAACAACAGCCTCAGCAGCAGCAGCAGCAGCCAGGGCCTTTCATGCCTCAACCAACCGGTTATGGCATGCCCCAGCTCCAACCTCAGGCCACCGGTTTCCCCGGCGCTATGCAGCAGCCGCAGCAGCACCAGCAGCAACAGGCTCCCCCTTTCCAATCCTCCCTCCAGCCGCCGCAGATGACGGGCTACCCTACCCAGCAAACCTCGAGTTTACAAGTGCCACAACAGACCAGCCAGGCTCCCCAGCCCACAGGCCAAACATCGTCGCAAATTGCGCAGTCGTTTCAAAGTGTTCCGGGACAGGCACCTGCAGCACCTCCGAGGAATGCGCATGCCGGGTCGAAGATACCGCCTATGCGTTTGTCATTTATAACAGTGCAGGACCAAGCAAAATTTGAACAGCTGTTTAAGTCCGCTGTTGGAGATTCACAGTCGTTGGATGGTGAGTAGTTCGGTGGGAGGTTGTATGCGTATAATTGCGGGATTGACATGTGGAATAGGGGAAACGGCGAGAGATTTACTTCTACGATCGAAGCTACCAGGCAGCGAGCTGTCTAAAATATGGTGTGTACAAGCTTTCACATTCAATGTCCCTTCCATTGGGCTGTAGCTAACTAGTTCTATGCAGGGTGCTCTCAGACACTACCAAGTCTGGTCGTCTTATGTTTCCCGAATTTGCACTGGCCATGTATCTTTGCAACCTCCGAATAACAGGTCGCGATCTACCTGCTACACTACCCGACCGTATCAAGAACGAAGTTTCAAGCATGGTCGATATCATCTCCTTTGCCGTGCCCGACGATCACCCACCACAGGCCCCTCGATCCAATGCCCCCAACTTCGACCAGCCATTGATGCAGAATACCTCTGCTCCTCCTGCGCCGCAACAGCCGCAGCCTCAACAACCATCTAACTCACAGCTTCTCTCACAATTAACCGCTCAACCAACAGGGTTTTATAACCAGGCTACTGGCTTTCAACCACCCAGTGCTATGCAGCCCCAGCCAACTGGATTCCCAGGTGGTCTACGACCGCAGGCCACGGGTATGCCGCAAAACCCTCAAGCCACAGGATACTCGGGTCCCCGACCGCCAATGCCACCCATGCCAACTGGATTCACTTCTGGTCTAACCCCTGGTCAAACTGGTGGCCTTGCTCCATTAACCGCCCAGCCGACAGGGATTCCTGGCCAGTGGGGCTTCGTCAATGCTCCAGCCACAGGATTGCCAAACATTGAAGCCCTCCAGCAAAGACTCATGCCACAAGCCGGAAGGGAATCCGGTACATTCACCACTGCCGGACTTTCTGGAAATGCCACAATCCCATGGGCCGTTACCAAGGACGAGAAGAAGATTTATGATGAACTCTTTCGTGCCTGGGATGGCCTAGGAAAAGGATTTATCGGTGGTGATGTTGCCATTGAGATTATGGGCCAGAGTGGACTGGAACGCCAACACCTGGAACAGATATGGACCCTTTCTGACCCCAATAATAGAGGCCGTCTAAACAAGGATGAATTTGCCGTGGCCATGCATCTTATTTACAGAAAGCTTAACGGATATCCTATTCCAAACAGACTTCCTCCAGAGCTTGTGCCGCCATCAACTCGGAATCTTAATGATTCCATTGGAGCTGTCAAGTCGATGCTTTCCCAGGATGCAGAAGCTAGAAAATCTTCTGGTGCATTCCTGCAGCCTCAAAAGACTGGCGTTAGTTACTTGAAGACTCACTCTTTCAATTCTGCGTCTGGAGGCTCTGGCTATGCAAGGAAAGATGCCACTGTCTTTAAGAACAATGATGACGCTGTTGGTTACAAGTCTAGTGCCCGCCGTCGTATTGGCGCCGGCCGCACTCCTTCACCTGCTGCTTCTGTACAGTCAGAGAAATCTGACGACGACTTATCAATTGAGCAGCTGAAGAAGAAAATCCGTGAAACCAAGATTATGCTTGATGCGACGGATTTCAGAGACGAGAGCCATGCAGAGGAAGAGCAAGCTTTGGATCGCAGGGACAAGAGGGAGGCAGAGTCTCTAATGGACAGAATCCGACGAGTCCAGGATGATATCGATACCGATCCAAAGGCTTCGTTCAGAAACCTGGACTCAAGTGCTGAGCGTCGTAGTATGCGCCGCCAACTGCAGACTTATCAGGACCAGCTTCCTGAACTGGCCTCCAATGTACGCAAAACCGAACGGGCTATTGCGGATTGTAAGCTCGAACTTTTCAGGCTGAAAGATGCCAAGGAGAATCCAGGAAGTGCCTTGGAAATCATCGGTACTGGTCCAGGCGGTGCGATTACGGAGAGTGATCGCATCAAGGCTCGTGCTCGTGCAAGAATGCAGGCTAGAGCTGCTGAGCTGGCTGGCCGACCGGCCCCGGCTGCTGCAGATGAAGGTGCTGCAGCTCGCAGGTTGGAAGAGGAGAGAGGCAAGATTAACTCCGAACGTGAGCGCAATGACGCCATGACCAGGGATGTTGAGGAGAGTGTCAAGGAGTTCACTGCCAGCCTTGAGGATGGCCTTAAGGGAGATAATGAGAATTCTACTCGTGAACATGAACGACGACGTTGGGAGGAAGCACTTGGCGTTGAAGATCAAATCAGAGACCTCATCTACGACCTTCAGCGAAATCGTAAGACGGCGAAGATCAGAAAGGAAGAGTTAGTGTTTCCCCTTATTTTTACAAGTTGCACTGCACCGTCCTTGAAGCTAACCCGCTTCATCATCTGTAGGGAGAAAGCAAGTCGTGAAGTTTCCAGTGCAAACCAGTATGGAAGCCAGGCCGAGAGCCAACCTAGGCCAAGCCCCGAGCTCGCTCTTCATCCTCAGTCACCATCTCTCGTTGGATCGACGCACGAGCAAAGAGTTGCTGCTGCCAGAGAACGGGCTCAGCGCCGTATTGCTGAACGAATGGCTGCAGCTGGCCTCAAACCAGCTGATGCCGGCGAATCTTTCATGGAACGGCAAGAACGTGAGAAGCGCGAGAGAGAAGAAAGACGCCAGCGTGCCGAGGAAGAGGATGCTAAGCGTGAGCAAGAAAGACAGCGAAGGTTGGAGAGTGAGCAGACCCCTGCTCCTCCACCAGCAAAGGCTGGACCCAAGAAAGCACCGCCGCCTCCCCCATCGCGTAAAGCCAGGTCCGACTCTGCTGAACAGAACGAGGCAAAGAAGGCAGAGGAGGAAGCCCTTGCTATCAGAGCCAAGGAAGAACAAGAAGCTGCCCTTAGACAGGAGCAACAGGCTCAGGAGGCAGAAACGGAACAACTAGAGTAAGTCATTTAGTATTTAGCAAAACATCTTTGCCAGCTTGCCCGTTCTAACCAGTGATTTGATTTAGGGACGAGACCAGAAGGCAAGAGGAAGAACTTGCTCGGGAAAAGGAGGCTGCTCAGGCTCGTCTCAAGGCATTGGAAGAGCAGGTCCGCCAGGGCAAGATCAAGAAACAGGAGCAGAAACGCCGCAAGCAGCAGGCAGAGCAAGAAGCTAGGGAGAAGGAAGCTAAGCTTGCAGCTCAGAGAGCCGAGTTGGAAGCTGCACAAGAACGGGAGCGCGAATTGCAACGACAGCTTGAGAGCCTTGGAGACGAGGAATCCTCTTCTGACGATGAGGGTCCTGGATTCGTTACGCCTCAGGATACTACGCCTACCCAAAGCCAAGTATTCGAGGAGCAAAAGGCAGAGGCTCCTTCTGCTGCACCCGCACCACCACCACCGCCTCCCCCTATCCCTACAATCACGGAGGAGGAATACATGGACTCACTCCGACCTCAATCTCCTGAACCTGTCATCCATCATCCAGTGGTGAACAAGCCAGTAGTTCCCGAAACCGAGTCAAGGAACCCCTACTTCCGCCAACTCAGCCAGTCGTCCTCTGAGCCCGCAGCTGCAGAGCCATCAGCACCAGCCGCCCAAGACACTCAGTCAACCAACCCATTCCACCGCCTTGCTCAAGATAACACCAAATCCGCTTTTGCAGCTGGGACCGCAGCGCTTCCCGGCCCTCTCGAGCGTAAATCACGAGCTCGTCCCGAGGAAGATGATGACTGGTCCGTCGCTGAGTCCGACAACTCGTCTGATGATGATGACCGTGCTGCTGGCGGAAGTGCTAAGCAACTAGCTAGCATCCTGTTCGGAACAATGGCTCCCCCACGCCCTCTAAGCGCAATGGATGAGCCTCAAGATTCCAAGTCGCCCACTCCACAACCAGCCCAGAGCCCAGTTGCTCCTCCTCCAGCTCCCCCAATGCCCGCCCCGGCTGCTCCAACCGAGCAGAGATCCAAAATACCATTCGAAGTAGTAGAAGCCCCCCCATCAATGCCTCCTCCTGCTCCTCCGCTCCCTGATATGGCTGCCCCATCTGCTCCGCCGCCGCCTCCACCACCTCCACCAGGCGGTGCTCCACCCCCTCCGCCTCCCCCACCCCCTCCAGGCCCTGCCCCTGGCGGCGGAGCCGGTGGCCCCATGGGCATGGGACGAGGTGCATTGCTAGGAGATATCCAAGCCGGAAGGGCATTGAAGAAAGTTGTTACCAAGGATAGAAGCACCGCAATGTCAGCTGGCCGTGTGTTGTAAAGTGGTGTTTCCAAACGTGCGAGGCCAAGACTGAGCATTTGAGATGTTCTCTCTTCGCTTCGCTGTTATGTACTTTTTGCTCACAGTTGTCGCCCCTTGCTATTAACTGCCCTTTTTAAATATACTGTGTTTGGAAAGAGAAATATACTTGTTTAGTACTTGATTGAATCTTCTATACTTTGGCGTAAATATAAATTTAGGTAAATGGTATTGCGGTGTTGCTAATATCGGTTTACCATCAGTGTAATATAGATAACAGCACTACAAGTGTACAATGGAGGAGTCGATAGTCCAAGTACGTACGTACTCTATTATTTTTGCATAATACAAATGGTAGTATGGACAAGGTAAAAGTTAGAGTAGCTGTTGAATGACAAAGTATGTGACAGAGAATCAATATATATATCAAGGAATCAAAAAGGTAAATAGGGAAAAATGATACGATGGATAAGGATGAATATCAGGATGCTATACAGTTAAGAATAGAAAACGCCATAAGCAGACCTCATTAAGAAACTAATTCCAGAACAACGTTAATGATGGTGCTGATACACCATAGAGCAACTAGGCCGAAGCCCACATTTTTATCCATCCGCCACTTATTCAACGGCACAACGATAAGTAAACCAAGCAATGTTATCATTAACGTCGCAGCGCTAATAATCAGCGTTTTAGACACCGTGATAGGGTATGGTTGAAGGGAAGTCGATAATGCAGTATTAATGCTAGCAGAGTGTATGTTTTGTATCGGCTGGAAAGTCATATACAAGCCTCCGACACCAATGCCAATGAGGATATTCAACATTGGGCCGCCAAAACACGCGCTTAGTGCCATGACAGGGTATCCTAAGCGTGCTATAGTGACGTCGGCAACGAGGTCACCCAACGAATTGCCAACAGCGAAGATGGTAAGGCCAAGTAGAGAGTCACTGATGTTTAGAACGACGCCAAAGAGTTTAAGTAAGGCAACGACTTCGGTAGCTAGGGTTGAGACCCATGCTATTGCGACGGTGAAGCCAAGGAAGGCAACAAATGGTCTGAGGGGTTTAGGTAACTGACTAGACGAGGCTTTCGTGGCGAAGAGAAGGACTATTGTGAAGGCAGACGACAGGAGCAGTGAGAGGAGGACAGGCAAAATCAAAGTGCTAGGGTCGTGTTCCGGACGAAGATTATTCCATAATGTTATCGTGATGAATAACGGCGGCGGTGTACAGTTGAAGTAGCAAGAGCCATCTGTTCCATTGTTTGACAGGAGATGGCTCTTTGCCGTGGCATTCGCATGGTGGGCGAACTGGTAGTTCCGAATCTTGTCGAAGGCGATTGAGAGAGGGTCGACCAATCTCTTGTGAGTTGGCTACGGCTGTCTCGTCATCATGATAATTAGGAACGGCGATTGTCGGAACTACATCAAGCCCTGACCGTTGTTCAACTATGATTGCTGCTCCTTGTTCAGGAACAGCAATGGCCTCCGGCTCAGAGCCGTCAGTCTCCACAACAGGTAAGGTCATTGTGAGAACGAAAACACTGGGTGCTGCAGCAATCCCTAAAAATTTGTCCCATATTGATTTTTCTCCCCAGTCGTAGAGAGTCGGAAACAGAGCCGAAATAATGGCCAGTGGAAAGGGAAGAACAGAGCGTGGCCACCACTTTGGACCAGAAATCTCGACATCTGTCCCTGCAGAATGCGCACGGGTGTATTCAGAGCTTAGCGAGTGAGCCGACCTTTGAAATCGAAGGCTCGAAGGCCCATGAGGGGTGTATGCGGTTTCATCAGTGTACGGGGGGAATGGGGTAATTGACGACTCGGGACTGGCTGGAGTAGAACCGCCTCCGCAAGCTGGCGGCGTTGTTTGGGGAGAAATTGACGATTGAATAGACGGGGTATGGCCACCAGCGCCGTAGGTCGGCTGCTGAAAGACAGTACGTGGGACAGCTAATCGGCCTGGGGATTTAGACCGATCAACGGACGGGGCAGGACTGTGGGATCGAGAAGGATAGCCAGAGGAAGTAGGAGATGCGCAGAGTAGATTCGTTTGATGCCCAAGGTGAGCTCCCGGGGCATTATCCAGACTGTGGGCTAGCATCTGTGGCTGAGCGGAAGTGGGCAAGCCAGGTTGTCCGGCCCTGTCGTCATCCTGATAGGAAAAAAATTGAGGCTGTTGAGCTGTAGAGGCTCTCGGACGAGCTGCTGCAGGTTGGGTAGTAGAAAATGGATCGTCCGAGTAGCTTCGCAAATGGATTCGTCCCGACTGGAGGTTGCGTGATTTCTCTAGAGAGGATAGAACTGATCTGAACTCGAGAGCGCCAACTAAACTGGGTCGAATACCTCCACTAGAAAGCATTCTTTGACTGGTCTGTGGCCGATTGACTCGCATGTTCTCGTGCAGTTCTGCTAGCTGCTGCCTATCCCGCTCTTCTTCATCCCCTTCGTCTTCAATTCTCAATGTTGGGATATCTGCCCGTTCCAGCGACCCGAAGTCATCGTTTGTGGCGCCTAGGAGGGGGCGGCTCTCGCCGCCGGCGATGGGATCATCATCCTCTGGTACCTCATTGATCTCTAGTTCCTGGTTTTGGGGTATATGGAAATGAGCTCGGGCTGCAATATCACGCTCAATTCTCTGCCTTTGCCGGCCCATATACCAGTGCCAAGTGACAACAATGAAGACATAGAATATATAAAATCCGATCATCGATGCGCATTCCCAAGCGTGTAACTTTCCGTCAGCAACGAATCCCATAGTAAAACCGGTAGCCACGGCAAAAAACAGAATGTCACGGACAAAGCTCCGCCGGGCGACTTTAAATGGCCTAGTAAGCGCCATTGACCCTGCAACAACGGCAGTGATAAAGCCAGCAGCACCAACGAGTTCCCCTATAGCCAGGCTACCACTATTAGAGCTCATGGCGGCAAATGTAGAGAACACATCAGGACTTCCATTCCCAAAGGCCAGGAAAGTCACGCCGGTCAAACTCTCGCTCATTCCAAGAATATTGGCGATGGTGCTGAGGTTTACACATAAGAAGTCGCTGGCGGCAATTCCAACTGTGCTAAACAGCATCGCGAGCCATGCTGAGAGCAAAGCGAAACCGACCGGCTTTGCACCACCGAGCCAACAGTAGTAAATCTCTAAATATGGGATGAGGCCAATATTCTCGTCTTCGCAGTTATCTCGAATGAAGGAGCATTGGTGCTTCGCGCGGTGAACCAGCCGGCACTATAGTATTGATGGAAGATCTAGTTAGCCACGGAATCAAGTATCAAGATGCCAGTGTAGTGGCACCTCGAATCCAATCGTACCTCTTTTTCGCCCTCTTGTATCGTCCAGCTCTCTGTGCCCGGTACCAATGATCTTCGATTCCTCCTAGTTACTACCGGCGCAGAGAATCCATCTTGGGCATTGTGGTCGCGGGGAACCAAGCGGCTTCCAAGGGCCACTGCAAGGACAACCAGTATCACAAGATAGAACACACGGGCCGAGTATCGTTTCCTAGCCTTGCGGGCACCAGCAAGACTGGCAAAATATGTGTCTGAGAAGCTCATCTTGAAGGACGCATTCTGGGTAAGAAGACACGCGAGTACATGCACCTCTGGCTTACAGGCCGATAAGGAACAATTAGCGATGTCCTCATATATGCAAGAGACTTGAGGCGCAGGGCACACTCCGTCCCTTTATCTCGTTATCACCGAGTGGCGGTTGCAACGTTCTCTCCCCTGTTCCATCAAGGGGCCTTGGATGATATGGAGGCGAGACGGCTCGAATCCCTGCTTCCTGGTGGCTGTAATGGCCGTGTTCGTTTTCCGGTGACGTTGAGCTTTTTGGTTCGTTTTCCTTGGAGTTTCTTTTTTGCTTTTTCAGCGTTGTTGATGTCGTCAAGGTTCAGCTGACGTAATATGACACTTTTACTCTTTATGGCATGTTTGTGCTATTTGTTGAGTTTATATTGTTTGCATCTCTTTCATGCTTAATAATAGACATCCGGGTTTATATTAATACCCGTTCGTGATTACATTATACAAATTAGTCATCATGGATAAAAGAAGTACCGGTTTGTCTTACATAATCAGAACTACGCGAGTGGTTGTCCCCGCGTTCCGTATGTTTATTATGCTCGACATCAAAAAACGAAGCGCGCGTTGCTTGAATGCAAGACAAAAGAAGCAACAGAAATATATCTATCTACCTGGTGTTTGCTACAGCATCAATAAACAAGTATTCGACTCCTCATGATGACTATATAACTCTTCTAGTATATATTCACTCTTGACTACTAAACCTACGGCTGCCGCCTGAAAGAACCACCACTCCACCATGCCTCGAGTCGCAAACCCCCCGGTGAAGAGCCGTCATGGCCGCCGCAGCTCAAAGCCGGCGAGCAACACTACGCCGCACAAGGGCACTCCTCGAAAGTATGTCCACTGCTCTGTCCGTTTGCTTGCTCAGCTGCTGCTTTACTCCTGCACAAGTGTCGGGGATTCCCACATGGATAAGCGGGGGAAAGCACCACCATGAAGAAGAGTGACCAGAGATCTAACCATGCTGGCCTGCGCATTGCGCCTCTGATATGATATTAGAATGCCTCTTAATGACGATGCCGGAGAAAAGGTTGCGCGATTACACTCTCGCCAGGCGCAATACGACCTCCAGATGGACCAGATTAAAGCTGCGGTTAAAACACCGATGCCATCACGCAGATTTAATACTTACGACGGAGTACCGACAGCCCGCACACCC